AGGTAAGATTGGTGTAATATTAATATTTAAAGAAGGAGGTTTAGATTTAAAAGTAAAAAAAGGATTTGACTCCTTATATAATTTAAATTACATAAATACCTCCTCCAGCCATATACATATCGTATTAATACATACCTTTGTTATATAACCACTAAAAATATAACTTAATATAATTATTTTATGGATAATTACTCCTATAATGTTAAAGAAATCTTGGATTTATTATTAAACTCCTTAAAAGCTTTAAATAAGAAATTATTTAAAAAAATAACGAAAAAACTTATATTTTAACATAAATAACTTTACCACTTAAATAATAAACGATTACGTTAAACCATTAATATAATTATTAAAATTAACCTCGATATAAAATTAATCGAGATTTTATCTTATTATACTTATAATTAAGTTAAGATTAAGAAAATCCCGTTTAAAAAACCTTAATCCCATAATTTATACCTTAAAAAAATCATATAATATAACCTTAAAAAATTAAAACCTATTTTAATTAATAATAATTATTATTTTATTTTAATTATTAATAATAATAATAGTTATAAGATATTTAAAACTTATATATTAAAAAATAACGCTTTTAAAAAACTTATTTTTTATTTAATTTACGTATATAATTAATTATATTCCTTATTATTTAAATTTAACGGTAATTAATAAAAACTTAAAATATTTAAAATTAATAATAGTTAAAAATTCGAAATATTAACCATTAAAATAACTTATAAAAAATTAAATATAAAGTTATTATTATTTATATCACATAATTAATATTAAAATGATAAACTTAAACGTGATATTAAATTCTTATAAAATAAGTTTTATATAATTTATATTATTATAAATATCCTTATTTATTTCTAAAATTATATATTCGATATTATTACTTACGTTTTAAATAAATTAAAAATGTTAATAATAAAGGGCGTTACACCTTATAAATAATATATAAACGGCTTTAACCTTTTTTAATAATATAAACTTAACCTTACTCACTTAAAAATTATAAATATATAATATGTTACTTTTATTAACGAAAATTACCGTATTAAAGTAAAAAAAATAAAAACTCGCAAAGTTAAAGCTTTATTCCTTAAGTATTAAGGAATATATAATTACGTTATATAACTTATTAAAAAAAAACATTTCCTTAATACACTTTATTTTATTTTTTATAAATATTTAAACGATAATAACGCCGCTTTTAACCCTTAAAACATCGTTTAATTCTTACTTAAACATATATAAAAACGATTAAAACATTATAAGAAGTTATAAGGAATAAAAATTAAAAACAAAAATAAAAATATCGTTAAAAATAATATTATAAATAAAAAAATTAAACACGTCCGCTTAAAACGTAAAAAACTTAAAAAAAAACTCTTAAACATTTATATTTATAAAACCCCTTAAAAGCTTAAACCTATTTTCAAATCATTTTTAAATATATCTTTTAATTTAAAAGATAATAAGTGCGAATTTATAAACGTATACCTATGATTAATTAAATTTTTTTTCATAATAAACATAATTACAAATTTATTAAAGCTTAAAAACGCATATATCCTTATTAACGATAAGGCTTTATTTAATTACCTCGTTAAATAAACACTTAAAAATAATTTACATATAATAAATCTCGACCTTTTATCCTTAAAAAATATAATAACTAGTTTTAATCGTAATAAGTAATTAAAAGTTATATTTATAAAAATATAAAAAAACCTCGATTATAATATCTTTAAATTTTATTTTACATTTAACGCAACTTATAATTATTTTATCGATATAAAATAAGTATTAAAAAAGAAATATTTATTAACTAATAAACTAAATAAATATAAGGCTAGAATTATTACATAAGAATTTTTATAAAAAAAAAGATTAAATTATAATAAAATTAAAGTAACGATTATTAAAATAACGTTTTAACAAATACTTATAACCTTTATAATTATTTTTAATTAACATATAATTTAAATAAATTTTATTACCGTTTATTTTAACGGTAACTTAAAAAAAAGAATATTTATAAAATAATTCCCATTATTAAAGAAATATTGTTAGGACATGGATGGACGTGGATAGCCACTCCCGTGGCTATCCATGGCTACTGCCATGTGGGCATCCCCATGGCTGCTGCTGCCACAGCTAGCTGAACCTTATCTGTGTATATATAGCTAGCCTGAGACGCTGGGAGCTCAGCTCTCTTCTTCTCTTCTAGATTCTCTATTGACTGATTGACCTCTTGAGTCCCATCATTTGGTAGCACCTCTTGCTACGGTTGGAAGACCTCCAACCCCCATACCATCCCGGTTCATCCGAAGGGTGAGCAATATGCTCACCTAGAAAATCCTCAGACCTTTTGGTTGTTGAAGGGTCAATCAACAACCCCATCCTTATCCATTGACCATATCCCTATTTGCCCATCCTTATTCATTGACCATATCCCTATTTTGCCCATCCTTATCCATTGACCATATCCCTATTTGCCCATCCTTATTCATTGACCATATCCCTATTTTGCCCATCCTTATTCATTGACCATATCCCTATTTTGCCCATCCTTATTCATTGACCACATCCTTATTAATTCACCATATCTCTTATCCATTGCTATATGGATACCTACGCACCTGGGACAATTCTTATATCATTTATCCATTGCTGTCCAACTACCTCTCTTCAATCCGACCGACCCCCATAGATATATCAATCTGTTTCAGCATATCCGGCGCCGGTCCGACACCTACCGAGCGCAACGAATGCTCTCCCTGGCCAGGAGACGTTCGTGGCTGGAACCATCCTTATTACTTCAACTCTCGGTCCCCCCAACCGACGAGATCAATCTTCAATTCTCGGTCCCCCCAACCGACGAGATCCTTCAATTCTCGGTTACCCCAACCGACGAGACCCTCCAGCACAACCATTCAACATGGTTGTCCTGGAACCATTATTCCCTTTATCCCCTTATATCCTTATCCCTATATATCAGCAGAGCCGCAATAGAGCCTCAACGCACAGGCCATCGGCAGAGCCTCAGGGCAACCCGACACCACCCCGACCACTAACACCACATGTATCCCGCTAGGAGGACTGTCTGGAGTTACTTCAATTGAAGCAGCACGGGTCAGCTTAGAGATTAGGATCAGGGATCAACACACATGTGTGTATATAGGTTATTGGACTTGGATAACGTGGACGTTATCCTTTCCATTAAAAGGGGGGTGATGTTAGGACATGGATGGACGTGGATAGCCACTCCCGTGGCTATCCATGGCTACTGCCATGTGGGCATCCCCATGGCTGCTGCTGCCACAGCTAGCTGAACCTTATCTGTGTATATATAGCTAGCCTGAGACGCTGGGAGCTCAGCTCTCTTCTTCTCTTCTAGATTCTCTATTGACTGATTGACCTCTTGAGTCCCATCAAATATTTTATAAAACACCTTAATAAAATAAAAAAATGCAATTATTATCCTTTAAATATTATTAAATTAATAAATCCGTTATATAAATTAAGGCAATTTAAAGCCGCTTAATAAACTAAAATCCGTAGAATATTTTAACGATTAAATTATTTTCCCTTTAAAATAAACGATGCCATATATATTAACCGAAAGAATGAAAATATTATCGCGTTTTATATCGATAATTTCTTATTATACGAAATAAACTTAAAATTATTAAAAGCTTTTACTTTAAATTTTTAAAAGAACGTCGTTATTATAAACCTTAAAAATGTAAATTAATATCTCGGAGTTAAGATTATTAAATCCTTACCTATTAAAGATATTAAACTTAATTAAAAATAATATATTATTAAAATATTAAAGACTTTAAACCTTAATAAATGTAAAAAAGTCACATTACTTATAAACCTTAAATCTCATATATATGTAATAATAAGGAATAATATAAATAAAGTTAATTACTAAGCCATTTATAACTACGTTTTATTTATTAATAAAATAAACTTTCTAATATAAATAATTAAATTAAATATTACATTTACCGTGTTTATATAGGTTAAATATATAAGTAATTTATTACTTAAATATATCATCGATATAAAACGTATAATAAAATACTTAAAAAGTAAACCTAATTACTTTTTACGTTATAAAAAGCTTAATAATAATTACCCATATTTAAAATATAATAACTTTAAATTATTTAAAACAATTAACTTTAACTACGTTAATAATATCGATATAATTAAATTAACCACCGGATATGTATTTTTCCTTATAAAAACACCTATTTTATAATTATTTAAACTTTAAGCAATTATTATATAAAGTATAATTAAGGTTAAATATATAATTATATTATTTATAGCTTTAAAATCCGCATAAATTTATAACTTCCTTAAAAAACTTAAATTTATATCGGATAAACTTATTATTATTTTAAATAATAATAAAACTGCCTTAAAATAAAGCGAAAAAACGGCTATAAATAAGCAAAAAAGATATATACGTAAGGATTTTTATTACATTAAGTAAAAAGTGGTTATAAACCACATTAAAATAAAATACGTTAAGTTAAAAAAAAACCCGATAAACGGTTTTATAAAAACACTTAAAAGATTAAATTATGTTAAATTTATTAAGTTATTAAATTTAAAGTTTTACAAATAAAATTATTATAAAAGTAAAAAGGCGTATAAGTAATAAAATTAAACGGTATAAATGAAAATAACATTATATTAACCTTAAATTAAAAAAGCGTGTAAGTAATAATAACCTAAGGTTACCTTAATTATAATTATTTAAAGCATTATAATATAATTAATTAATTAAACTAATATATAAGGCTATAATTAAGCTTATAAAATAAAATAATAATTTAACTTAACCTTCTCCATAATTTGTAACTGGTTACAATACTACGATAACTAGTATATACTAGTTATTAGTAATACGTTTGGACCGTTAAAAGGTCAGGGGGGGTGTTACGTAGTAATATGACCTCACAAGGCCACATTAGCCATTACTGTAATTGCCCAATGTTCACATACTTTCCTGTTACGCACTTTCTAACTTTCTATTCTGTCAATGCACACACGCCTACGCCTACCTACACCTCCATACACACACCTACTTCTATAAAGTACGTACTACATACATGTATCACTAATGCTACTAGTAGCACATATAGTACCTAGTATGGATTTACATTGATGAAGAACATTGAAGGTACCTTACATGCTCAGGTACGTACTAGGTATGGTAGGTAGGTGCGACACCGATATTTCTATAATCGTTATATTCAGAACTCTCTAGCACTTCATCTTCACTCCTTCATCTACCTTGTACCATATATCATCTACTTAACTACATACTTACTCTCTCTCTGTGTGTGTGTGCCTATGGCCAGCTCGACATTACCACAAACATTCGACGACATATAACCATCTAAACCTGAGATAGATAGGTACTTGAAGTATCTATAACTATCTACTCGAACTATCTTCGGGAAGGCCCCTTGAATGGCCAACCCACCCCCCTCTTCCTCTTCTTTCCCTCACTCTACTCACTCTAGTCACTCTACCAATGGCATCGACAAGTCTCGTGCCCCCGTTGTAGCCGTCCCCCTCTTACAGCCTCGCGTTGCTGTTGCTCTCGGTGTGCCTAAGCGCTGGCACCATACTCTATCCGCCTGTCGTCTATTGTCCATTGCCCCTCCCATCTGCTGGGGCTTGCGCTTTGCTCTGCGCTTTCTAGTTGCTGATCTGTTGCGCCTGTCTACCCAAGGCCGCCATGGCCGTGATATCTCCCCATATACCTTGAGGCTGACGGAGACCGGCCTGGCTATCATATGGGTATGTCATTTGTTGTGTATTGCATCTTGGGTACCTACACGTGCTAACCCCGAACCCAACAGTGTTGCGCCTCGGCTTACCTCGCCTTCTTCTTCACCGACTGCCTCATGTCACGATGGCTCATCAACTATACTCCGCAAGCCACCGTCGTGCGTCTCTTCACCATTAGCTGTGCCTTTGCTTACCTGACCTCTTGGACCGTATACTTGACGGCCGGCTCCCAGGACCCCGGCCTACTGCTTCCTGCTTGGATTGGTATTGCTACGATTCTGACCACGTGCTATCACTTTACCCAACGCAAGATCAAGATACGGAAGGAAACATTTGCTAGCGTCAGCGTGTTCTCTATTGCCAGCTTCCTCAGCATGGTAGCCCTACTGCTACACTCACATTCAACCAGGGTGGGATATCAGAACATACCTCTGGTTGCTGTAGTCAAGTGGGCGTGCAAGGTTGCCGGACATATTGTTGTCCGTATTCTTGGAGTTACTATGGATTTGGATGGGTTATGATCGAGCATATTATCTTGGCGTTTTCTTCTCGGGTGGCTGTCTACCAACAACTTCTGAAGAGATTTGAGAGGCCCCAGTAGACGAAGTCTGGGGTGCTGTTACGAAACTAAACGTTGTCGAAATTCGCCTGAATAGCGGACATTCAACAGTGTTTCCAGTATGTCGAAAAAGTCTCTGGGCTTTGCATATAAGAACTTAGAAGTGTATCTCTAATAGTATATGGAGCGTTTGTCGTTTATTTTCATCTACTGGGTCGTATATAATAGAGCCAGCTGCGTTTGCCGTCTTATTTGTTTTTATAAGCATAGGTTAAATACCTTGGGAGGTATGCTGCCGAGGTAAAGGTAAACTTGTGAACCCTTGTCAAGCCACCTTATATCATGTTGCTATCCGTAATATCATTGCTTTTTCTTTCATTCTTTTTAGTAATGGTAATGATACAAATGCTATTTATGAATGCCCCTACCTACCTACCTAGGTACTTATATAGACTAGAATTCTCTCCAACGAGTTCGTGTTTCCTCTCCTCTCTCTCTCTCTCTCACCCCCCCAGAAACTCATTACACGCCTTCATACATCATCATCATCATCATACTACCGCACGTGCTCTAATCAAAATTTCAACCTACCTAACCTACATATTTAAAGCAAGGCTCCTACTAGGTAGGTATCTAATAGCAGGGAAGTAAGTAGTGAAGAAGGTGTTGGCGTACATAGGTAGGTAGGTGCCTAGTAGTACTGGGCAAAAGCTGGGGTTGAAGTGGGTGAAGTAGTGGCTCTGCTACTAGGTATGTAGTGGGCGAAGTGGTAGTGTATGTTGTGTATTATTTAGTATATACTTAGCTATGTTATGTCCCTGTGAGTCTTGAAGCTGAAAGGGGAGTGGAGAGAGTGAAGAAGTGAGGTTGCTGTTGTTGTTTGTGTCGGTTGAGGGTTGTGATTTCTGTCATGTGTCACATGATGACGGCTCGAAGATAGGGGAGTGGTAGTGGTAGTAGTAGTGATGGTGGCGGTGGTGGCGTCGGCGGTGAGGATAAGGTTGAAGTTGTAGATTGTTCTGCCTGTCTTATGGCAAGGCAAGGTTAGGTGAGGTGATGGCTGGGGGCTGTTCTGTTGGAGGTATGATAGGATGAAAGATGGCCTCAAGAGTGAGCTAGTGGGTGAGTAGTTGCCCTGTGGCTGTGGCGTTGGTGGTCAGGGGCAGGCACACATCCCTTGTGGGTATGATAGGAGATGGGAGGAAGTAGCGTTACCTAGACAATGAGGCTTGTCAGTCTGGTTCTTGCTTAATACTAGATGTTGCTGAAATGTTTGTATACCGTCCCTGCATCTTACCCACCTATTATCCTAGGTAGGTAGCGTTATCAACCTAGGTTGGGTACTTGCCAGTTTTATTTTTGGGGTTCTTTTCTACTTTTATTTCGTTACCTTGCCGGCGCTTATAAAAGTTTTCAATCTGACTAGGTACTCTTACCCTCTTGCACATCCACGTCGTTGCTTCGCCGTACATAACAAGAACATCAACCCATTTGATTTCCCAGAATATGTTCTGCCCTTTATTGTTTCTTCACAAATAAAGCTCAAACTTCAAAGCAAGAGCGAAGTAACTTCAAGTCGAAGTTGAAGTTCAAATGTTTGCCGAATAATCCCAGCACGATTTACTCATCCTCTCTCCTTCCCCCTTTTGGCAAGTATCCACAGGTACCAGATTCGAGACCGCGATACCCTCAGGAATCACGTCTAAGGTTAGTGGCTTCCTTGCTTCTTCCCCTCCAAGCCCACACACATTCTCGTTGATTTAAATATTATCCCACCTCTTCAGCGTTATGTTATCCTTCTTCCCTCATCCACCTTGTTTTACCTACGCCGGTTCTTCCACACATCATCTACCTACACTTTTTTTTTTGTTTATTTCTTCATTCTCTCAACTCGTTCTCTAAACGTCCACCGAACGTTGAATTGTTAGGTACCTTATGCAATCTACCTAGTACCTACCAGTCTCTGGCCTATGCCACTTTTCGTTCAACTCGTCCCCCACCAACATATTGCACGAGACACCACCAGCACAACAACACTTGACTTAAACCGCATTCTTCCCAACCTCATTGCGAGTCCCCGCCACCTTTCTTCCTCACCATCACACACCTCTCTTAACGTATTTAATTTTTTGCTTCTTTTTATTATTCACCCATTCCTTGACCCTACCACCGTTTCTCATTTATCGTCTACTTTCCCTTCAATGCGGTCATCAGTAAGTTGCCCAACCCAAATCATACTCATTCTACACTTCCTACCATGATCAATGCCCTCTTCCCTTCTACAACGGCAAGCCAAGGTATTGTATTCTTCTAATTTTTCATCAAAGGTCTTGCTTATGTGCGCGACCTGTTGGACCAGCCTGTTCAGCACAATCCAACTTGTTCATACAACAGTAGGCTTTCCTACGTCTACTAACGGCGACACTTCACTTCTACTTCTGTTTCCTGTCTAATCATGGTATGTGTTTCTCTTATTATATTCTTGTTGTTATTCATGGCGCTTTTAAATTTCGCCGTTACCTTTACACATCATCATCATCATCATCTTCTTCTTCTTCTTCTTCTTCTTCTTCTTCGTTTGAGTCATTAAACTCAACTCGTCTCATTCACATGTTACCAGGTCTGCCTCTTTACACGCCGATCTGCTTCCCTCACATCTTGCTACAAAATTCCTCTTCCCTTTCTTCACCCTTCCTTCTCATGCCGCTGCCCTCGCCAATCAATCATCTCAGAACTCTCATTTATCAACTTTCAATCCGCCGCACCTAAATATCTCTTCTAACCCTCTTTTCCTTCTAAGCTGACTTGTACTAACACATCTAGGATGATATCACCTTGATCCCATTCATTGGATCTTGGGTTGATTGTATTTCTTGCGTGAAGACACACAAGCAAGCCTTCTCTCAGTGCTGAAAGGTCTTCCCTTTCCTGGCCGAAATAGGCAGAGGAGGCTTGCAATCTTTGCCATCTACACGACAGCAGTATGATGTGCTTGGCTGTGATAGCTGCCTACCAAGGTAGCTACGTGATACCTGACCTACCTACCGGGCAAATTATAAGTGTCGGCGTAGATGGATATCCACCGATATTAGCATCAGCCTTCAACAACCCAACACTTGATCAACAAGGCTGATGCTCATGATCACCAGCAACAATAGGACTCGCCAATGGTAGCCCCTACCGGCGAATGCTATCATTGTTGATCAAGACGGCTTCATTTACGAGAGGGAGGGCGGGCGGGCATTTACTGGTCAGTACAATTCATTCTACAAGGTAAGCAGAGACCACTGAGGGTATTTCGAAACTAGCAGTTGGTACAATAACGACTCCTCAATTTGTGAATGGTAACTAATTAACGACTTTAACTATCTAGGTTACAAAAGGATGAACCTGGACAACTAGCTAGGGCTAGATGGTCCAACTCTATCCTGTGGTCTGCGCCCTTATTATAGGGTGGATAAACCCGATCTTAATGTCTTGAGAAGAATAGAAAAAGAAAAAGGGGGGGATGAAAATGCATCAAGTAATGCGCAAAGGTTCGTTCAGAACTGGCCGATGACTGCAACGAAATGTCACCTTGGAAAACCCTGCTGACAATTACTGGTGAGAAGAAGCAATTTGACGACCTGCGAAGCGAGGCCTGATGGTGACGCAAAACTCCCGAGCGCCCTTTACGCCTGCGCGCCTAACACCGAAATACCAAGAATAATCTTACTTTATCTCGGAAATCAAGCCCCCGAAACCCATTGACTGTCACCGGAGGGACAGATCTGCCTCCTGTCAGACGTGGAACATTACGCGGACTCAGAGGGCTCATCACTCGTACTCTCCTCGGACTGATGGTCGGACTGGTGGCTATCTGCGGCCTGTCCTCCGTTGCTGTCTGTCTTCGTTGGCGTCGAATCAGTATCCGAATCAAGACGTGCGCCACCGGATGCAAGGTTACTGGAGACAAATGTAGTCGAGGGGCGAGCTCGCAATTGGACTTGTGACTGCCGAGTGTGCAGGGAGCGCTGCGATTCTTTATGATGGAGAGAACGGTACGAGTCTCGGTGCCGCAGAGACTGCTGAGAGACTCGATTGTGTAGACTCTGATGAGAGCCTTGGTGGTGCAGACTCTGCTGAGAGCCTTGGTGGTGCAGACTCTGCTGAGAGCCTTGGTGGTGCAGACTCTGCTGAGAGCCTTGGTGGTGCAGACTCTGCTGAGAGCCTTGGTGGTGCAGACTCTGCTGAGAGCCTTGGTGGTGTAGGCTCTGCTGAGAGAACCGTGAGTGGAGACTCTGGTGAGACTCCTCATGACGTAGAGTTTGCGCTGGGGAGGCAAACTGTGATGTATTAGGATACAAAGTTCCCTCGATATTGCCGCTTCCGCTATCCTGGAGATATGGAGTGTACCAGAGCGGCGGGTTATAAAAGCTCATCGGCGTCGCCAAGCCTGGAGAGACTCCTGTCTCCATGCCCCCAGCTACCGATTGTGGGGTATTCGGCCATGGTATCATGGCACCTTGCGGACTCGCTTCGTACATTCCGTATGGGACTGGCGAGAGTGAATGCTGCTCGCCTGGCTGCAGCATTGCATAAGATTGGACCCGATGAATCTGTCGATGACCCGTTGATCGGGTATCGGATTGTCTATTACGACGGCTTGACTGGTATCGGTCAACTGTGGGTGTTTGAGGCCCTTTCGACATTGCCGGCGAGTGGCGAGACGGAGTTACCGGCTCACTTGGGACCGCCGTCGTGGATCTCTCGGCTCCTTTTTTCTTTCGATAGGCAGAACCCTTGCCATATGAGGGACTACTCTGGTCTCCTGTGTATACGGGACCATCTTCGCTTTCATCGTTGCTTAGATTCTCGGGAAGTTGAGGTCGAGAATTCTCTGCTTCTTTCCGGGACTCACGGGCTCCGTCTTTCAGTCCTTTTCGTTCCACTTTTAGTGGGCGACCTCCAAGCATTTTACCGTCCTGCAGAGAAAAAGTCAGCTACTTTACAAATCATCGGAGCGTATTGCTCTTTGCTGTTTGGCAAGATGAGGGACATACCATGTGCTGGACGGCATAATCTGCCATATCAGGTCGAACAAACTCGACAAAGGCAAATGCGACCGCCTGGGGACGACCTAAGAGATGATGCGCATATGTTAGCGTATTCTATCCCTCGACCATCAAGAAGCTTCCAAAGGGTTGTTACTTACCGTTTCGGGGCTCCTTGCGGATAACCTGGACACGCTCGACTTTTCCGAACTCTCGAGCAAGTTCGGCCAATTGCAGGTGCACATCATCACCTTCCACCGGAAGGTTCGCGACATAAATTGATCGACGATCGATTTCATAGCGCTGCAACCACGCCTCGTCCGGGTCGACCTTGCGTCTTTGTGACTTTTTTAAGTCATATGGTAGGACCCTAAATGTCGGATGGTGACGATAGGCCTACGACTTCGTCAACATACTTTCGTCCCGGATACTATTGAAAAGGTGGAGTTTCAACTTACCGCAATTACATCACGGCTTGGATCAAAGTTGGTGTACTCAACCAACGCGCCGCCTTGGATGTGCATGGCCTCTTGCACCTTCTGGTGCAACTGCTCGCATCTGCGAATGGCCCCGAAGCCCTGCATCTGCACTTGAGCCTCTCCAATGGTAACTTTGTCCCCGTCAAGTCTGTAGATTACAAAGCTTCCTGTATTCGAGTTAGCCCAGATCTAATCAGTCAGCCTTCAATATATGAGAGATTTACTCACTGTTGGCTTTCACCATTTCTGTTCGGCATGGGCGTCCTTCAATCAATGTGCCCTTAGCCTTCGACACCGCCGCATGGGCGTCCTCGTCCTTCTATACGCGGGGTTAGCCTAGTTCATGACGAGTTTTGATTGCACCTACGGTGAACTGGCAAAACGCAAAAGGCATGTTGCGCTGATCGCGACGAATCTTGACGTAAACGGCTCCATACTGGCCAAAGGTCTTCGTCAACTCACGCTCCAGACGAGTATCATTGACCGTGTCTGGTAAGCTAATTGCGAGGTTAGTTTGGTCTCTGGATCGTACTTTGACACTTAGAGGGATACTTACTTGGCGACGAAGACGCACGCCGTGGCTGGGTAGAAAGCCTGGGCATCTACACCTTCCACTTGAGATCGGCTACTCAAGTTAGAAGCTCGGCTGCGAAGCTTTCGGGATGGGCCCGATGCAGGTATAAAAGCCTGCATTAGCTTTTCGGGCCTGCCACGGGCGTCCTGAGACGTAAAGACGTCGTCTTCATCTAATACACCGACTTTTCTACAATACATAAATCATTAGTGTTAGTGATGGCCCTTGGGCATACCAAGTATCTTCAAGGGGTCTTACTTTACGACTTCACGCGGTTCCTTCATCATAACTGCATCTGAAGAACTGTGACCGCTTCGGCCGCGGAAGGACTCCCGACGACTAATGAACAACAATCAGTCACTAGGAGCTCAGGGGCCGCCCACTAGCTTGAAGGACTTACCTGGTCGATCTTGATGTGTCTTCATCTAGAAGACTGGCACCTCCTCCTATAAAAGGGTTGTTAGTAGAGGAACCTTGTTATAAGAGCTTCGTGGCCCGGCGGATCACCTGTCAGAAATGACTTACCTTGCTCAGACTTCGAACTCGGAGATCGTAGTCTCGAGTTTGGGTATTTTACCGCCAGGTTGGCGGACTTGCTTGGGCTGTCCATCCTAAAGGATAAAATTGCCTGGGATTGATCAGGCTTGAGAACTCGAGTGTCAGTTCACAACAAAGTTGAAGAGAATAACAGCGAAGAAGAACAGCGTGGGGGGTGAGGTAGGAAAACTTACTAATGGTAATGAAATGTCGACTGTGAAGCAAGTCAACAAGAAACTAAAGTGGGAAATATCTTGGTTTCTACTTGTGATTATATTAGCATTTGGTCATCCATTCCATCGGAAAGAATATGAGGTCCATGATGGGATACCAAGGCGACCATCGTTGATGGAATGATGACTTCAGAAAATAAACTTACCAAGGGGCGAATACTTTAATAAAAGTATTGGTCAACTGTGATATGATCACAAGGAGAAAGATTGGGATGAGGTATTGCCTGGAGAAGAAAAGATTGTCACGATTAGCTGCGATCGCAATGCGAACAAGAAGTTCGTGTTGATGGAAAGGAGTAAGTATAGCGAGATAGGATGGGGCGCGGTGGGTGAGATTAATTGGGCAAGCCACGAAGTAGAACGAATTGAGGGATGAAAAAAGAAAAAGAGAAAAAGAGAAAAAGGAAAAAGATAAAAGTAAAAAAAGGAAAGGAAAAGAAGAGGTAGCTACTTACTGCTATTGCAACCGGATTGAGTATTCAGTTGTGAAGAACGACGGCGTATCAAGTTCTATGCTGGCTTGATATAACACGCGTAGCTAGATGAAATCTTGCAGTGCGATTATTTGAGGTAGAACTTTGGTTGTTTATTAGTAACAAATCCTTCTTGAAGAAATCAGATGCAGTTGTTAGCTGCTAGAAGAGGGAAACAGGAATCAAAATAGAAAGCCGCGGGCGGTGTATGAAGAAGTTGGAGGACGAATATGTGTCGAAGAAGACGAGGAATGATGCTGTAGAAAATAAAACAGAAGAGGAAAAAGAAAAGAAGGAAGCGTACCTAAAGAAGTGATGGGATTTTATGTGTATTCAATGCTGTACTTGTAATGTAATGCAGCTATCGGCTTGGGCGTGAGTTGCTCTTAATGTAAGTACGGGATTTATGAAATGTTAGAAGTAGAAGGGAAGGAAAGTGGTATGACGGCTGGTCTTTTTACAAGTTGGTAAAATGGCCTCGTCCGTACTTTCCTCTGGTTCAGAAAGGGCATTTACCGACTTGATCTGAATTTTTGGACTGATCTTCGATCTTGTATTTTCATTAGCCTGATTTTAAAATAAAAAAAAAGGAATTAAGAAAAGAATTGGAAGGTGTTTATTCTGTGCTGTGGTTTTCACGGCGCCAGAGGCGGTGATGATGGGGCAGATGGCTACTTCCCTATTCTTGGGTAGGTACCTGCTATGTAGATGTAACTCGTACGCTACCTACGGTGTACTTACCTTCATACCTCCCCAGGCTCCTAGGGATCGAGTTTACAGCTTATATATTTGCATTTTTACATTTACGGCGTATGAGAGTTTGTGTATTACTGTTTTACACCCTATATATATATATATATGTTTACTATCTACGCCAATCCCGGGTTGGAGGCCAACATCATAGATGGTAATATACATCGTTGGTATACATTGTAGGTACACACCCCGACAAACGCCTTTCCTTTCTGGGGTGTTTCTTGACCAAAAAGTTTTTTCAAACGCTGTGGCGATGAGAAGGCACGGCGGAGGAAGAAGGTAGTTGTTACTTGCTCTGGGTGAGCATGATGAGGCTCATATGTCCGAATTAGGACTAAGCCTGTGGGAAACCAGCTCATCCCCGTGGGGTCTGGCCTATCAAAAATAGCTAAAATGATTTTGTGAAAGATGAATTAATAAATTATGGAAGTGGCAGCTGTCGCTTTGGGTAGTTTCACTTGTATAGGGGTGCTTAAAGTCCTTGTTAGGGAAGGTGCCAAGTGCCAGGTGCCCAGTGTGAACACTGATGAAGTGATTAGGAAAGTACAAAGTACTGATCTGATCTGATTCTCTCAGTTGCTGTACGAAACGAGGGGCAGTCGAAAATGGTGGATGAATGATTGAGTTTGGGAGGTTTGGTATAGTCGAAAAGGAGACATCGCATAGTCGATGTGTAGTTGATATACAGTTGTAAGGAGAAAAGGGGTACGTGGCGGGTTACCACTAGCTGTTAGGTCTCCCCCCTTTCCTATGACTGCTAAATTTAAGAATTGAAAAAAATGTACCTTTAAAAGCAGTACTATTGCGTATCATTCTTTGTTAATTAGCAGGCAATTGCGTCTATGTAACCTGACTATATGTACAATTCTAAATGGCTCTTGGGTGTGATAGGATCCTTTGCGTATATTCCACTTGTTCACTAGGGATGTACTATGCACCCATTATTCATTCCTATTAGTGGCCCTGGAGCAAAGTCTAGTTGACTCTCCACTGAATGCCTTTCTACTATGTACTCCTGGGTAGGTACTAACTACTAGGTACCTAACCTCAGTGCTGCCTAGGCCCTAGGGAGGTACATGAGTACATTGGTTAGTCATTCCCTTGAGCCTCATGCCTAGAATCTATGGATGATGCTAGAAACTGATATGGGGAAGGAGCTCTGGTACTTGTAAGGGAGGAAGGCCTTAACTTGGGCGACTGCCTTCAGGGCCAGTACTCACTTGAAGCAGGAAGGTGCCCTGTAGGTATGAGATATATTTGGTACCCTAGGTACCTAGGTAGGTAATCCAGATCCAAACTGCAACATCGAAGTTCAATGTTCTTGAAGTTGAACTGCCCTGATACAATATTGAACATTCTCAACAAGTGGCTACAAACCCATGTCTGTCGTCTTATGCGCCATTACTAACAAGAAATTGAAATTGATAGGTACCTACATGTTTAAGTTAAGATATCGAGGCGGTTAAGAACACACACAAAACACTTAGAGATTGGCAAGAATTATGCGATCGACGTGCGATTCGGCCAGAAGGACGCAATAAGATATATATACCAAAACCCGAGCGGAACCCCGTTTTCCTAGGATCTCCTACCAGGATACTTACGTGAAGGCTTGAAAAAAAACCCACCTGAAGGTACCTAGATATGTCACGGAGAGCCCACGTTATTGCCCCCTTGTCCGAAGCGACGGGGTAGTGGAAGTCGGCTTCGAATGTCACTTTCGGCTGAACACGAACCAAAAAAGAATAGGGATTGAAGGAATCATTAAAATATGTTGTTTCTAATTTTGGATAGATGAAGCTAATGAGTAGGTACCTAGTATTGAGCATCCCTCGCCGAGTCAATATCTGACTAGGTATCAAGTACACATCTTGCCAGCTACCCATGGCTGTAGATTCTCCCTATTTGTTTACAAGAAAAACGATACCCATCCGAGTTCTAGGCAATCTAAGATTCGGCAAATAAACCAGTAAGTTGTTATATGAGCACTGCTGGAGAGCTTGTGTAGTGCATTTCTATATACAGCGGCTAATACCACATAGCCTAGAAGCTTCCGGAAAATTGACACATTCTTTCCACTGCTCGGGCACGAGGACTAGCTAGAATGGATGGGATGGTAAGGAGCACCGAAAATCCTGGCGATCCCTCATGGACTTCAAGCGAGCTGTATGTACCTTCATGGATACACCACCACGTTTTTTTCATGTGGGGATATCTGCCAGTCCCACGAGATCTACCGATAGATTGAGGCTCATAGGATCGACAGCTTCCAATATGGATAATACATCCCATTGGTCTTGGAGTCGTATAAAAACACCCCTTGCTGCTTCTATACACCCATGGGGTTTCCATTCAATCTGCGTGCTCGTGTTAGAGTGCTATTATCCACTCATACATCTGTGTAGATATTTTCTTGCTCTCAGCAAGTAAGACCAATCCTGGCAATGATCAAATTCTTAGGGTAGTAATAGTACAGAGTGATCTTTGGCAGAAAAAAGTTTATAAATGGCGACTCCTGACACCATGGGTAATGCCCACACGTCGTGTCTGACCAGGCCTGGTATTCCAAGATGTATCTAGCTTCTATCACTCAGTTTGGGGTATTGGCGACCCTCCTACTCGCGATAGCTAAGCCTTTCGGTCGGGGGATTCGCCACCCTGAGCTCCAGCTAAGGTTCTTGAATGGCTCGTCGCAAGTCAAGCCGTCGTACGACTACGTTATCGTCGGAGCAGGAACAGCCGGCTTGACCTTGGCGGATCGTTTGACGACAGAGGGGAACTGTGAGCGACAATGATAATCAATCAGGCGAAAACTAAGTATGGTTACTAATTAAATTGTGTTTCAAGCTACTGTTCTGATTATAGAAAATGGAAAAATAGGTGCGATATGCAGCGAAATATATCGAAGATAGTGTCGATACTGATTATCACTCCCAGTGGACTCTCCTAGGATCGACCAGGTCTATACCGGCGGCGCTGCCATGGGACCGACGTGGTCGTATCGCATCAACTCCATTCCCCAGGCCAACCTACGGAACCGGAGTACTGCAGTTTTGGCGGGCAACTTGGTTGGTGGCAGCTCGGCCATCAACGCTATGATGACGGTACGAGGGACTACGGAGGACTACGATCGATGGGGCAACTTCTTCGGCAGCAATTCGTCGTGGTCTTGGAGTGGCATGTTGCCCTATTTGAAGAAAGTACGGTTTTACCTTTGTTTCTTTTTCTTCTGTTGCCTGATTCTCGGCTGACATGGGAAAGGCTCTGAACTTTGCGCCTCCTGATCCGGTTGTGGCACAATCGGTGAACATCACTTACGACACGTCGTTCTGGGGAAACAGCTCGAGCGTCTACGCGGGATGGCCATATTTCCAGTGGCCTGGGCTGGGTTAGTATATTTTTTTTTCTTTTTTTAACATATATCCCTATTAATATTCAATCCTACTAACCCGAGAGAAAGCTACGCAAATGGAAGCTTTCAAAGACATCCCCGGAGTCGAGTTTCCGCCAGACAGTGGTGCTGGAAGGGCAGGCGTATACTGGTTCCCGACGTTCATGGATCCCAAACGGGTGCAGAGGTCCTACGCCAGAACCGGGCATTTCGATGGCATCAACAGAACAAACCACGACGTCGTCACCGAGTCGCACGTGATAAACATTCTCCTCGAGGACGGGGCGGCTACAGGAGTCGTATTCCGACATAATATTGGAAACGCCACCACACTTACCACTGTGAAGGCCAACCGAGAGGTTATACTGTCTGCGGGCGCAATCCACTCCCCGCAGATACTGCAGCGCAGCGGGATTGGGCCGAGCAAGCTTCTCGAGTCTGCGGGCATTAACACGACGGTCGACTTGCCTGGGGTTGGCCAGAACTTCCAGGACCACCCGATGATGTTCATGAGCATTACTCGTGAGTAGCAGCCTTCCTACGTCTGATGAGTCGCTGGGGAAGCAGCAGCAGCACGGAAGCTAAAATGTTAAATCAGTCGCAAACTTCACCGCCTCTCCGAACCCAATGGATAGTAAGTGATTTCTGAAATTATGGAGGTTTTCCTAATCGCACTACTCTAACTTAAGGGTTACTATACGCGAGACTTGTCTTACCCCTTCTTTCATCCACGCGCGAAAGCACTTATTAATCAACTCCTCCCACTACAGTGTTCCGAAACCAGAACTTCAGCGATTGGGCTCAAGAAGTTTGGAGGGCGAACAAGACAGGTGAGTCACGAAAGAAAAGAACCTCGCTGAAGGTCTAGCATCCACAGCTGAGTCTAATCCTTTGTGGTTCTTTAGGCCCGTACTCCATGGGTATCGGTAATGCTGCCGCATGGCTAGGCATGCCAGTCATCGCGCCTGATAGATTCGAGGATATAGCTGCGAAATTGGAGAGTCAGGATCATGCTGCCCAGCTACCGCCAGGCACCGACCCAACGGTAATTGCTGGTAAGTCACCTCAGTGCCTTATACACTTGTTTACAGGGGAAAGGCAACAGAAAACCCCATAGAAATAGATCTAATGTTATATTTGTAGGATATAGTGCACAGATGAAGGATATGGCAGCGTCGATTCGATCCTCAAACACCGCGTTCTAGTGAGTGGACCGTCTTTTGACTCAGGATTAGCGCTCTAGTCTCATAAATAGGTACCTAATTAGGTACCTAACAACTACTAACATCACCCGCTACAGCAACCACGTCCTGACAGGCGCGGGGTCCTCAGGCACCTTGGTAGACCTGCACCCCCTAAGCCGCGGCACCGTGAACATCAACACGACCGACCCCTTCAACACGGAGCCCATCGTCGACTACCGCGCGCTGACGAACCCCGTGGACCTGGACATCATGATCGAGATGCTGCGCTTCACCAAGCGCTACTTCTTCGAGACGCGGCTCCGCGAGTTCGGCCCAAGACAGGTGCAGCCCCCCAGCTACGTCGAGGAGCCCGAGGACTTGGCGGGTTTCTTGGCAGAGAACCTCAGCCCGTCCGAGTACCACCCGTCGGGCACCTGTGCGATGATGCCGAGGGAGCTGGGCGGCGTGGTCGACCAGCGCTTGAGGGTTTACGGGGTCAATCGCTTGAGGGTCGTGGATGCGAGCATAATGCCTACGCTGCCGGGGGCAAATACTTGTCAGACGGTTTATGCTATTGCTGAGAAGGTGAGTGCTCGACTCGTGTGACTCGTTTGTGCGAAGATGTGTACTAACGTATCGTGCTGTAGGCGGCTGATCTTATCATCGCTGACGCGTAACCTCAAGCCGTGAAGGAGATGTCAATATAAATAGCCCGAAGATGTTTTATCTTCCTGAATTCCAGAACAGTAACTGAAACTCCTTGGTCCTATGGTGGTAATGATTGAACGATGATGTAGTAGTAAAGTTGCGAGTCACTAGGTGTAGAAATCCTTCATTCACCCCCCTCAGTCCATAACACTTGGTATTGGCATCATATCGTACTTCGTATTTCGGCAGTAAAACTAACAATGGTTAAAACAAAACGCCTTGGAACGCCTGACGCCCCTCGAGTATCAAACAGCAATCATGACTTAACCCTCAATCTCCAGAACCTGTCGTAAGCCACCCTCCGCAGTCTTATACCAGCGGCCCCTCTCCTCGAGATCATCCTCAACCCCCCCAAGCGCAGCTTCTTTTCGTCTTTGCGCCTCCTTCGCGGCCGTCATACTATTCTGCCTCTTGGTCTCGAGGGGCTGGAGCTCCGCCTGCAGCCGATCTAGCTCCTTCTTCTTCCTCGGGACCTGGCTCTGTAGTTGCTCTAGCTGTCGTTCCAGCTCAGCCTTTCGCCGCTTCTTCATCTCTAGCAGGTCTGCTGTCCTGGCCAGGGGCAAGTTCATCTCAGGGTTAGGATTCGACCCCTTTGCCCGTGCCTCCTTGAGCTCGGCAACCGTGCTTTCAAGTTCCTCGAGCTTGCCGGGGAGCTCGGTCAATTGCACCGTCTCGACCTTGACCTTTTCATACTTTTGACTTAAGTCTTTTGCCTTCTCCTCGAGCTCGGTGATCATGCCCGCCACTTCGGTCTTCAAAGCCTTGAGCATCGCCTTGGCCTCCAGATTCTCCTTTTCGAGGTCCACATTTTCCTGCGGGCTTACAATCAGAGGCGGATCGCCCACGATGGCGCGGATAAACTTCTCTTTGGTAACCTGCTCTATGTAACTGAAACGGAGCTTGGAAAACAGCTCCCGGTAATGGGTTAAGTCTGCCTCGAGAGAAGACGGCGTGGTGGCATCGAGGGATGAGGTGGAGATGTCTGATATGCGCTGATGGAGATCCTGTGCTTGTGTAACTGCGGCCGATATGGGCTCGCTGAGCTTTAGGATGGTGATTTCCTGACCAGCAGCAAGTGACTGTAACTTAGTCAGGACCTTATCTGCTGTGATAGGCGCCATCGTATATAGATGCAATGTGACTTGGTCGCGTGGGTCCTTTTTGTTGAAAAGAGTCGCTCTTTCTAGTGGGCGACTCTAGGGGATAGTTTTATATACTTGGTTTTATTTCAACTTGTTTTATTTTGCAGATACCTCGTGAATTGCTCAATATATATAGATGTATCAAACATTGGTTGGCGTTGGAAGCAAAACATCAAGATCGCGAAGTCACGGTCTTAGTATTTACATTTTGGCTGAAAAGGGAAAGGTGCGAAAAGAATGATCTGCAGTAAGGTACAGGTGGATCCTAGGTAGGCAGGCCCTTAATAAGCAATTTAGACAAGGTGGGGGATAACTGTGCTATCGATAACTAAAGGATAAAGGTCAAATGCTACTGTATTGTACATAGTAGTATTGCGCTAGTAACCTGGCACTGCCTGGACGAAAGCCTGGACGAAACCTTGAATCGCAACGGTGATCATTTTGAATTCAATTTGATTCATCAATCTCCTTCTTTCTTCAATTTTTGAACCCCACAACAGTCAGGGTCCACCTCACTTTGGAATCATTTACATAAGCCCCATTGTGCCACTGAGTTGCTAAGTTGCTACCAAGAACATACAAGGTGGCAGGGTGGTCAATAATTTGACCAATAATTTAAAGGACTACACTTTCCACCTTCAACGTTGAACACCAACCCGTTGAACACCAACCATTTGACCTTCTTTTGTCTCGCTCTCCCCCTTCTCGATTACATATACAGGCAAAACCATAAACATACCTAGGATCCCTATCAACACATCCGCTCAAGCGAAAATGCCTCCCGATGACCTCCTCACCGATGAACGAGCTGCCGAGCTTCTAGTTGAAGAAGCAAAAGATTATTCGCTTAGATATTCCGCCATGGGTCTCGACGCTATCAAGCCTGCCAGGTATGCGACTTGTTCGTCCTTGGTTCCGAATTCCACGTCGCTAATGGGTGTTCTTCATTTCTAGGCGCCCTGCGAATCAGCCTAAGCCTAATACCCGATTTCTCAACAACATCATTCGTGATACCAACAGTCACAATCGTGCTCTATTAGCCAAAGAAAGCGCTGAATCACGAGCGAAACTACGTGAACTCGAGGTCGCTGAGAAGGCAAAGCAAAGGGAAGAGGAGCACAGACAACGAAAGACTAGACCTGGCCCTGGTGATACGCGAAAGCGTATGCTTGGAGATATTGCTGCCATACTGGGTGGATCATCCAAGAGGCGTAAGACCGAGAACACCGATACGTCTACTGGCAATGCTCCCACATCGTCGGAACGTGCCTCGGAAGGAAGCTCCCATCGATCACATAAGAATCCTTCAACGAACGGCGACTCTCACGCTAAGAAGGAGAAGAGCCGAAGGGATCGTATAGCGGAACGTATGGAGGTACCACGTCGTTCTCACCGCCGGGAAGAAGAACGCGAAACAGTGGAAGCGACTTCGTCTAGTTCTCGAAAGCGCAAGCACCGGGAACGTTCACCTCGACGCGATAGTCACCGACCATCGAAAGACGCAAAGCGTGCTAAAGATCAGTCTTCCCAATCTGAAAGTTCATCTGATTCAGATCCCTTGGATGAAATTATTGGGCCTGCACCAGCAACAAGCAGCAGTGTTCGTCGACGAGGACGTGGAGCTAATGCCGCCAAGTCTGGGATAGATGAGCGATTTGCACCTGACTACGACCCGAGAAAAGATGTGACGCCTGAGCCGGATGACAAGGACGACTGGACTCTTGCGGCAGAAGCATTCCGCGATCGCCAGAAGTGGAAGAAGCAAGGGGCTGATAGATTGCGTTCTGCGGGATTCACCGAGGAGCAGATCAAGAAGTGGGAGAAGGGTGACGAGAAAGACGAAGCCGACGTCCAATGGACCAAAGCCGGTGGCTTGAGAGAATGGGATCGCGGCAAGGTGGTCAATAAAGATGGCACTGTGAGCCTTGCTAAAGATGCCAAAAAGTAAAGACGATTCATGAGGCACGTTATAGTCGATGCAGTTGTGGATACATACCTACAGGTGTTTTTTTTTCTTTGGCTTTATCAGTTGCATAGCATAGCATGGCACAGCAAAGCATGGCATGGTATGGTGTTGGTGGCAATTTTGCAACGAAACAGTAAACGCACTTCACGCGATGGGATACGCTAGGTAGTACGTTGAATTGTCGGCTCCTAGAAACTTGAAAGTGCATACCTAGTACCTTTATATTGAACTTTGATAGTGCCACTACTTACATACTATGTACCGGGTATGTACTACCTAGGTTAGTGGTTTCAATGTTTCTTACACGCGAAAGTTGGGGGGACCTTTCGATACTTCAAATCTAACTGTGTTTATGATGATGCATACATGAGAAACAATAGCCGTGTCAGTCAGTCAGAGGCAAGGTGCCATTTGCTAAAAGTAGTGGCATTTGGCATTTTGCGGTTGGGGTGGTGGGATGAATCAGGTATTGCGGCGCATCCCGTTATCTAACCAGGAGGTCGGTAATAAGGTCTAAGAAGGACATCTGGAGCTGAGGTTCTGAGACATTTAAGAGCATACATACAATGTCATACATGTGAAAATTGATATGTTTGTATCGAATCCCCGATAAGATGCACAAATGGGTATAAGCAGTACGTAAGATTCTTAATGATGTGGGGATAAATGTATGCATCGGGGTTCGCGAGTGACAGGTATTAACTAACTGATTGTCTCTAACAACTAGATGTCCCCGAATCGTTTCAGGTTTTCATAGCAACATTTAGCAACATTGCAACATTGCAACATTGCAACAATGAAGTTGAAATTCGGTGATATTCAATGGGCAATGGCATATGATCGACAGATTGATAAAATGCTTGCATTAGTTGGAATTATGCGGAGACCCACCCTACTTTTATATGAATATTTAGTTATTTAGTTATCAACTTATCATGGGTAACTAATAGGCAAGTGACCACTGTGACCTAACCTAGGTCAGAGGTACTTTTGCTCGTGTGATCAATGAGGTCATTTTCAACATCAATTCTTCAGAAGTTCAGATACTACATATACTTTGACACCCACCACCACATACCAAGCTTCTTTTAAAGACCTCTTAGATGCCATTTATGTCCACGGGTATGTACGAAGGGGATTAGGTTCTTGGAAACATGTGTGAATGGCCGAGTGTGATTAGATTTTGATACGAGCGTCGAAGTTACAGCCTGGTAGCCCACGGCTGCCCACCTAGGCTTATGGCAGTTATGTACATAATTCAGGTGGTTCGACTCTGGACTCTGGAGTTATGTAACTACCTAGTATGTACCTACATATGTAGGTTAGTACTACGTACATTCGCTCCGTACATCTGTGTAAACGCGTTTCCTTCATGCCCAACTAACCTGATGTGGATAATATTTCAAACTTAAATCAACCAGCTCATTCTGTTCGGAGGCTTTAGCAGTCACGATGAAGCTTATGATAGGCTAACCACTGCTACCAATGCTATTCCAAGCCACCGAGGCCGCTGAAATGGTCCACACGGGTGAGAGCTGGCAATGCCTGGCATCCTAACCTCGCCATCATAACTTAAAAAAGCTCCAGTTGGGTGACCAAGGTGCCAATGCAAACCATGTAAGCAAAGGGATCCCTGTACATGCCTTACTAGTAGTGGCCTAGCAGTGGTCTAGTACCTACCTTTATGTACTATACGGTCATGCCGTCAACTCCGCAGTTGCGCATCCCCATCCACTTTAGATTTATTTATTACTATCATCATCTTCAGCAAGAGCACCAACAACTGTCTGGTAGTAGCAACGTCGTTACCATCTTTTAGTCCACCTACATTCAAAATCTTCCTGCTTCAAGGACTTTTGGTGAGAATCCCTTGAAATTTACGTAGATTTCGCTTCTACTGTTTTCTTACACAGTTAATCAACTGTTTTTTTTTCCCCTCGGATTCTTTTTTTGGAACCAATCTCGTTAATAATATCTTGAACTCCCCCACTCTATCCATCTCCCGTTTAGACATTGTCTCGTCTTGCCACTATCTTAAACAGTTACATATTTCATAACTTCTCTGCCTCCAGTATAAGCTTTTAACAGTACATATACTGTCGTTACGAATGGTCGTCTACGTAGTAGGGTAGCTGAAATACTAGCTACGTCGAGTCACAGCAACTACTACGCCTTCCTCCACGCCATCGCAAACATGCGACCTCCAAGAATCGCCATACTCGCCTTCTTCTTCGCCGCCTGCCTCTTCCTCGTGTGTCGCGCCATAACATCGGCCGGACGTTCTACTCCTGCGATATCATCTCCTCAATCCTCACAAAAATCTGGTTTTCGATCGTTCTTTTCCTTCTCGACGCCATTCATTCTTTTTCCGCCGAATGCCGTTATTACTATAGCCGACGACAACAGTACCTCATTTGCTGCGAGGCCGGCCGCTTTCGGACCCCCTTTGCCAAGTAAGGGTTTGAATGGGCAGTTATGGATTGGTAGCGGGTTCACGGAGGAATCCATGCAAGATGGAGAGGGTGAAGGTGAGTTAGGCTGCAGCGACGTACCTGGTTGGGGTGATGGCAGCTCGAATGCTGTTTTGAAGCCATCCGTAAAGGAAATGCAGCACAAATACAGACCGGCTGCTGTCGCTAGCAAGGCCAAGAACCAGAAACGAAACGATTCGAAAGGCCCGCTTGTTGATCGAACTGCTATTTCCGAAATCGAGCCCAAGGCCAAGGCCAAAGCCAAGCCAGTTGATGACGGAACCGATGATTACCTTCACCAGAGGCTCGATATGTCGGCCAAGTCGCAAGGCGAATTGCTTGGTTCTTTGGCTTCGAGCCATGCCGATATTCAATCGATACAGGAGGGAGCCGAGATTGCCGGCAAGATAGTCTTGCTAAGCCGCGGTGGCTGCGGCTTTTTGGAGAAAGTAAAATGGGCACAGCGACGAGGCGCAATTGCTCTTATTGTCGGCGACAATCAAAGAGGCGGGCCATTAATACAAATGTACGCCCATGGAGATACTTCGAATGTTACCATACCGTCCATATTTACATCACGTACGACTGCCTATTTACTTTCACTCATGATGCAGCCCGGAAGCTTTATAGAAGACCTAGTGGACGAGAATGGCAAGCCTTCTTTGAAAGTGCAGCAATCCGACAAAACTCGGAAGAACAAGAAGGCAAGGCACGTAGCTACTTCAGGCCAGCCCCCCAAAACCAGTTCTAAACCCAACAGTGCAAAGATACCAATAACAAAAAAGCACTCCCCAGCAAGTAGCGAAGCATCAGGCTCACGGCTCGCATGGCTCTCCAAGGCTTTTAGCTGGGGCCCTGGTCCAAATTTAAATTCTGCTGCCAGTGGAAGCCGTCCGCCTAGCAGTGGTCAACTTGACTGGGTAGTAGTTGAAGACTTCTCAGATGAAAAAGACAAGATTATCAAGAATAGTTTAGAGCGCGCCTCTAAGGTCAGGTCGAATGCCGATTCCAAGGACAAGACTAAAAAGATCCCTGATGACACCTTCCAAATAGGCGTCGAAGATTGGCGAGACCCGGACCTCCTTGGTCCTTCCGACAAGGACAATATGGCGCAAGATGCAGCCGAGGGCAATAGCAAGCCCCTTAAGTCAAAGCCAAAGTCTGATCAAGCCTCGAACACCGAGCCGTCTGATAAGAAGCAAGGCGGCAAAGTTTTGATGAATGGCAGGGTTACTCCCAACAGTGGGGAGTATGCCGCGAGCCGTATGCCGGTTAAAGGGGTCGATGCCTTTGGGTCTACCAAAGGGAAAACGTCCATCTCAAGTAGCGGGGGTCTTATTTCCAAAATCTTTGGCGATGATGATGACAGTGATGATGATGAGGATAATGCGGATCTTACCAAGTCTAAGCCAATTAACCCCCCCAATGTTGGAAAACCTGGTTCTGTTTCTGGAGAATCCAGCGAAGAGCGAGAAGGCCTTTGGGTCGTCATTACCCCTTCTAGTGGTGCCAGTCCTTTCTTTGACACGCTCTTGGTCCTGGTTGTCAGTCCTCTTATCACACTCACGGTAGTATATGCCCTACTTATATTACGAGCACGGATTCGACGACGAAGATGGAGAGCTCCGAAGTCCGTCGTTGAGCGGCTCCCGGTGCGTACGTACCATACCGTGGCGTCCACCCCAAGCCGTACATCCAGAGTGCCATCTCCTACCAGTTCTTCCCCCACAACACCGTTACTTCAGAATCAACATGGCCCATCAAGGCAGAGACCCCGGTCACAGACCACTACTGGCGTGCTGTCAGCGGGGGACTTTATACAGGCCGATTCTTCGACACCAAGGTCAACACCTCGTGCCCACGAGAAGCGCAATACGCATACCTCAAGTGAGTGGAAGAAGTACATGGGCCGGCAGGTCGAGTGCGTCGTCTGCCTAGAAGAATATGTCGACGGTGTCAGCCAGGTTATGAGTCTACCATGCGGGCATGAGTTCCACGTGGATTGCATGTAAGTCAAGCCTCGATCCACATTAATGCATAGCTAACAAGCAACAAGAACACCATGGTTGATAACGCGGCGTCGGACCTGCCCTATCTGTAAGGGTGACGTTGTCCGGTCTTTGGCCCGTGGGATGCCGTCTAGCCCACGGTATGAGCCTTATCAGGACGATAGTGACGATGATCTCGATGAACCAGCAACAGCCTCATCGTTGCCTGACGACCCTCTCGGGCGGGCAGATGACGCTGATGTAGAGCAAGGAACGCCAGTGCCCCCTCACACTTCGCATCAAGATGGTTGGTTGAATACTCTTAGAAATAGCTTTCGAACCGGATTATTGTCTCGATCCAGGCGAGCACCGGAAGATGACGACAACCGGGATAGATAATAGATATTCTATTTGAGCTGATTCTACATATCATTGGGCGTTCGGTCACACTATAGCGACTTGACTTTATAAATACATACTGGGTACGGATTTGGGAATGCATCATGGAATATGGTGAATAGGCTAAGGGACAGGACTACCATGTCGGTAGGCGTAATGAAACGGATCAGTTACCTCTTGCAGGGCTCTTCGTCCTTTATAAGTTGCTTTTTTAGAGGAGTGGGGGGGGGCATTCCAAGACTAGATCAGGTCCCTAGTAGGTAATCATGCGTTGCATTGCTAACATGTAACTCTGGGAGTTGGCCCCTGGATTATAGACTATTACGGTCACAGTCGGTAAATAGCCTAGCCTAGGCCAAACGAGAATATCCAGTATACTCGATGGAGGTCGTTGAATAAACTACCTCATATTTGATATTGATATGGAGGGTAAATGCATATATCGGGTATGTGGTCCAAGCTCCTGTCGAAAGGGGCAAGTGATGCTTTAAGATGGACAATGATTGGCTACTTGGAGAACAAGGATTTCCCTTTCCTATGACGACAACATCTGTGTACGATGACAACCTAGGCGGAATCAGTGACATTCAAACATCATCCAACCAATATATACTAGGCCGCACTTTAATTGTCTAACTTACATCTATCTCTACTGAAAACTCAACATAACTTTATTTTCCACCTAATTCCCCTTGAAATTTTACAAAACTCGGAAGTGATTCAAACCGTTTATTCGCAATGTCTGCTGCCGGTTTCGCCAGCAACATGCAGGCAAAGGCCCAAGAGGTCGCGTAAGTACTCCGTCTAACTATAGATACACGGTTCTTCCTTCGAGAAAGCTTACTGATAACTCGCAGAAAGGAAGACTATGAAAAGGCCAAGATTCTCATTTCAGATGCTGCCAAGAGCGGCGCCTATCTGTACCCTTTCAAGTAAATCGAGACGTCCCCACCGAATCATGAGTACCGACTTATGTATCGACTTATCACTAGATATCATAGACTAATATTTCATGTAGGGGCATCATCTATTTTGCAACACATAGGTCGCTATGGAGGCCGTTTTACTCCCGTATCCTGCCCACTTTAGGGCTTACTGCGGGAGTACTTGCTTCTATGTTCTTCTTCACTTATCTACCACAACTGGCAGTCCTTGTCTTCGTAAACGGCCCCTTGGCCGTTTTTACTACAACCCTCCTGGTTCTCAACGAAAGCTCTACCATTGTCAATATCATCTCTCGGAACTTTCTCCTCCAGGAGGCTCTCGTCGACACCTTTGACGGCACCCTGTTAGCAAGGAACGCGAGCGATGTTGTTAGCGAGGGGCGACAACTGAAATCTGGGAGAGACCCTATCGCCAGGTTGGGAAAGCTTATTAAAAACCCATTCTCCAAGTTCACCCCAAAGGCTCTAGTCAGATACATCATGTATCTCCCCCTCAATTTCATCCCCGGTATGTCAGCGATATCTATATCTCAAACCACCTACGAATGCATTTGAAGTCGAGTAGCTAATGAACCATTGGCCAAATAGTTGTCGGCACAGCCCTTTTTATACTTCTTCAAGGTACGTAATATCTATCTGTTCTAGTGATAGTATGTAATTGTAACATGTATTAATATGCAAATCAGGTCGATCAAGGGGTAGCTCTGTTCATAACCGGGTGTGTATTCCCACAATCGTCTCCTGTTCTAGATTATGTCTAACCAGAGACAGTATTTCCAACTGAAAGGGTGGTCTTCGTCGCAACAGCAGGATTGGCATAAACGCCATATCAGCCCATATACAACGTGAGTACTACTTGTTCCCAGCAACTTTACCCCCGCCTACCCCCAAAACATACACTGACACTAGAATGCAGCTTTGGCACAATAGCAACTCTGCTGGAGATGATCCCTGTAGTGTCAATGTTATTTGCATTTACTAACACTGGTACGTTCTCTTCTACCTCTTAAAATGTCTCACAACTGACATCCAGATTAGTGGGTGCTGCTCTCTGGGCTGCCGACATTGAGCAAAAGAAGACACAGACGACCGATGGTACGGCCCCTAGCCTACGAGAATCTGCAAAGAGGGCCGAGTAGGGTGATACCAGAGATGTACCAGACCGCCGTCTCCGAGATTAGGTGGCTCGAAGATCCTGCACGGCGATGCATAGCCGGGATGCATCTTAGTACGACATTAGCTTTTGTATGATTTGGGACGGCTTGTGTCGCCATTACCATCTACATCTTGCAATACTAGGCAAACGTACATGAGGGTCGGTTGGTCTATGGAGATTCAGGTTACTTACCATATGCCGAGAATGTGCAGACATCGTCACTTCAGAATCGGTTTCCAAGAGGGGCACTAATTATGAAATGTGCTTGATCTGATACGGTGGCCTGCTAGAGTTACATGGACATATTCCCAGTTTAAATGCCCGCATGTCTTAATCTTGTCTCTTATCCTGGGGAAAAACTTTCACACGTGCTGTCCCAGCTCACGGCCGTATGTCTCAAGCAAGTGTGTGGAGTGTGTGGGAAACCGCACAATCTTCATTAATCAAATCGAAACACGTCAATGCTGCAGGAAACATGCCTTATCTTCTGGAAATTTTCGAGTCCGATTTGTCAGATTTTGAAGTAGATGTAGAGATGGTCTCTCATACCTTTGAGCTGGAGGTTTGCTTCCAGCGAAGGCAAAGCGAGCCCGCGGGAGCTGCTGCAGTGAGGCTTTTGAACGTGGTACATACGAGCCAGGGTACGAAATGAAGCAGAGTTCGTGGCCACCGCCATCTAGATGAGTCTCTGTTCACATTGTCTCTTCTAGTCTCCTACCGAGCTGTCGTCTTAATTCGTGTCGTCTCATTAACGCAGTCGGAGATAGGGGTAGCCAAATAGCTTCTCGAATCGAGCCATCCAGAGACTTGATTATATTCAATCTCAATCAAGGAAAGATGGTTCTCTTCAAGGCGATCTTGAATAGGCTACCTGTAGAACGGGTAGCTGCATTTGACACTTACCACCTAGCGAGGCTCCTTGCAGCTCGATGCATACAGCCTCATCTAGTGCAAGGAACCGTGCGACCACGACGGTACTTGGGCAATGTGAATGCAGTAAGTGGGACACCTATGGTAGAACTTTCGGAGAACTGTTGAGTTTCTATCGCTTACACAGCAATCAAACTGGGCCCTAACTGTTTGACATGCATGAATATGCACATCTTGATTTGCTACCAGGTCGATGGGTGGTAAAGAGGCAATATTACACGATGACACTGCAACTCCAAGATTTAACATGTTACAGCAGCGAGCACAGTGTCCAGCACTCTAATCCCATATACCCTTCGTAATCTTATAGTAGCAGTTCATAACACTCTAGCATCAGTAAAGGGGGGAGAAGCTCTCAGGGGATTATGTGCCTAGCAATGCTGTATCGTTTGTCTTAAAGCTTGGGACTCTTGTACGATGGCGTTGAGTCTGCAACGTTTGAAAAGATAAAAACTAGAATGATATAAACGTGGGGAAAATCAAGTAAAAGAAGATCATTGTCTGAGTTGATCGCCGTGTTTCCAAAAGTCTTTCATGGACATCTCGACACGAACGGCTTCCTATAGCATAACTACATGTGAACATCAGCACGCCATAACATTCAGAGTTGCCTACCTACATGTAGGTATATAGGTGGGCATTTTTTCTGGAAAGCATATGTATGAGTTGTTTCACAAATACAAATGTACGTAACCTGAATATCACAAGGTGAACCTCTAGATTTAGCAGCTTTCGTATAATTTTCAACGGGGGACGACATCCGGATCTAGGGAAGAGGAATATTGATGCTGTCTTCTCCCGTGTGGCGAGTGTTGCAAGGGCACTTGAACGGGTAGACGAGTAGAAGAAATTGAGATGGAAGGCTTCTAGCAGAGATCTTCGCTGGTGTTTATGATAGGTACATACATACACATGCAGTTGAGGTGTACATATGTATGTATATGTGTATGTAGATTTATTCACCAGATGTGCAGATGTTCATGTTCTCTTCAGGGGATGAAATACCTTGATGTACGTACTGCTACATAGCATGTAGCGCTGAAAGTATTATACTTGGGTACCTCATCGTCTACTTGATACCTAAAAGTGGGGATGTCACCCTTTTCTCTCGGTCAAAATCCGAAGCTGTCTCGAGGTAATCTCTCTAATCTCTCATGATGGTGACGCTCTTTCCTTCAATGTTGCCAAAAGGGCAACAGACAGAATGCCTGTCCATGCATTTAGCTTTTCACGCCCCAAACCCCAAACGGCCCACCTACCACGTTTTATCCCTCCCAGCCGTCACTTCCCTTCTTTCTATAATTGGCGTGTTCCTCTCAGTTCGTCTGCTCAAGAGTCATTTATCTGGGTACCTCCTTCTCTTCTTTCGTTTCCCTTTTCACATCGCCTATCTCTCTCTTACTAGTCTTACACACGTACACTCTCTTTCTCTTTACCTCCAAAAACGCTGGGAAAATCTACATAGTGGTGTAGAAGGAATTCCTTCTTTTTCCCCTTTACCCCTTTCCCCTATCATTACGGTATCATCATCATCATCATCATCGATTCCCCAATATATACCATCCAGTATCATTCTCTTTATTTCTTTCTCCCTACCACTACCGGCATAAAGTCGACTACGTTCATTTTATTCTCATCGTGTACTACAGTCTCTTACTTAACATTCATTCCAAGCATCTGTAGTGTATCTCAAGGGGCTTAGAGTTGTCTCGAAAGATCATCTATTTCCTCTGCCATGAGGGTCCTAACTCTCGCCGTCGACTTGGTGTCGGCAACTCTGCTGCTCGGCAGTATCACTGCCGTTGCAGCAGTGTCACAAGGAGAGGACATGTCTATGAAGCATGACTCCTTCTCCGACGACACTCGTGGGGAAATTCATTACGAACTCTTTGGTGGGCCTCCGCCGGATCGCGGCGCTTATAATTATCCTACTCCTACCTATGGAGGATATGGCCCTCCTCCCCCTCCCCCCTCGACTTCGAAGACTTCTGTCACATCGTCTACCTTAGGTCAATTCAGTGCTAGCACAAACTTGCCCAGCATCTTTAGTAACAGTAGTCTTACTTCAACTTTCGGTGCCGCTTCTACTATTTTATCAGGTATTAAATCTTGTGCTAGACTTCTATGAAGGCATCTACTCACACTGCTTAGCCTCGTCCGAACCAGGTTCAACAACCCAGTCAGGATCAGTGCCAATCAGCAACTCTATACCATCTCTCTCCAGTGTGCCAAGCTCTGGTCCAGTAGGTTACCCCGATGAATATTGAGAAGATATTCGCGAAAGACACGGCGCATATCTAATAGCCAGACTCTTTTTCTAACTTCAAAATAGGGTAGTGTTCCAAGTCCAACAGCTTTAAACACGAGCAGTGGTGCGGGTATTGGCAGTGGACCCCAAGGCCAAACTGTATCGCAACCTACTGGCCAGACCAGCGCCCCTACCAATACTATTGGTACCAATCCAGCAGGTGAAAGTACTAGTACTTTCATTACAGCGAGCACAGGAGAAGCTGTTACGATAATTACATTGTCATCAGGAATATCGGTAACTATAACTGTAATCCAGACTATAACTACAAGCGGGACCTCCGGCACAGCCGCGGTAACAGGAAGTAATCCAAACACTGAATCACAGTTCTCAGGCAGCATTCCATCAATCATAACATCATCTGGAATTATGAACGTCACAGTTTCTGAGCCAGGATCGCCGCAAAGCACTATATTCTCTGGCTCGGAGCCTATATCTTCGGGGGCATCAAGCGCGTCACCAGTTCCCTCTTCTGGTATATCTTCAGTTTTGAACAGCGGGAGTTCTACTCTCAACCCAGTGGCCAACTCAACATCCATTGTCAATCCTTCAGGTCCCACGTCAACCGGAAGCAGTTCATTCTCAGTTCCAATATCCATGCCCTCGTCTGTTCCGTTCATCAGCTCTGAGGCTAGTTCTATCACGTTAACTTCGAAACCAGCTACGATCCCCGTATCTTTTTCCAATAGCAGTTTGATCACAGGCTCTGCTAGCACTAGCGCTGCCATTTCTTCTTTCGGCGGCTCAAGTACTGGTTCTGTATTGTCTTCAGGAATTATCACGACAGGGAGCTTCGGTGGAAGTTCCACCCCTAGCGGTATTAGTTCGGTTTTCAATGTTACTTCCACGTTACCAGTTGGCCCTTCAGGTCAGGGTGTTCCTAGTGGCACAGGAAGTACTGAAGCGTCAGCATCGACAATCGCATCTTTTCCCGCGGGCTCTGGCTCATCGAGCTTGGCGGCTTCCAGTCTTCCCCCTTTTCCTACTTCAAACGCGACAAGTAGCATACTGCCTCCTGGAGGCACCTCAGTGAATCCAACTTCCAGCTCAAGTATTAGAGTCACACCCTTCCCAACAAGAAGCTCTACGGCCTCAATATCCACAACGTCAACATCAATTATGTTGATAAGCAGTGTTGTAGCGTCTGGGTCACTTACAGAAAGTCGAACATCCTCTCCACCAACAGCACCTTTCCCAGTTTCTAACAGCAGTATTGGTATCACTACTAGTATCGGAAGTCAATCTCTTTCGTTGACAGGGACAGGAAGCCCTCAACCATCGGGTTCCGCATCGGGCTCAATTCCATACTCAAGCGCCAGTTCAGTGCCTAATCCCTTTGACAACTCAACAACACCACTGACAACTATCGGAAGTTCTACTATTCTGCCTCCCAGTCCGTCTTCTCAAGAAGGTAGCCCTGGTGGCCAAGGAATTTCACCAACTCCGCCGTTTCCAGCAAACACAACGACGAATCCTTCAGCCTCAGGTATTCAGCCAACAGGCGAAAACACCATGACATTGTCGAGTGGCTCTATTCATAGTGGTCTATCTTCCGTCACCTCTGTGTCAGCTCCCTTCCAAATGACAAACTCGTCAGTCATGACAGGTGGTCCTACAGTCCCATTGCCGTCTAGTTCACTACCAACAATCTTAGCAAGTAGTAGCGTGATAGCAAGCCCTGGAGTGTCTTCTCCATTGCCTCCATTCCCCGTTACAAACTCTACAGCGTTCCCTTCAGGTCCCACAGCTACATCCTCACCGAGCATTTCATCCGGCGTTTTCCCTCCCAGTAGCCAGCCTGGAACTCAGAGTTTGCAGTCAAATCCGACTTTCACTTTGACGGGTGGCTCTTTGAGTAGCCCATCTTTGGGGATTAGCACTGGTTTTAGTGGTACTGCAACCTTCCCATTCTCAGGTGTCGGTTCAATATCACAGCCACCATTCCCTCTATCAAACACTACTGGGGGACCAAACGGCCAATCAGTTCCTACGACAGCGACGGGTAGCTTTCCAACTCAATCTGCCAATACATCAGCATTGACTACCGTTGGAAGTTCACTCACGGGAACCATTCCCGGACAGACAAATAGCAACATTCCGGGAGCAAGTAGCGGGTTTAGTAGTCCTGGCCTTACGGTGTCTCAATCATCACCACCATTCCCATTTCCTAATTCAACTATATCAGCCACTGGTCAGACAGTACCAACAACCAGCTTCCTCTCCAACACAGCCATTTCAGCATCGACATTTCCTACGACTGTGTCAGGATCGCTGACTCCATCGAGTGGCATCCTCTCACCTAGTGGCTCTCAGTCAGCCCCTTTCCCCATGTCTAATTCGACCCTGTTAACACTAGGCTCCACCGGTCCATCAAACACAGGCACCGGGTCTTCGTTCGGTAGCATAACAGGGCAACCTACTGGTTCAGGTGGCAGCACAATTGCCACCCTTTCAGCCCCGTTTCCATTTTCAAACTTTACAACCCCAACTTCCGGACCAACAATTACTTCTTCGCTTTTAGGAACCGGTGCATCTAGCTCCCCGAGTGCTAGTGGTCAATCCCCACCATTCCCATTGAGCAATGCCACAACACCGGTGTTATCGTCCACGGGGAGTCGAGTGTCTACTGGACCAGGCCCAGTCTCTCTCAGCTCCACGCCTATACCGACAGGGTCATTTATAAACACAACTACACTCTCGATAGGTTCCACTGTCGGGCCTAACAGTGCGGGTGGCACCATAAGTTCCGGCGTTTCCAGCGGTATTACTGCCCAAGTCCCTGGTTCGTCTGCACCATTTCCCATGCCCAATGCAACAATCTCCGCAAGTGGTTCTTTAGCATCATCAATCAGTATTTCGACTGGACCAACAAGCCCACCAAATGGCCCCTCCAATTCAACTATACCGTCTATAGGAACTCCCTTTGGCTCAGGGACAGGTGGTAGCTCTATCATCACATCCATTTCTCAATCAGTCCCATCAGCGCCCCCATTCCCGTTGTCAAATTCCACTGGAAGTCTGCGACCAACAGTTTCTTCCAGTGGACTTTCGGGCCTGTCAAGTTTTCCGACGGGTTCAACCACGATCTCAGCCGCCACGGCTACCACTCAAGCAATCCCAAGCACAGTTGGAACTGGAAGTGTACCTTCAAGCGCTCGTAGCTCATCTTTGGGTACCGGACTACCTACACTACCACCTGAAGTATCAACTTCCACCCCACCATTTCCCTTGACAAATGCTACAATATCCCCGAACCCGACTATTCCAGGTGGTGCTTCTGTTAGCCCCGGAACTGAGCCTACTCCCAATTCAGGCACTACTGGAAGTGGTGGTGCATCTAGCACATCATCTGGGCTCTCACAGACCACTCCTCCGTTCCCCCTTTCGAATTCAACAACTTTATTAGGCCCAACCGCTTCGATCAGTGGCTCTTCTGGAGAACCAATTACTGGAAGTGAGAGCGGGTTTGGAAGTACTCCGACTACCAGCGCCAGTGGAGTTAGTTCATCCGTCTTAGTCTCTAGTACTGTTCCGTTATCATCTTCCAACACCACATTGTCATTCTTCAACCCTTCTACGAGTGGACCCACTGGACAACAGACAGGAACCGGTATTCAGTCAACATCACAGATTCCGGTTTCCTCAGGTACCGGCCCTCTTACTTCTAGTGGCCAACCGATCTCGAGCTCGGTGCCGTTTCCCCTATTAAATAGTACCTCGACTCCTATGTTCAGTACTGGGCAACTACCGAGTACTAGTGAGACATCAGTTGTGTCGACAACAGCATCCGGAGTTTCTTCCTTTACGTCTCTCGCAACGTCCTCTGGGCCTTTAAGTTCGTCATTGGCTGGGGTAAATGTAAGTTCTATTACGAACACTATATCTTCAATTACTGTTTCCACTGGGCAGCCCGGCGCAACAAGTCAACAATCCTCTGTCAGTTCATTCACCACAACCTTGAGTATCACACCTATCCCATTTCCTTTATCCAATTTTACCACATCAGGGGGACCTACGGGGCCGATCCCGTTTTCGTCAAGTCCATCTATCACGGGAGCAACACCGGGCGCACCAGGTGGACAAGGTATTCCCCCGGAGATTACACCGTCTTCGGCTTTAGGCCCTTCTGTTACGGCATTTTCTTCAGATACCTGCTCCGAGGAGCCCCTTACCACCCAGCTACCGGACACAACCTGTACAGAGAGCGAGACTCCCATCATCACATTTGATACAACTTGTACTGAGGAGACGATCACGCAGTCGGGTATGATCACCACATTGACATTTTCGTCAAGCGTCTTGATTACGTCGAGCGTAGCGGCTGCTACAGGAGCCCCCCCGTTTCCAGCTTCGTCGTTGAATGGAAGTTCGGCTTCTCCGCTAGCGCCATCTAGCACGGGAGCCTCCATAGGTGAGCGACTAAAAACTGCAAATGAACTAAGTGAAGAAAATTAACGAAAGAAATAGGAAACATAACATCGTTTGATAGTAGTGGTCACCCGACTACTTTCCAGACCTCAACCATGGTGTCCATATCCAGTCAGCTCTTCAACAACACCAGTGTCACTCCCGAATCAACTCCTGGTGTCGTGTCGGTGGCTAGTCCACCACCTTCGCCGCCAACGATAGGATTACCTCCTCCCATGCCAGATAGTGACCATTGGCACACTCCTCCAGCCGGTCCTACGCCTACTGGAATTGAGGTACGAGCTACGACGCACAGTGATACTATGTCTTATTGGCGTCGATTCGTCAACGGGCTATTTTCAACTAGCGATAATGAGGAGACGATGCCGTAAGGCATTGAATCGTACATTGCACCGTGCATTTTCGGCTTTTCCTTTACCACAATGTCTAACCATCTAACGGGCGTATTTCGGATGGATTGCTTGAGCTTGTAAGTGTGTAATAGAAAATGATATCACCATTTCTTTTTTGGCTCGTGGATGAGGATGAGAACTTAGATGAGAGGATGATAATGGGGACAAAACTTAGAGTTTCATGTGGTTCTGTAATAACATAATTGCTTCTCATTCCACATGTTTATCTCAAACCAAAGCACTCCTTGGATATGGAAGATCAGCTATTAGCCGTGATAACGTCTTGGATTGTCTCTTGAAGATCACAATGTTGCTGTTAATGTAGGCAAGGACAGAACCCTGAGTTTCTGTCAGCTTTGAATACAGATCTACCCAGGTAGATAACGTATAGCTAGACATCCAGGCATCCAGGCAGCCTAATATGAGGTCTCAGGGTCATGATACTCTCCGGGGCATGCATAATTGCATGAATGGTCAACGCCGCGCACCCGCATTATATCAGGCAAGTACTCCAGTTATATAACTTGAGCCTCCCGCAGCCAAAAGAGGCGGGGAGACGGGGAGATGGGGAGGCCGGGAAATAAATGTAGGTGGACTTGTATATTAAAAGGATAAGATCTAAAGATCAGACCTTACTATTAAAATGTTCTTAAATACATAACCATAGTGTTTTGCATTTTCCTTTTTAACGTACCTGCCATTATCTACTGGGGGGGGATAATAGTGCCTATCCCAAGCACCTCCAAACTTCGTTTTAACAACGTTAATAAACTCTAATATAAACGTTCCCAAATTATATAGTTATTTAATAAGTATCAAAGATAGATAACGTTGTATTGGAATAGTAATAAGGTGCCAAAAATATGATCTTTTAAAGTAAAAAATTAATCGGATAAATAAGGTGTAGTGTATCTTATATAAGAGGTAATAAAATAAGCCATAATAATTAGTAAACTGTAGGCTTTTTAAATTAAATAAATGGTTTTTAGACTTTTTAATTTGAATAAATTAACTATAGACTTTTGATTAAACGATTTTTAAATAAACAGCTTTTGGAACAAACGACTTTTTGAATAAACGTTAACTTTTAAAACAGAGCTTTTAATCAACAATAACGTTTTAATTAATAAAAGGATTAAAATAATTTTGAAAATAATAAAGGTCTTAATTATCAAAAAAAACCAAAAACCAAAAATAAGACTATTACCATAGTTCTTCCGGTAGGGGGGTTACCAGATAAATGTGGGTGGATTTGTATATTAAAAGGATAAAATCTAAGGATTAGACCTTGCTACTAAAATGTTCTTAAATACATGACCATAGTGCTTCGCACTTTCTTCTTTGGCGTACCTGCCACCATCTCCAGGATAATACTTGAAGTTACAGTACATGGTATGTACCTATTTTACCCCTTACCTTTTCTCTTTACCGCCAATTTTGACGCTTTATGCTAGCACATAGCACCTAAGCACTTGGCAATTACTCAGCCTTCTGACGGTTTGCTTGTCGATGGTTGTCGATGGTTGAGATATCAAGTTGGAGTAGTGAGAATTGAGTATTACGATTTAGGTAATTAATGTCTATTAAGGCATCATCCAGGGTCTACAAGCCGAGAGCCGTCATATGGATGGAAATACCCTGCTTGAACATGACCGATAAAACTGGCTAAAAAAGATCGGGTCGGGTTTAGTGGAGGACGATACCCGTAGCGGCTGTCGCTGAAGCACTAAGCACGTCATCAAGGCTAAATACCATTCGATTGATTTTTTTTTAAACCATGTTCTAGCCGTTCTAGCGTAGGGCGAATAATAAGTACCTCCAAGTACTAAAATAGTACGTAGGTTATAGGTGGGTACGTATAATACCCAGTACAGATTACGTATCTTCGATATCTTTAGTTTCAAAGACATTGAAGTCGGTTTTTTTTTCTTTCCTAAATTTTTCTTTTTATATAGAACTTTAGTAAGGTTGTAATTATTGTCAGAACGTGGTTCCAAGTTTCCATCTTTTTCATCTACTTTACCTCGTCTTAAACGCACTCGTACGTCTCGTTTATCAATCTATACGTATAGGGTCTGTGATCCATCCCATCTATTCGTCCCGAGACAATGGCCAACCCCCCTCATGGCGGCGTCCTCAAGGACTTGCTTGCGCGAGACTTCCCTAGACAGGCGGAGCTTGCGGCCGAGGCTGAAACTCTCCCCGCCATCACTTTGACCGAGAGACAACTCTGCGATCTTGAGTTGATCCTCAATGGCGGCTTCTCGCCTCTTGAAGGTGTGTTTTACCCCTTAAGCTGGTCTCTTGATGCTTGCGCCCCCTCTACGCAGTGTATTGCTACGGAGCTCTCCCCAAGCGCCTATATCGGCCTTGGGGGGTGGGTTTGAGCTGCACAAGACTTTGTACCAGCTTGGGTCTCCAATAGGTTCGGAATGAAACTTACGTAATTCAATTTATAGGGTTCATGAACGAGGCCGATTATAAGGGGTGAGTTCTTCTAAGACTATGCTGTTCATAGATAAAATTAACGTTTTATATAGTGTCGTGAAAGAGAACAGACTGGCCGATGGGGTCTTGTTCAGCATACCGATTACCCTAGATATCTCTGGGGAAACAATCAAGGAACTTGGCCTCAAGTCGGGTACCCGAGTGACGTTACGTGACCTTCGTGACGACAGAAACTTGGCTATTCTTACCGTAGATGACGTCTATAAGCCAGACAAGTACGGCTCTATCCTCTTCTGTCGATAGACTTTGCGAAAGTAAACCCACTAACATAGTCGCTAGGGTCCTCGAAGCTAAGGAGGTGTTCGGGAGTGATGATGAAGCCCACCCGGCTGTCAAATACCTCTTCAGAGAGGCTGCCGAGTTCAATGTAGGCGGCAAAGTAGAGGCTGTCAACCGCCTACAACACTATGACTTTGTAGATCTCCGATGTAAGTCAGATCTCGGTCTAGAACGATTGCTTTATGGAAACTGACTGACGTGCTCGTAGATACACCCGCCGAGCTCCGCTTACATTTCGATAAGCTTGGTTGGAGCCGTGTTGTGGCTTTCCAGACAAGAAACCCCATGCACCGCGCCCACAGAGAGTTGACTGTCCGTGCTGCTCGTTCGCATCACGCAAATGTGCTCATCCACCCGGTGGTTGGCTTGACCAAGCCCGGTGACATTGATCACTTCACCAGAGTTCGTGTCTACAAGGCCCTGTTGCCAAGATACCCCAACGGCATGGCCGTGCTGGGTTTACTTCCGTTAGCCATGCGCATGGGCGGTCCCCGTGAAGCCATATGGCACGCCATCATCCGCAAGAATCACGGAGCAACCCACTTTATTGTCGGCCGAGACCATGCCGGCCCCGGAAAGAACAGCCAAGGTGTTGATTTCTATGGGCCATACGATGCTCAATACGCAGTTGAGAAATACCGCGATGAGCTTGGTATTGAAGTCGTGCCATTCCAAATGATGACTTATCTGCCCGACAAGGACGAATATGCACCCATCGACGAGATTGCCAAGGATACCCGTACTCTAAACATTTCTGGCACTGAGCTGCGCTCCAGGCTTAGAAGTGGCCGAGACATCCCCGAATGGTTCTCGTACCCTGAAGTCGTCAAGGTGCTTCGTGAGTCGCACCCTGCGCGAGCTTCGCAAGGATTCACTGTTTTCTTGACAGGCTACACAAACAGCGGAAAGGACCAGATTGCCAGAGCTCTACAGGTCACTCTCAACCAGCAAGGTGGTCGATCAGTGTCCATGTTGCTCGGCGAGAACGTGCGACATGAGCTATCATCTGAGCTAGGCTTCAGCAGGGAAGACCGCAGCAAAAACATTGCACGTATCGCATTCGTGGCTGGCGAGCTTACCCGATCAGGTGCCGCCGTCATCGCTGCTCCTATCGCGCCGTTCGACCAAGACCGAGCTTTCGCTAAGGAGGCTGTTGAGAAGTACGGCGACTTCTACCTAGTCCACGTCGCCACTCCCCTCGAGTTTTGCGAGAAGACTGACAAGCGAGGAATCTACGCCAAGGCTCGCGCGGGAGAAATTGTAGGCTTTACGGGTGTTGATGACCCGTATGAGCCTCCCTCTAAGCCCGACTTGGTCGTCGACTGTGAGAAGCAGACTGTACGATCTATCGTGCACCAGATTGTGCTGATGTTGGAGAGCCGTGGCCTGCTAGATCGCCTATAAACTTGGCCAGGCTTGTAGGAATATATCTTTAGGAATTCATGAGGGATTGAGCTCCGTAGCAGGAATTCTATATTGGCATATTATGTGATAGATAGATGAAGATGGAAAGGGATAGACTCATACATATAAAACAAAATGAGCGAGCCTACCTTTGGCGTGCAGCCGCGAAAGCGTAGATGGCACCCGGGTTTACCTTTAGGTTCCAGATTAGAAACTAAGTAGGCGCTGATACTACTAGCTATTGGAGAATATAAATACAAATCGGTTAAAAATGATTGCTTTAGTTTTTGAAGATATTTGTGTGACATGTGAACTGTAAGGGATGTGATAGCGGTACATATCACATAATTCCCCTCTTCGCACGTACGTAACTTGAAGGTTACGAGGTAACCCGGTATATTAAAAATAGCATTAGAGTTGTAGGTTACACACACGTGAATGCTCGGCAACAATGATTGGCCTACATTTAGCGAGGCGTAATTGACTGATAGGAATAGAAGTACAGGTACTTGTGTCTTGAAGTTTTAATCGGTATAATTGATATTGACACATATGTTGCAAGAAGGGAAGAAAGTCAAGGTACATGAACTAACTGATTATAGATCCCTAACCCGATTCCTGCAATATGGTTCGTCAAATTTTAACTAAGCGGCTGCGTAGCGCGAATGAATTGTTCGACAAAAAAAAAGGAAACTCCAATCGTTCAACCGTTTACCTTTCCACTTCCAAGTTGTGACTTACGCCCTTGAACCATTTTTACCTTTTGCTGTCACTGTCACCGTCACTGTCACCGTCACCATCATTGTTACCGCTTCCCGTCCCGTCCACCCCCCCTGTTCCTCGTCCTCGTCCTCGTCACCGTCACCTCCACCTCGTTCTTCCTTCTTGCATCTTTGGGAATCTGCAAGTATCATTTCTTGTACTTCGCTTTCACCACTTTTTTTTCCCTTTTCTTATCCATACCAAGTACCTGATTTTTTATTTGATACCCTCCCATTTACATAAACCACCCAAACGGCTGCCTGGTACCAACACACACGCCCATCTTTATTTCCCGATTGTGGCCACCAATACCAGGTCATTCATGCCGTATCTATGCCCTATCGTTGAGGGGCGCTTTGATTTCACCCACAAAATCTTTGGCAATTGTTTCCCCGTCAACCTCTAATTAGCCGTTGGGCCCAGTCGGGCTCACATAGTCTGCCACAATGGGCTCCAAAGACCCCGAAGTCGATGGGACCACTGATGGTCGTCCACGAGATCGGCGCCGCAGCAAGAACGATCGAGAGCGAGAGAGGGACAAGGAGCGGGCCAAGGGGGAGAAAGATGGCCATCTTCATCATCATAAATCCCACCGCTCTAAGCACAAATCCACTACTGATGCCGATTCCCATACATCATCACACCGCCGTCATCGAACAAAAGAGGAGAAAGAAAAAGAAAGAGAGAGAGAGCGAGAACGAGAACGAGAGAGAGAACGTGACCGACGAACATCATCAATGAACGACTTAGTGCCCGAGCTCGCGAGAACCTCCATTGCTAGCAGCAGAGTTAGCTTACCGTATCCCACCTTCAGCAAGGCTCACAGTAAAGAAGCCGTACTTAGCCGCGAAGATGTAGGCAACCCAACCTATCACGAAGAGCCTCTCACCCCCGACACTACAGACCTTGGCTCTGGCAGCAAAAGGTCTAAATCACCAGATCCCTCAACTGGTAGGAAGAATATGCACAGAGATGGTCGACCTCCTAGTCCCCCCGAGACAGACTTGTCGGAAGAGAAGAAGAGACGGGGCAAGACGTCCTCGGCGAGGTTAAGAGAGGACCAGGATTCGGGCCTGGAAAGATCCAAATCGAGAAGATCCAGTATATCTCGATCCGGTTCGAAGCACGACGATAAGTCAAAGATATCTATGAAGTCTAAGGCTTCGAGCCTAGCCACTACCATCCAGTCTCCTCCGGCCTATCCACCACCCCCACCCCCACCGCCGCCTCCTCCTCCGCCACTGGGTGTAGAGGTTCGCTACGATCACGATGGTGCTTCTAGTTTGAGTGATAGCATAACTGTAGGAGCTCCGTCAACCACTACTTCCGTTCCGCCGAAGCGAACAGCCTCTGCGAGAACCCCAAGAGTTCACAGAGCTCCCAGCCCAATCGAAGTCGATTACTCGCCTGAATCTGTACAGGACTCCTCACCGAAGACACCTACAGCTACGCCGCAGTTTCCACCCCAGGGATTTCCATACGATAAGTTCGACTCTGGTAACAGACATGAGGAACAACGTCATATTTCTTCAGCCACTCCGGCAAGTCAAGCGACGGACTTCGGACCTCCGCCTCCACCGCCGCCGCCGCCCCCTCCGTTGAACTTACAAGCTCCTCGAGTCGACTATCTGCTTCAATATGGCGGTCTGCCACACCCCATACCGAAGAATTTCTTGTCAGTGATTCCGCGCCAGAATGGAACACGACCTTCCAACCCACCTCTAGCCGGTGCCGAGACTTTGTTTGCGCCTTTCTTCAACCTTTTAGATCAATACCTATCGGTCATGAACAAGCAAGGCTCGGTAGCAGTTGCGACAGGTCACAAATCCGTAGCACGCCGATTACTTGACCGATTAGAAGATGTGTTCTCTAGAGATCTTCCTGCCGAGGGTTGCCCGTGTATCATGTGCGACCAGGCACCAGGTGAGCATCGAGGATTAGGCTGGGGTGAGGTATTGGAACGGGTTGGGGGTAGGGTTGAAATGCCTTCCTGGCCCCCCTTTGATCTGGCTTCTCTAAGCGCGAATGCCATCGAGAGCGCAACGGACATGCCTCCCAGACCAGCGTCTCCCATCAAGTTGGACCCCGATATCGCCGAAGAGTTTAGGGGCCATTACCTACGACAGTCCAAGAAGGTCAGGTCGGCGGTTGACCGATGGATGACCAACTGCGCCGAAGCACCTGCACCGGCGCCCTCCGAGATTGACGACGAGACGTTGACTTTTGCCATTCTCACCAATCTTGATCACGAGGAACGCCCGTACTTCAATGCTCTACTCACCGGCGCCCGGGAACTACAACCTGCCGTACGAGCACCTACACCACTGCGCAAAGCCAGGTCAGATTTCATGATCAAGACCGGCTTAGCCCTACAGCGACTTTATCGCCTACCTCAGGCACCCCGTGACTCGGAGACGGCTGTGTTCCTGGTCAAATATCCTTCCCACCATGATCTCCTTGCCACTATCACGGATATCAGCCCGGCAGAGTGGGAGATTCTCATCTCGGGCCGCTTCGATGGCTTTTTGTGGTCCGGCGCCGATGCTGATGACGCGATGGCGGCTATGGCCGACAGCTCACCATCTCGAGGTGCCACGCCCGCAAATGCGTTCTCGCCCCGACCATCTTCCCGAGGACCCAGCGGGGGAGTACGACATACACCGAGTTTCGCATCTCGGAGCACGACTCCATTCTCCGGCATGTACTCCCGTGGTGCAACACCGGCATCCTTTATATCCCTGACATCGTCTGCTGGACCGGGTCACAGTCGCCAACCTGTGTCTCACGACGAAGAAGTGGAAATGGCCGCTCTGGCTGAGGTGGAAAGAGAAATCTACCGGGGCATGGAAACGCTCGAAGACGCATTTGAGAAGCTTCACGAGCGTGCGGAAGTTGTGCGAAACGCTCTCCGACAGCGTAATAACGGCTTACTGATGAACCAACAAAACCGTCGTTCGGGAAGAATCGATGTTTTCCCGCAACTATCAGGCAACTCGCAGGGCTCCGAGAGACCGCCGTGGGCCGTTGGAGACGACGATGGTGTGGCGAGTGAGAGCGACTGGGGTGGCGATGACATCGACTTAGCTCCCGAGGACTCAGCAAGCAATATTTCGAGTTCGAGACATAGACGTCCGAAGCGAAGAAACGAACGAAGAACCCCAGCTCCTATCGAAGAAGACGACGAGGAAAATTAAATTTCACTATCTCGACTGATTACCTAGCATGCACCGGGTTTATATTGGGGTCAGTTGGTTCTGCTGTTTTACTTCACGAACGTCACGAACGAACCGACCAAAAGTTCTCTGATACCATTTTCGACCTGATTTCTTTTTCTTCTTCCTCTTTTCTACATTGCATTACGAGTGGCTACATACATGAGCCAGTTACGAGTTGATTATCATGATTCCATGGAGGGACGGTTGAGTTGATAAGGAGGGAGGGAGGGGGAGAAAGAGAGAGAAGGGCACAGGGCATTAAATCACGATCTAAAAAAGGGAATAAATGAGTTTAACTGAGTGGAAGTGGTCAGCCAATCTTCTAGCCGACTCAGGAAGCTCGGTCTAGTCAAGGGGCTTTTTTTTTCTACCTTTTTTTCTCTTCCAAACGGTTGAACCCTCAAATTCTGGTCGTTTATTTACCTACCTTACGAGGGGGTAGTTGACTCAGTACCCATACCATACGTTTACGTACAATACAACATTTGCATGGGATCGGAGTTTTAGCTTATGTATCCTTTTTTTTTTTTTTTCTGTCGTTATGTTTTTTATGCTTTTGGTGCTTTTGAAAATGGTGAAGGGGGAGGAAAGGAGAGAGAGGCAGAGGCAAAGAGGAGAAAGGGAGGTGGGAGGTGGAAGGTGAGTCTGAGGAGGAAGGGAGAGGGGGGGGGGGGGATAGAAGATACCAAAACAAGAAAAAAAAATGCCATCGGAATGGAATGGATGTCCTAATAAGGACCACAGGATTTTGGGCATACATAGCTACCTGAGCTAACTACTAAGGTGGCATATATTAGGTATGTAGGGAGTACGCAGGTGAGCCTGGTGAGGTGAGGTGCTACTACCTACCTACCTACCTACCTACCTACTTATAGTCGATACGATTTTGCTAGCAAATGATGATGAGATGATGTATGTATGTATGTATGTAGTTATGTAGTTATGTATGTAGAATATACATACAATGTGTGTTATTGCTATATCATACCCCGAAGATCCGTTTTCCATGGGTGCTTTCAAGATAGACAGGGTGATGATGGTTTTGATTTGTGTAACCTAGATATTTGCATTGTAGTGGTATCAATCATTCTGGACCCAAGAACAAAAAAAAAAAGAGAATGCCATGCCATACCAAACCATACCATACCATGCCGTCGTCCTAATCAATTATTCGCCAATGACCTTTGCCTTGCTTATTTGTGTGATGTGATATACGATATGTGATATGTGTGTGTGCTCTCTCTTTTGTGTTGCCTTGTCCTTTCGCCTTTTGCCCCCTTTCCTCCTCCCCTCGTTTCCCAGCCCACCCATCATTCCCCAAGTTATATAAAAATGGAAAAAAGATATAAAAAAATGGAAATCATATATAGGTATATACATAAGTAGGTAGTAGGTAAATAAGTCAGTAGGTATAGATAGAAGCTGTCTCTCTCTCTCTCTCTCGTTTCTTTCTCTCTGTTAACCTTGAATAAGGAAACGGGAAATGGTCCAAGCATCGTATTTCTTCGTACGCCTCGCCTCTGATCTACCAAAACACATAAGGCTAAGGTATGGTTAGATGACCTTATAGGCTACCCGTGCTTTTGTAAAAAGAGGCATCGACACATGCATACTCTTCGATAGCATTAGATATATCGTAAGTACCTAGTAGAGTCCCTCGTGCTCGACAAAAATACAAGAGAAAAGAAACAGAGTAGAGAAGGAGTCCAGATCTCATTAAGAAGCCATCAACTCAGGGGCTCCGACTAGCTTAGGTAGGATATTCGGGGTGTGTGGGCGCATGTATGTGTGTGTATAACTCTCATGCTGCGGCTGCCATAGAAAATCGTCCCTTCTTCGGCATCTTGGACCCCTTGTTCGCGACGGCCTTCTTGGAATCGTCCACCTCTGTCTTCTGTGAGAAATCCTTCCATTTTCTCCATCCATCAAAGTCAATCAGAGCCTGCATACAGCCCCATTCCATTACTTTCCGTTCGAGCCAGACAAAGTTGACGGGCTGTGGTGGTGGAAATTCATGTCAGCAAATCATTTGGATTATACAGGTTGGGGAGGGACATGGTAATATGTAATCGTTTTACTTACCTTGGTCAAGAAATCATTACAACCGGCAGCCAAGGCCTCGTGTCTGTCGCTTTGCAGCGAACTCGCCGTCAAGGCGACGATGATGACAGGGCTCTTGAACATTTCCGTGTTGACCAGCTTATCTTCCTCGGCAGGTTCTGCCTTGACTTCATCCGGCGGACTGCTGGCGGATGACGAGAAGACGCCGATAGAGTTGACCTTTTCTATTCGTCTAATCTCACGAGTAGCTTCGAGACCGCTCATGACAGGGAGTTGGATGTCCATGAGAACCAAATGAAACCCACCGGCGCGCCACTTGTTCACGGCTTCCCTTCCGTTCATCGCGGTTTGCCATCGGACTTTTAATCGCTTGACGAATGCCTCCAATAGTTTTAGGTTGATGATGTTGTCTTCGACGATGAGAACGTTGATGGGCGGGACGCCACCGTTCAGCATACCGGGCGGTAGGGATGGATGGTCAATCGTCTTCTTGTTCTTCTTGGGTCGCTGTACGGGTCGGGGGGAGGAGACGCGGGGAGGAGGAGGGGTAGCGGTACGCTCTGGGATCGGAGGAGTGGGTATCGAGGGAGCGACAGGCGGATGATTGGATTGTTCTGAAGATGCACCTGAATGAGTCCTTGAACGTGGCTGTCTTGGATAGTTGTGCATACCGATAGGTGGCGCTCCAGTTTGTGAACCATGGCCATTGGTGGCAGTAGAAACTGGCGAAGCGGTGTGCATTCTCTGGATCTTGGGTCGGGAAGATCCAAGTCGTCTCGTCCCGCCGGGGGAGGGTAACGGTGGTAGTTGGCCTCCGCTGATGACAGTCAAGGATGGAGGAAAGTGTAGTTGATGAGGGCCGGTAGTAACTGTGGTCGAGGAAGAGGTCGGGTGTTGTGGAATGGGCGGATACGGTGGAAAGTAGTCGGTTGCCGACTCGTGAGGCCGGTCGTCGCCATAATACCTAGGATTCGGAGAGGCCTTGGGGGTTCGGCGGGAAGGAATATCAATCAGCAAAGCGTCGTCCACGGATTGGCCACCAGGATAATATGCGTCAAGGGTCCTGCCCATCGGTTCGTCGGGTTGCAACGGCCTCGTCGTCTGTTGTTCTCTATCACATATGCGAAGGGTTAGGTCAGGAGCATCGTACTGACGTCCTAAAGAATTTGCATATTTTCGCAGAATCAAATCGCGAACATCGTCGACCAAGTCATCTTCATTTATTGTGATTAACGTAGGAGAAGCCAAAGGCCTCTTGACCCAAATCTTCCTCGTCACCATGTTGCCACTTATCGGAAGGAGTGAATCGGGCTCGGGTGAAGCTACGTCGTTGGCATAGCCCGTGTGGAGGAGAGCTTTGATCAAGGTGGTTTGGCGGTTGGGGAGAATGCTCTGACGTCTCGGCGGGGCTCCAGGTCTCGAGAGCGATGACGATGGCGAAAGCGCACGGCTGGCAGATGCAGGACTAGGCAAATAGTCGCTGAGGCCGTCTTCGTGATTTTTCAAACGTTGAAGGAGGGAATCTTCGTTGATGCTCGGTAGTGGAGGTGGAAGTAAAAGCGAAGGTTGGAGGACGTCGTTGTTTATTTTTTCGGGAGTTTGTATATCTAGGCTGGAAGGCTTGGTGATGGTGGGAATAGTGGTTGAATTGAGTGCAGGATTTTGCAGATCCTTACCAAACTTGGACTTGGACTTCTTGGTGATATTTGTAGCTGTAGTAATAGTAGTAGGAGATATGGGAGAAGCAGGAGTAGTAGAAGAAATGGAAAATGCAGGAGATGCGGGATATGCGGGATAGGTAGCAGGATAAGTGGGAGAAGGTAAAGGTAAAGAAGGTAGAAGAGAAGGTAAGGAAGGTGGTAAATTGTTCACATTCTCGTTTTCGTGAATGTTATTAGAGTTGCTGACTAGGTCTAGCTGCTCTAGTAGTTCAGGTGGAACCGTCTCAGCTCTGTCTCGATTTTGGTTTTGGTTTTGGTTTTGATCTTGATCTTGATCTTGTTCTTGTTCTTGTTCTTGATTTTGGTTCTTTTCTTGGTCCCGTTGTTCTTGGCTTTGATCTTCAACTTGAACTTGAACTTGAGCTTGAGCCTCAACTTCCACTAGAACAAGATCATGTTGTTGTTGACTTGGAAGATCATCATCTAGACTTTGGTTCTGATTTGCATGTGTTGCTGTTCTTGTTGGGCCATCACCTGGACTTGAACAACTCGGCGCTACAATAACCACATCAACACCACCTTTTCCATTGTTATTATCAACTTGCCGATATCTGAAAGCGCTGCTAGTTGAGCGTTTGATACTCTTTACAATATCGTGACCGTGGCCATGACCGTGACCGGGTTTATCCTTGGCGCTTCGATCTTTGAGAAGGTGGGTCACCTTGCCATGTCTATTCTCATTTTCCTTTTCGTTATGGTTTTCATGTTCATCACCGGCAGTCGTACTTATCGACGCCGCGTATCCGGTGGCGGAGGAATGGGTGTGAGTGGTGTGAGTGGTGTGAGTACTGCTAGAAGTCCTGTCGCGGCCAAGACTCTGCTTGCCCGAGCCCAGGGAGGAGACACCACTGTGCCTCCGCAGGAACTTGGCCTTGATACGGGCCTTGAGATCACCCATCTGGCCGGTTGTTGTGAATACTCATGGAGGGGAGAAGAGGAGAGGAGAGGGGAATTCTTTATAATATCATATAGTATGTATCTTATGGTGTGTTATGTGATGTATGTACCTAGCATGTCTGTAGTCGTACAAGAGGGAGAGGAGATGTGGTGAAGAAAAGGGAACGAAGACAGAACAGATGGTCGAATCACGCCCATTTACATGCCGGATGGAACAGCCAATATAATTATATGCGTGCATGCATTGTCACATACTGTAAAGTAAAGTAGAGCGAGCGTTGTACTGGTAGCTGGTAGCGTCTTATTCGCACCTAAGTTAGTACCCATGCGAGGAAGGGCTGCGTGCACCTGCAAGCCTACTATGTATGTATTGGTTTGTATGGCTTGTATGGGATGTATGGGATGTATGGCTTGTATGGTTTGTATGGTTTGTATGGTCTGTATGGTATGGATGGTATGGATGGTAGGTATAGCATGTAATATGGTGGTGGTTAATAGCGGAAAAGGGAAAAATGAATAAAAAAAAAAGTGTTGGCGCTTGTACGAATGCGAAGCTCAAGGGTCAGTCAAGTCCAGTCCAGAGTCCAGACTGTCCAGTCAGTGAGTACATATGGAGGTATGTACTTACAGAGTTTGAGTGCTAACTATACATGTATGTATTCCATGTAGATAATAGATGCAATATGATTGATGGTATTCAACTTGAAGCAACCTTCATTTGAACTCTAATGTTATTAGCTTCAAGTAGCTTTAGCCTTTAGGAAGTTTAGGTAGCTACACTAAGCTACTATGTAGTAGCTTCGGGCTTATCTCTATGTAGCTACCTGAACTTGATTAGCTTCACAAAGAGATCCATTCGTTGTCTCGGGACAAAATGAAACAAAATGTATACTAGGTAGTACATAAAATGTATAGTACATACATGTAGACTGTAGTGGCTTAGTAGGTATGGAGGCAAAACGGCCCAACCGTGCCAGTACCTACACAGTATGTATATAGAATAACATTGAAACGAAAGCTAACCTGTGTATGTATGTGTATGTATGTGTACGTAGTATGCATGAAGAATGGGAATCATCATTGAACTCCAGGGCTATGTATTGTACATACATGTGAGCTACATGTACGTAGCGGCCGTCTGGAACCCAGGTAGGTAGGTACCTAAGCAAGGAATCCTACAAAGCCCAACGCCTCTCATCGTGTCGACGCGTTTCAATCGAAATATCAGTCAGATCTCTAATGCCCTTGGCTAAGCACTTTATGCACCTATATGCCAGTATTTTATAACAAAGATATAATAAGATATAATATAATATTTTATAGCCTTGATACTCTTAAAAAGATTGGGTTTCAATACAACATTGAAGCTTAAAAGGACATCAACATTTGAAGAGATCCATACGAAGTAGATCAATAGTTACCAGGTAAGAATCCAAATCGACTTTGCAGCCCGCCGCAGAAAAATAAGGCCATTTCCCAATGCCAAGAATTCACTAAGCTGGTCAACGGGTACCTAGTACCTACTGTCTACATACATATGTACATAAATCTATGTACATATACCATAATGGTGTACCTATGTACCTACCTTACCCATCTAGATGTTCGATTCGATAATAACTAAACTACTGGCTGCAGCTGCTGCACGATGGTATTTGAAAAAAACGAAGAGCCGCCGTAGGGGCAATAAAGCGAACTGCCAGGAGTCCAGGACTGCTAATAGAAATGAAAGTTATAGTGGACTATTTAGAACCCGGACCCTTGAACCTGGTGGATCGACCAAGGTACGTCTACTAGGTCAGTCCTTGTCGGGAATCAGTGAGATCAGTCGATGGGTGAATCTCCCCGCTATTGAATTTTTCCGACACCGTGACCCAATTTTCAATCGAGCTAATTATTTTTTCTCTTCACACATTTTACTATAAAGCTCCTTCTTTACCCTCCAGGTCGAGGCGTCAGAAAATCTCCTGCGATGCCACCACGCATGCCAACCTCCTCAACGGTATCGTCCGCTTTTGGTAGACTTTCCCTATCATCTACCCTTTCATCCAGCGGAGCTCAATGCTCTGCTCGATGTCCCACTCCATCATGTCCGAAGGATAGGGCAAACTTCTCTACCACCCCCAGTCGAGCTCGCTTCACCAAGTTACGCCGCAACTTCAGAATATGGATTAATGGCCCCGGTTCCAGGTTTCGCAGACCTGCGGAGGATGGTCCCAATTACATCCAGTCGAGGACTGATATGGATTTGAACAAGACCCGGCCATTTCCGCTCAATCGCCAATTCAAGAGCGAGACCGTTCTAGATGATCGGGCGAGGGAGGTGATTTGGGAGAAGGTCATGCGTGACGGCGAGCCCATAAAGGCGGTGTCTGCCGAATTAGGCGTCGACATTAGGAGAGTGGCTGCTGTCGTAAGGTTAAAGGAAGTCGAGAAGAACTGGATCAATACGGTAAGTCGCATCCTGCGCAACATAACCCTCCCCGGCGTTTCCCTGATGATTCTTATTATACCCATTTTCGATAAGTCTTTAAGACACAAAAACATGGTTACAAAGTATTGGTTGCGAGCCTCTCTGACTATAACGCCGTTATTCACGCTTCTACATAAGACATTCGTCTAGAAGAGGTACCTCTTGCTAATACGTCCACGTCATAGGGGAAGCGGTTGGCCAAGCCGTACGCCAAAGCTGTGTTATCCATGCTGCCCACACACTCCATCCGGGTAGGCCATCAAAATCTACCTTTCGAGGCCATCAATGAGCTACATGTGCATCCACACACCATGAAGCAGATTTTCTGGCCCACGTCCGAGTCGCGTCACTTCACTCGTGAGGATGCCGCCAAGGCTTTCAACACCAAGATGCTCTCCGCAGACAAGAGAGTACCCCACCCTGAACTGATTCAGATGGAGCGGGAGGTGCTGCAAGGTCGGCCGTTGCACGATGCCGCTCAAAGATTCAAGGAGGCCGCAGCGGAGTCGGAGAGAAAGGCGGCCCAGAAGCAGATTGCGAAAGCACAGATCGATGAGAAATACACTACTCGGGTGAAAACGAGTCGTTTCGAGTTCCGCTTCAGGCAGATCAACGCCGAGAACGTCGGTCCCAAGGGCAGGTCCCGACAGGCAGTTGGCTGGAAGTACGGTGCACCACACTACGATCGTGCCAAGGGTCAAATCAAGATTCCTACCTCCGTGCCATGATCCAGCACTGGGTAAGTCAAAGTCAATGGCGAGGGAGTCTTTGTATAAGAGATGTATAAATAAGCCGAACGAGCATGGGTGGAACCATCACGTTAGGGGTCATGAGCTGTTACTTACACCCATATATGCTCATAGAGAGCAGGGCAGTAGTCTAAATAGCCAGCTTCTATACGTAGGCATACATACATACATACATATATTACTGAAAATACAAGCAATTATACCCAAAAACAACTTTATTTTATACCAGAAGCTCAGCATGACTTTGCCACGGAATCGCCTCTTCATCCGTTTCCACGACCAAGTTTCGCTGTAATTGCTTGACCCCTTCGGGCGAGAGTAACCCCAGATCGACAATGCACTTCTCGACCGAGCCGTAGGTTTCACGGATTTTAGCTAAGGTGCCCAGCATAGCCTCCTTTCTGTCATATTGCAATCAAGTGTTAGCTGCTCCATGTAGTGCATGTTGTGAATAGAGAATGAAAAAAATATATATGAGTACGAGTTTGCCCGTCAAAATGCATAGCCCAAGGTGAAAGAAAGAGAGGCACCTAGGAACGCCCACCCATGACAGGCGGGCAGGCAGGCACAAGTCGGCAAAGACGGCAGTGAAATTTGGGTAGGTAGGTAGGTAGTAATCTAAGCCTAGACGGGAGGTATTTTGCGAAACGGTAGAAAAGTATCTAGGTGAGGTAGATTAGATAGGCAACTTACCGTGACAAGATCATCCGCATGGCCCCTTCGGGACGTTCGCGCAGCGCTGGGTTGGCCATCAGGTGGGAGATGAGCTCTGCGTGGCGCGACTTCAGCCCCAGGTCCGTCAAGCTATACTCGTGCGCGACGACATCGTCTGCCACGCCGCACACGCTCAAGATAAGGGCGCAGATCACGCCCGTGCGGTCCTTCCCAGCTGTGCAGTGGATTAGGCAGGGGGCCGGCGATGGAGATGAGGATGAGGATGAGGATGACGGGGAAGCTAGGTGCTCCAGGATCGTCTTGAACGGTTGGTAGGTGTTGCTTGGGGCGGCGGCGGCGGCCAGGATGTCGCTATATGCCGCCACGAAACCCTAAATTGGGATTGAGACATGATGTTAGTTTACCGAGTTGGGCGACTTGGAACGAACTTGGCTTAGTTAGATTGTCAGCCCCTTGGGGGGTGGACAGACTAGCGAAAAGGGAGCACAAGAATGGAAAGTGAGAGGTAACCCATGTTAGGTGACCGACAAGTAAAGAGACTAGAAAAGAGGTTCGTGATAGAAGGTAAGGCGAGCGAGATAGCCCAATCATGGACCCCAATGTCACTAATCTTCAGCCAGGGGCGTTTTGGACAAGGTGAGGCTTCGGCCCCCAAATACGACGCTATGGTATTGAGCTGCGCACAAGCCAGCTCTCCCATCCCTCCCCTGAGAGCTGAACTGGAGGGGCTAAGGCAAAGTAGATCTTTCCCTCCTGGAATTTGCCCCTTATACCAGGATCCCTAGCATTGGTTCTTTTGCACGATGCGTGCGCCGTGCAGGCGTTCGTTCAATCTTGTGTAACGTATTTGTGAACCAACGTACCTCGAAGCTCTCTGCGGAATAGTTCTTGTATCTCAGCGCCAAAGCCTCCGGCGAGTAATCCTGATCAAGGAAGACGGGCACGAAGACACGGCTGGCGCCCTCCCATTCTTTGACTTGCCATCCATGGCCCTCCTGTAGTCCACGCTCAATCTCGACAGCTGAGCGCAGGTCGTATACCTTCTCGATACCTAAGGCCTGTAGTTTTGATATCCCGTCGGCAGTGACTTTGGATGGCTCGGAGGACCGGAATACTAATCCGCGGCGCACAACCGTTGTTTTCCCAGAGCCCGGGCCCGAACTGAGGCCTGAACCGGAAACAGGATACCCTCCGATATCGCGGAAGTTGGCTAAGCCCGGAACTGGCAGGAAGGGCGGGCTGGGGAGTTCGGTCTCTGTCATGGTGATAATAGGCAGGTATTTAGAAAGAATACAGGTGCCTGGGCTAAGTCGCTAGGAGTCTCGAATATAGGCTATTTGATTCAAGGTGGTGGTGGTCAGGTTAGGCGAAACAAAACAGGGCAGGATTGATAGGTGCGTAAGCGCTTCGGTAATGCTCCGGAGCTGCGATGGTTGCAAAGACAAGCAGAGGTATACCTAAGTTGGTAATGAACAGCAACGAGCCAATAATATGTCTCGTGTGTTATATGTACTTAGGGTAGATAATTAGGTACGCTATAGAACACATAAGCAGCCCCCCTCGGTAAGGGTATTTTTTAGGTTATTGAAGCCCAATCGGCGTTCAAGTCTTGGTGTTCCACTTGACGCAACTAATCTGGTGACAGCCCAACCCATGTATGTGTGTAGGTATATGTATGACATGGCATTCAAGTTGTATATTGGATAGCACATAGTATGTATGTACTGTACGTACAGTAGATACAGGAACTCACCGAATAAGCGGTGGGTTCCGTAATTGAAGAGCCGCATTACTCACTTTCACAGCCCTATGCACACTGCGAGTCACATTTCGCTGGCGGTGTTGGTCAATTGACTAGACTGCTTGACGGAGATGGACGGGTTTTTGGTGATGCTATGTAGAGGATGCATTGGGGTGGAGACGGGAAGAAGAGTGCATACAAATGGGAATTGAGAAGAGGAAACTTGAACTAGTAGGTCGGTCACGTGGTTACAGTATAACTGCCCGTTATTACCCGTCTAACTTTTGGCTTTACATGCTGTATCTAAGTACCTAGAGCAGAGCCGCATGCTATCTAGGTAGATTGGCTACGACCGCAGCATACACTAGCCTACTAGGTACAATACCTAGTACTAACCAAGCTACTAAGGTTAGCGTAGTCAACCAACCTAACCTAACCAACTTCTTTCTCTTCCACACTCTCAACCTATTCCTCTTTCTATTCCCCATTCCAATTTATCACTGCGCAGCCTTTCTAACATCCATGATGTTACGCTAAGCTATAATCTGTTTCCAACAGCACTACAAGTTGTATACAACTCAATAATCCCAGCTAGGCAGACAATCAGTCATACATACCTTATTACATATCTCTTACTTACCTCTTACCTCTTCTAGTCCAATTGAGCCTATTGATCCTATCCTAACAGCACTCTATACAATTACGACTAGCACCCTCGCTTAGCTTGTATGTTGCAGGTTGAAAGTATTACGGCGTGCCCCGCCCCCTCTCTTGAAGTCACTTATTATGGGGGCGAAAAGAAGGGCCAAGATGGAAGTTTTGATACTAACTTCATTTCGTCCCACCGCTCTTTTTTCTACTACTAGCAGTTCGGCTGACAGATCTGCCCTAGGCTACCCCTTTTCCGACCAGTTATAATAGTGGTCGCGTAGATGCGGCCTGGAAGGCAGGCACGCAGGTAGGTAGGCAGCTTAATGCCTAGTTGCTAGCGTCCGACGCCTTGAGTGCTATTCACGTCGTGTCTCCCTATTAGAGAAATAGGGAATCGTCGTCCGCGGCCACTCCACCTAACTGCCGGTGATTCTGTTACATGATACCTAGTACACTATCCCGCACCCCCTGACCTTGCTCAATGGCAATGACGCCGCCCATTGGCGACTAAGCGCCTCACGCTTCGTCGGTATAGACTTTATGCAACCTTCCAAGAGTGGAGTTCCTATCTGTAACGTCTTGAGAAAGCCCAGCAATCATTCCTGTCAGCCAGAGGAGGCGCATATGCCGGAGTGAGAAGTGTATTATGACAGCGTTTGTGTCACCTTAAATTTACTTTGAGGTAGTCTTTGACTTAGCTGCTTAGTGTAACTTACAGCATAGCCGATGGCCAACTCAATAGGCGCATTTGTGCCTTTGGAAGTCTTCGAGTACGATCACATCCATCTAGCCGTGGGTGCCTTGGGGATTGCCCATGGCGAGACAACAAATACCCCTGTGTCGTTAAGGAACTACAATCTAACCAAATCCCCCCCACAGCCAATGGCAGGTTTGGCATCCATGTAAGTTTTTATATCACTTGTCAACTAATACCAAGAAAACTGGAAAGATAGAAAGACCTCTGCTGGTAGACTCTATAGAAACCAATAACCATACAATAACCCTAGACCCGTGCCAAATTTTTCAAAGGACGAGGGCCAGCCCATACAATTCTAATCCTGGCGTGAGCCATTCCATATATCCCCGCCCCCCACGAGGAGCTCTTTATTCTTTGAACGCCTGAAGATAATCCCAGTTTTCCTAGTCAAAAATCCAATCACGCCGTGTATACGCTTTCGAGTCTATCCCCTCAAACAATGCCCGGCTGGAGACTCGACACTGGAAAGGCTTCATGCCTAGCTTGGTTGGCTGTCTTACTCGGTCCCCCAGAAACTGCATTGGGTACACCTGGCATGTGAACACATGGGGCAGTCACTATTGAACATGTAAGAGTTGTTCGCGCCCTCCCTACAGTTGCACTTGATTCGTGTTAGTCATAGGCCCGACACATTAGGGGAATCTGGTTACTAACACAATTCCATCGCCAGTTTGACTGATCCTTCGAGGACCCTAGCATCGATAATCCACCGCTGGCCGTGGAGGATTTATGGTAAGATCCTCCGGTGCTTGTTGTGTAGGTGCTTGTGTGGCATTGGTGACTGCCACTCAAGCTTTGGCTGTTGTAGTGAGAGTGGGAAGGCATTTTTGTGTGTGAAACTTGAATACTGATGATAACTTGGGAGTGGTTTTGCAGCAACGAGAGGTTGTGAGGTGTAGATGGCTTTATATGGTCTCTGAGTAGGCGATGATCTCGAGCATACCAAAAGATTTCCTTGTAGGAGATCTCCCTCTTTTTATCTTTCACCATCTTCAGCTGTTCAGCTATATCCGTCTAAGCCCATCAAGGACAAAGCTGTGTGCTAGTGACCGATTTGTCCACAAGTGGTCTATCCGGAGTGGCTCAGTATAGTTGTCAGAGTTGTACCGTATGACTGACTAATAATCTACCGTGTAGGTTGACGATTTCTTTTTCGGTCAGATCTTCTTGGTCTTTCTTTCTTCTGATAGCCCAACGAGTGTGCCTGGATCAAAGCCCCCATCGAGACAGCCAAAGAATATGAAACGAATGGAGCTGATAGGCCTCCCAACGAGCGAGCATCGCCGCGTTGGATGAGAAGAGTGTTGCCATGTATAGCATGTGATAATCTCCCTGAGGCAGCAGAGTTTACACTCGTTACTCTCAGGCGTGTCCGATTTCCACATCGGTCTTCTACCTCGGTGGGACGCAGGTTGCTGCTTGACTCATGGGAAAACACCACCTCCTCCGCCGCCATGCACAGCAGCAACCGGCATATACAGACATACAGACAAGGACTATTTGGGTGAAGTCAGCAACGCTCTCTTACGCATACACGGATGTAATGTAACTACCTAACCCAACACGTACAGCCACGATATGCTTTCGGTAACGATCTAGTATGTATGTATGTAAGGTAGGATGCCACATACCTGGGTATTCAGCAATCATACCGGTTCCCACTTCCTCGGTAGCCATGCCCCACCCCCCGTTCGGGTGACTCGTCTAACGATGGTACAAAGCCAAGCAGGAAGCCGTGGTGTACGTGTGTAATATGCGTATGTGCTGCATGACCAGCATGTAGGTAGCCAAGCAGGCGGGAGTCTGTCCTCGTAGGGCTGAATGCCCCCATCCCATCCCATCCTCCTTTTCTTTTTCCTTCCTTCCTTTCTTCAAACATCTCCACACCTCCCTTCATCTTGGATTTCAGGATACCCAGTCGGCTCTTCACCCATCCAAGCCTGACGAGAGAGCGAAGTTTCTCTCCGATGTTTCCTCCCACCCCCCCATCTCATTCCTCTACCACCACCACCAGCGCCGCGTCCACACCGCTTCAGTTTCTATACATACACCTACCTACAACATTAGTTAGCAATAAGCCATACGGTCCCGAACGCCGGCCGGACCCCAGATTATCTTATTCTTATTCCTATTCCTAATCCCCTAGTACCTCGCAGCTTTTGCTTCGTCTACCGAAAGTAGACAGTCAGGTAAGGCTAAGGCCGAGCTGGAAGGTGGGGGAGGCTGGGGACAAGGGTAAGGGGCAAGGGGCAAGGGCAAGGGGAGAAGGGGGGGCGCTATACAAAATCAAATCAGATGGAGAGCTTGGAGTTTTGAGCAAGCTGAGATCATCACTATATCGAAAACTCAATCGGAGCTGACCGAAGAAGATGATGATTAATAAATTATTTTTTTAAAAGAAAATAAAGAAAATTATTTGGGGGGGCTCCGTTTCATGGATCGCTGGGAGGCAGACGTTTTTTTTTTTTTTTTCTCTCATAACCTCGGTATGGGGCAGGTAGGCCGGTCGAGCTAGGTAAAGTAAAGTAAAGTTAGGTAAGGTAAGGTAAGGTAAGCCGAGCGAGCGCAAAACAACCCCAAATTCGCAAACGGAATTATTATAAATTACCGTACCAGGAATATCAACCAGTCAATGTAACCAATTCGACATGAACCGAATCCGGTAACCGGAAGCCGGACCACGTAAGTCCAACTAGCGGAGAGAGAGAGAGAGAGAAAGAGGGAAGCGGGGAGCTGAAGATATTCCGCTGGGTAGGGTAGGGTGCCCATGGAGGTAGGGAGGTAATAAATATAGGGCTGTCGTTGATGGAGCAAGCTGAAGTCTTCCATTCCCCCCCCCCCCCCCCCCCTTCTCATAATTTCAAAAGCCAGCCCGCTCGCCCCATGGACTGGATTATTAAGAAAGTGTTTGTGAGGCTCTTGTTGCACTTTCGTCTCTGGGGAGGTAGATAGGCAGGTAGGTAGGTAGAGAGACAGGCATGGATTGGATGTCAATGGGCCTTATTATATTTCTCTAATTCTAGTTCTAGTTCTAGTTCTAAAACATTCACAATGCCAAAAAGAAACTTATGATTGTGGTCATTTCCCCCTTTCGTTCCCTTCACATCATGCGGCTCTTATCTTCTGCTGCCGTGGCACTAGAAGTGCAAGAATACTACTACTGAGCGCGAAGGGGGGGGGAGGGAATGTTGCCCGGCTGTGTTGGGGAAAGTTGGAGATACTGTACATAGTTAGCCTAGGTTAGTCTAATATCGCCGTATTGGTGTTTAGATGATTATGTTATACGGCTACCTATCCTATCGTATATGTATGTATGTATGTATGTATGTATGTATGTATGTATGTATGTATGTATGTATGTACGCTGTATACCTAGGCAGCCTACCTTATATTGTACATACATATGGGGGCGGCTTTCACGGTACCGAGGCAGGTGCTAATCTAACCTCGATACCGATGTATTATAGTATTAATTCTTGGATCCCTTTTCTTAATAAATGCAGGCCACAACGAGAGCTGAGTTTTGAAAAGGCTGGGGGTTCTCAATGCTTTGACGTTGCCGAGGAATGATATATCTTAATAGGCAATCGTGAACTTATGTATGATAATTAGTTAGTTAGTTATGTACTAACTATTGCTTTTTTGCTAACTTCAAACTGGAAGCCGAACAGGTTACAGAACAAAAAAGGCAACGTTGGGCTTTCTTGGCATAAACCATAGTTATTGGATATTGGGGAATAGCACTAGCGCTAGCGCTAGCAGGTGCCAGGGGGTTTTTTAACTCGAGCGAGATGGAAAGCACGGACATGGGAGTGGGAGCATGGACATGGGTTCATCATTTGAGAGACAGAGACAGATGCGCCATCTGCGTCATAGCTTGCCCTGAGCCAATAGCAGGCATTTACCCGGCATGTACAGGGGGTTTTGGGGGCAGGGGTCCTGATTTGATCTTGGAAATTCTCAACTTTATCGCTTTTTCGAATGATTGCCGGTTCCCACAAGTTCAATCGCGTCAGAGAAGAGATAAGTTAACTAGACAGAGAGAAAGATAGAAAGATAGAAAGACGCTTGGACTTTTAGTTCTTCTCAACAACAAAAATAGTTGTTGATATCATCACTTTTTCTACTTTTGGCTTTGCTTGCTTGTGGTAGTATAACAGCCCTTTGTTATTATCATCATAATCATAATAACTATAGTCATAATAATTAATATATTACCTTAATCACTTCAACCCTTCACTACGACCATGGGTGTTCTAGGCATGACGGCGGGCTATTTGCTCTTTTCCATTCTCCATTTCTTCCAGTTCGTCTTAGCCGTTACTGTCTGTGGACTCTATGGCATCGACCTACAGCGCGCACGTTCACATGGTGCATATGCTGATGGGAAATGGGTAAGTTAGGAGCATCCATTCACGTCGTCTTCGTTTCCACATGGAACTCTCCATGTCGAAGCAAAGATTCAACTGAGAATCATTGCATTAGGCTAACAACAAGCGCAGGTCTACGCAGAGGTCGTTGGAGGACTCTCGGCCCTGACGGCGATCCTTTACCTTATTCCCTTCATCCTAAAGTTTGCGGCAGTAACAATTTGGAGCTTTGTCATGTTTGTCTTGTGGATCGCCCTCTTCGGCCTGTTTGGTAGCATGTACATCCACGAGGATCCAGAAGGCAACGCAGACATCCAACGGATGAAGAACGCTGTGTGGGTGGACTTGGCTAACGCACTGCTCTGGTTGATCGGGTTCATTGCCAGCGCCGCCTATTGGTGGACGCACCGCGAACGCCGTAGTCGCTTTACCGGCCGTGCTAGGCTAGGCCGCAACGCTTCGACTCGCTCGACTGGCTTGTCTGCATAGTAGTCAACTTTTTGGTGTCGAAAATCAGAGGAAGAGTTAATGGTTTTGTCTTACTGGTGTGTGGGCGGGAAGGCTTTGGTTGTAGGTGAGGGAATGAGGGAAGAAGGCTTTGGCGGGTAAGGGAGGTAATGACGGAGAAAAAGCTTAGGGTTTACTTGGCGTTGGGCTTATGCAGAACTGAAGATACCCTGAATACCCAGAAGCACGGCTTCATGTTCAATTCGTCATGGCGGTAATGTAACTCGATAGATATCCATTCAGGTAGCCATATAATATCTGCCCGACCTTCGAGGCTTTGTGGGGTTTATGTGATGCTACGCTCTTGGCTTCGTTCGCAGCTACCCGTTCTATATATGGGAAGCAGTTATAATAACTCGGGTAGGCTAAGGATGCAATATGCTATCCGCATAGTATGCTCCCTGGATTATGACGTTCGCTGTGTCATGCTTGGTACTGGGAGAGTTTGTGTAAATGCATTCATGTGATTGCGTCGTGTTGCTACCTATTACTGTTACTAGTGGTGTAAAGTGCATATGTTAGGTAGCTAGATGATCCATTAAACCTTGGAACTTACGCAGCCCTACTGTAGGCACCGGCTAGGTTTGGCCGTGTCGCGAAGGCACACACGTAACGATGGATTGGCCCCGTCACGATATTTTCTCATCACATATAGAAGTGTGGCCACTGGCTAGCTGACCAATGGTCCAATGACAAATCCGTCCGAGTCCCCCGCATCAAGGTCTTGAGGATGATCAAAGATGATCAAAGATGATCAAACAAGCTTGCTGATCATGAGAATCGTGGTTCGCGTCGTTTTTTTACGTATGGCTTCACATGCGTTAGTTGCCCTAAGTTAGAGAATATTATAGAATATTATAGCGGCAAAAGCGGATACCTTGTTCTAAATTCCAAAGTTATTGCATACATATATGATTTCGAAACAACCTTGAGAGTTATTGCGCTAAAAGGACAGGCACATACGTCATATCTTATCGGAATTCGTACTCCTCTACCAAGCATACCCTATGTAACTTATGTTGGTCGTACAGGAACTTTCTTTTTTCTTCATGAAGAATTCAAGCCGATAACCCGAATAGAGTAGCCCCCCCTTTTCTTTCTTACTCTCCATTTTTTTTCGTGTCCCTCGAGTTCGAAACCTCCTCCCCTTTTGAGCATTAACTGGCAAATCCTTTCGACTCAACTAAGGCACCGCGATTCCGCGAATCTACTACCTAGGCAAGAAACAGATTTGTTGAATATTCCGGATCTTCGTGGCAATTAGCACATTCGACATTGACAACAAAAAAGAAAAAGATGTTCAATTCTAAATTAGGAGGCCTGTGCCGATCCTTCATACCCCTGACTGAACTATAACCTTGAAGAATTTCCAAGACTTCATTCAGCTCTTGTTGGAACCGCCTTCGGCGCTTTTAATCCATCCAACCCGTGCCAGGGGTTAAGGGGATTGATTTCTTTTTTTCCTTTTCAAGAAAATCAATCAAGCTTACTCGAACATTAATGACGCTTCGTGGAGTTTAGTAATCATTCAGTAAAAGGCTTGAGCGTTTTTTTTTTTTGTTTTTTTTTTTTTTCACCCAACGTCGAGAAGAAAAGGGAATAACAAAAAAAAAGTTGAGATGAGGGAAGAAACGTTGGCGGGGCTATTTCGGAATCCAACCACTGACGACTTGACGGGAACGGGTGACATGGGCCACTTCGAGCATCGATCTGCTAGATCGGCGGAGCCTACCTCCATTCCGTCTGTGATTCGTGCTAATAGTAAAAGCATATTCATTGAGGCCTTCACATCTAACTCTCGAAATCCTCCATGGCGAAATGCCTCAACGCCAGGGGTGGTCTGGGTGTTTCCGCCTCTAATGGGGATAGTGCGATTCCCCCCTGATGGACAGCCATCGAAGAAGCTATGCGTACATCTCTTGGTGAAGCTAGTGTGTGTGGGCCTATTCTACTTATGACGATATTTTCGTGAGTATTGTACCCGACACCATAGATTTCTATGCTGCCCAGACATTGATTTGATCTCAGGGAGACTTTTTTTTGGGGCCCCGGTGTGCTCATCGTGCAGCTAAGCTCGTGGCAATATTCCGAAACAGAGGTTATCGGGCAGCATAACCCAGAGAAGCAGAATCCCTGCTAAATATTACTACGTATCTGGGATTGTTTCTGCTGTAGTGTAGGCTGAAGCTCTGTGGGGCCGTGTCTACCTATTATAGAATATCTACTAACCTAGGTAAGTTCCTAGTCTTCAGTTTCAGAGGCTGTGTATTGGGCATAGGTAGCTAGGGAGGTAGGTGTGTAGGCATTATAGCTTAGACGCTTCGGCTGTTCGGGCACCTACGACGGAGGCGACTTGATGTTCAATGCGGGTATTCAATGCGGTGCGTTGATCTCTGCAGAATGGGTAGTACGCACCCTGCCATCCACGTTCTTAATAGAAACAGGGGGGGTGAGTTTGAAGCAGACCATGACATACATAGATCTGATGGTGAAGTAATCAAGCCACTTGTATTTGCCTATGGTGATAAGGTACCTAGTAGATAGATAGAAACTCGCTTGCTAGCCTTCCTACGAGCAGCCGGGACGATCTACCCGGCCGGCAATACGTAACTCACAAATACAATCGGCCGAATCAGTGAGGATAGGGTAAGTTCGGGAAGGCTAGAAGCCTGGAACGACATCAGGTTAGGTATTAAGGTACCTAGGTAGGCATCAAGGTATGTAGGTATAGTTGTAGGTATGTATGATTGCTGATGCGAGTGGGATGAGTTGATAACTGAGCTCGTATGATTCTTCCTATTTGGAGTTGGATGATGACCGTGGAAAATTACTTGTTACGTATATCGATAGATCAATGTCCGTTGGATGTTATCGGCACATGTAACTGACATACATGTAGTCCGTAGGTAAGTCAGTACATATGTAGGTAGGCATCTGATGTGAATATATGTATTTGGTGTATTTGATTTCACTTTCCAAGTTCTCCTCGCTGTTGACCAGCATTGATATACACCGATAAGGCTACCCAATGGGAAAGGGGTGTCACATAAGACAAGTATGTTGTGGTGGAGCCTGCTTACCCTTACCATGCTAAACACATCTAAGGGTCTATCAATTATTCCCCTTTTAGTTTAACATGTTCACCACTAGATGTATGTACAATAAATACATTATTGTTGTATGTATGTATGTATGTATGTATGTATGTATGTATGTATGTATGTATGTATGTATGTATGTATATACATACACAGTACATGTCTGTGTGTACGTACCAAATATGAATTCCTTCGGATGACTTTACCACGAAAACCAGGGGCTGGCTTCCATGTTCCATGCTCAAAAGTTGTTGGTAAGGTTGGAAAAGGTAGGTTAGAAAGGCAACCTTATTTGATTGATTACAACTTTCCAAGAAATACAAGCTTGTGGCTCCTTCCCATATATCCCATATATCCCATATAAAATTCCTATCCGGGAATTTCAGGGTTCCATTTCGGAGGCACTTGCCCAGGTAGAAGCGCAGGTAGAACAAATGATATGGCAGTTATGGGTACCTACAGTTATTTGCCTTGACATCTGCAAGTTGAGCTTATTATCTGCCACACATACATACCACATACATATTTACAACATACAGCATACAACATTACATTACGTACATTACATACTTGCATACATGCATACCTACATACATACCTTGATTAATTGATTGATTGATTGATTGCTTGTTTGACTCACGATCCCATTTACCTACTACTACTACCACCACCACCATTACCATTACCACTACTACCATATCTAACTACATACTACCCAGATAGTACTTACCCAAACATACTACATATCACTGTTGATAAGCTTTCCCACCACCCCCGTCTTGAACAAAAACGATTAAAGACGAGACACACACACATACACACACACACACACTCCAACATACTCACACATACACATCAGATGTCACAGCTTGCCATCTCTACACAAAGTTAAGATAATAAAGAGTCAGTACAGAGAAGAGAGAGTATTCGGTCATCAGTCGTCAATCCATGGCCAGATAGCATCGCCTGTGGATACATCGAATGCCATCCTAACTTACACACATGCATACAGCATACTACGTAGCCCGAAACGAGCCATAAACGACGATCATTCTTGGACCGAATCCCAATTTCATCACACAACACAACAGAACACAGCACAACACTCCATTTTACCTACAGTAGCGTGAGGTATCAATCCTCACGTTTAACACAACCCACCGAAATCTTTTGCTCAGGTAAGACGCTTGGCAATACGTCTTCGCCTTCTTTGCCTCCGTCGCATTACATTATCGTGTTTGCTTGAGATGCTCAAGTACCGCAACGAACCGCCGCTTGCTTGGTAGTACCACTATCAAATTCTGCTCTGTATTAAACACGCAGTACGCCGTTATCTTAGAAGGAAGCCAAAAACAAACTATCTTGAAAATTTGGTGGATATCAAAAAAAAAAAAAACAAGTCGGAATCCTAGCCGAGTCGTCCAACATCAAGGCCACCTGAAGAACAGTCTCGACATTGATAGAATTCGAAATTTCTTTCTCACCTTTTCTTCACGCTTGTTTCCAGTTATCTATTTATCTAGATACTCATTCGTGACAAGTGAAGCTTGAAGACCGAAAACTTGCATCGACTGACAACCCATCGTCTATCGAATCTTCATTGCGCCTGTCGCCCTGATTGAAACGTTAGCCAAAAGAGAGGATTGAGTGGACTGTGACTTGGAGACATTGACGATAATATGGCAAGTTTCGGTCGTTCTTTCAAACCAACTTCGTATCTGTCTTCCATGAAGAGAAGGCCGGCACCGCCAGCAAGAAGTATGTCTAGCTCGTCTGAAGCGTCCCCATTGTCCTCGCCCGACATACGGCAAGACGATATCATCTTCTCCACAAGACCGTCACCGAACCCGACGATAGAGATGCCTCAATACCAACAACCCGGGGCTTCCCCGAAGCTCAGGTCTAGTAACGGTATGTTCTTTTCTTGGTGCATCATTTTCCTGTTTACTCTTTTCTGTTTGAGTCTCTCACGTTACATGGGCTGCGGTCATCTTGTCGTAATAACGATCACGATCACGTCCAACTTAGGGAGGAGATAAATTTGGATGTTTCAAGTGGAAGAGTTCTCGAACATGAGACAATGGAAAGATGTCCACATGGGTTTAAATTAGTAACCTACTAGGTTAGGTATCTATTCTTTTTTGTCTTTCCCCTTTTTAATCCGACAAAGTTGCCGGGTTCGCCGACCTGCAGACTGCAGACTAGATTGAGAAACTGGATGGGGACTTGTCAGTTCAGAACTTGTGACCGGTTGGTTGAAGATTTGGTTGGATGAGCGGATGGCAAGCCACTAATGCTTCTCTGTCTCTCCACTATCAGCCCCTACTAAAGTAAAGGCGGGCAGGGCGGGGTGCATTTCAGGGATCCATGGATGGATGCCATTATGTATCCTGTATCCCTTGGTTTGCTCTTGGCCTTTTGGTTAAACCCCCCCCCCTTTTTTAATCTTTTGGGCGCTTCTTTAACATGTTTTTTGTCTTTTAAGAGGGGGGTTTCTTTTGGAGTCTTGGGGTCCTTGGGGGTCTTGTGGCCACTGACGATGTCTCGAATCCCCAATTCCATGGATCACTCCTCTTGTCTCCTCTTTTGCAATCGTTCCGTGCTTTATTCGTTAGGTGCGTCATCGTCATCGTAGGCAAGCGATACTAATAAATCTCCCAACTGATTTAGTAAGAAAGGATCCGACTCTGTTCGATTCTCCAAGATCAACACCTGCGCGAACTAGGCCCATTGCAATCGAATTACCTCCCACCAAGAAAGTCAACAGTGCTCCTGTTTATACCCCACCCGCACCGCTTTCCGCCCGCGGGGATCTTCCTGGGTAAGTTGTCTTTGACCAAGTTAGGTCGCGCCCGGGTCGTTTTGACAAACATGGATGCGCTGGCTAACCCACATTACTTGGTTATAGCGGCTATTTCCCCTTGCACGAGGACCACAACCGAGTTTATTGTCCTCATCCTTTTCACCTCGATGCTTCCCACGCACGCATGAAATCTATTGAGCGTGCTGGTCAGTCAGGTTCTCCCGATCCCGAGTCAGCAGCCATCGCCACCAGACAAACGAAGCCAGTAACAGTAACCTCCACCACTCTCCCCGTCACCATGTCAGAACGACCTACTACGCGAACCGCGCCGCCCGTCGCCGCAGGACTACCAGAATCTAATTTCGATTCTGGCTCCAACATGCCTGTTGCTAGCTACCTGCCAACCGGCGCGCAGGATAGCCCTCTGCCGATGGGCAAATACTATCCTTCTAACTATACGAAGAGGAAAGAAGAAAAGAGGAGCAGGAAGCAAAGCCGACCGCAGACTTCGGTTCCTTCATCTTCGATGGGATCCAAGTCGGAATCCCAGGTCCCTACTACGCGGGAAACTTCAACTATGGGACACTCGCGAAATGAGTCAGACGCGAAGCGCAGACTACAGCAATATCAACGTGATATGATTGCTCAAGCTACACTAGCCCTTAATGGCGGAAATGTCAATGCGGCAGCGCTAAGTTCTCTGAGGACTATCGGCTTCGCAAGCATGTCCAAACCAAGTAAGCCGAGACTGGCGCCCTTGGGATCACCTGGACCTGTAACTCCCATGGAGTTGGAAGGTTCGGGAGAAGGTTACTTGGGGGCACGTGGACCGGTAGATGCCCAAGTCGAAGAGATTGCTCGAGCCATCAGAGCCGAAGAGGAGCGTAAACAACGAGAGGGTGCTTCATCGCCAGCGGTTGAGTTGGGGCCCAGCACTTTTTGAACATGATGGCCGATATCATGTTTCTCCTCGTTGAGCCCTATCGGGTTTACCATGCGCCGTGTCTATCATAATCTTGGTTTATTATATCTCCAACCACATCCTGAGCATACACCTCACCTCGACTACACGAAACTCCTCTCTACTACCTAAATACTGGTTTGCTCTAAGAGCAGGAAGTAAATTCCCGCTCTTTGTATCATCGACACTGCCTCTTCTCATTCCAAGAATTTGCATCGGATGGCTCAGATCTATTTAGCGCTGCATTCATACCCGGCCGGCTATCATTTCGGCTACTGGCCTAGTACACATAACGTACTTTGGCCCTCCGAGCCGTGATATCTCCTTTATCTCACTTATGATACCCGATTTCCCATTCAAGATGGGAGGATACGATCACACTTGCATGCATGGACCCAACAGGCGTACGGAAATGGCAAGACTTCGGCAGTCGGCGGCAGTCTGACTCGGAGCAAGCTGTTTACGCCGATTCTGGGTTTTTTCTTATGGGTGGATGTGGATTTGTATTCTGGCTCTGCTTATCAAGAGATGACTCATCAGTGGGCGAGCGATCGATCGCTTCGTTCACATTTGCTGTTAGGGAATGTGATAGTACAAGAAATGAAGAGAAAAAAAGTTTACACAAGGGATGGAAAGGGAATGGGTGGAGATATGGGATTGTATTGTATTGTATCTCTTCTGGTTCAGGGACTGACTGATTGATCCGACGCAGTTGAATTATACAGCAGACAGAATGCATAGGTAGATGGTTCGGAATGAAAAAGATGAATAGCATATTCGTATTCCATGACCATTTGAACATTCATCAATTATGTATCTCATCACTTTCTATCAGGTGAATGAATGGCTTACGTAACCCTCTGTGCTTTTCCCCTTTTTTGCCCTTCTTTCTTTCTTTCTTTCTTTCTTCCTCTCTCCAGTTTTCTTTTCTTTTCGCCTTGACTTCCATTCCATTCCCATCCATCTTTACCTATCAATTACTATTTTTCTTCTTCCTTTGATGAATGAATAATAAAATCCACGATACGATACGATACGATACGACACGACGCCCCTCCCCGATTTTCTAATAACTTCTTTCTTTCTACCGCCACCACCCGTACTACTACTACTACTACTACTATTACTAAAATCAACTCCAACTCTCCCCATTCTTGACACACACACACACAAGAATGGGGGATATATAGCATTGCCTACTGACTGTAACTCATCATCTAGCTAATCTAGCATCTCGTAATTAGTATGCACGTGTGCACCTGACTTATCCCCAGTCCCCAGTTGAGTTGGCCCTAAGATCTAGCAGGCATGTCACCCCTTGCATACATACTAAATCCGAGGCGTCTCGACTTAATTAAGCCGACTTGCAGTAATTGGCGGGGAAGCTGCCCTTGACGCCGTTGACCTCGCCGACCCACCAGTCCTGGTCGGTGCCCGTCTTTTTGACGATCTTTATCCTGTCGCCTTCCTGGAAGGACAGGTCGCCGGCGTTCTGGCCCGAGAATGCGTACTGGGCCACCACGAACTCCTCGACGCGGCTTGCGCCGATCTTCTTCGGCTTGGGCGGCGGGGGTGGAGGCTTCTTCTTGGCCGCGATGGAAACTGCGCTGGCGGACGTGTGGAGTGACGTGTTGGACGTGGTTGTCGATGCCGTCGAGGGTCTGCCGAAATAATCCGATCGTGATGCGGTTGGGCCCGGGGATAGGGACGGCGTTGGTGTCTGGCCGAGTCGCGATGCAATGGTAAAATCAGTGGGAACGAGGTGACGCGACTGCACTCCCGTACCTCCTTGTGACGATGCTATCGAAGTCGACGAAGGTATACGATTTGGTCGTGGGCCTGACGTAGGTGGTGCAGCATTGTTGCCGTTACCCAGAAGGTTGGGCGTGGACCGGCGATAGCTGTTCTCGCTAGTAGAGTTAAGAGACGAAGAAGAGGGTTTTCGTTCGATGCTGTTTGTGTCATCGGGTAGTTTCATAGGCATCTTGACAGCCTTACCCGTTGCGATGAACGTTATTGATTCCACTTCACGTTTGACAGGTTCAAAGTCGGCCGACCACTCGGACACCACGCTTTCCATGGGGGGTGGTGGGGATGGGAAGGAATATTCTTGACAGTAGTTATGAAGCGTGGTATAGTAGAGTCCTAGAAGTCTGTTTTGAAGCACCACCACCCCTGCTATTATCGGTGGTATGATGCTGAACGTCGCGGACACTAGAGGCGGTAGTGTCTCCCTTAAATGGGAGTCTGCAAAATCGAACTCCTACAGATCTTGTTAGTTTGCGCGGCTTGCTTCTTCCTATATGAGACCAGGTCCATACCTCGGCTGCCCGTGCAACTTCAGCTTCTGCCTTTGCTAAAGTAGCATCCTCTTTAGGAGTACGAGCGGGCTTCCTTTGTAGTTTGTTGGCCTTTTCCTGACATTTCTCGAAATCCAATCTCTTATTTTCTCGTTTCTTAATAGTTTTTCTTAGGGGGGCGATACATTCGCGAGCATCCATAGCGGGTCTGATGATGGTAGACTCAATAAGGCCAACTTCCTCGAGCAACTCAGCTTTGAGCTCAGTATAGGCTTCCTTTAACCTCAAGGTACGTTCCAACTGAAGGTCGGCAGTGGGCATAGCAGGCCTTCCGTGGCCATCAGTGGCACCGACGATAGGATCCCAAAGGCTATCATATTCAGTAACTATGCCTAGTTGCGCCATAGCTAGACTGATCCATGACTCCCGCCAGGCTTTGGTATGGTCGATGATCTGGAGGGGTATAGCGAATCAGTAAACGTCTGGGGTTGGCCGAGTTGGGAGGATGGGGGCGGTTTGGATGATACCTTAGCAAGAATCCTGTCAGCGTCCTCATAATCATTGAACAGAACCGCGACGCGGGCATTGTCCCCAGGACTTTTATGGAGTAATTTCCCGAATTGTCTCTGCATGGACTGCATGCTGGGCAAGTTGATGGGTTCGTTATAGCACGGCACTAATCTTTCGCTGTGTGTCACAAAGAGATTCTAGTCTGGTCTCAGAATGAGGCGCTCGACTCGATGTCCGAATGGTCAATGGGCTAGAATGTGGGGTTGACAGCCTCGAGATCGGACATAATTAGCATCCAAGAAGCTATGCGACCAATCCAAGTTCGAGTCCAGGTTTCCGGTATAATAAGGTGAACGAGGCAAGTTTGTTGGGTAAATAGAAGAGCGCCAATTAGGATGTCAAAGAGTGGTGAGAGAGTGAGAGGGTGAGAGAAAGAGAGAAGGTTGGTGTCTGAGCGAGCGAGGAAGACCGAGGGGATAGGTTTGTAGGAGTCGAGGTAGACGAGGTAGGCAAAGTAGGCGAAGTACTGTAGGCTAAGTAAGTTTGGTGAAGCTGTGCCGCTACGTTTAGAGAAGGTGGAAAAGAAAGACAGTCAGACAGAAGAGATAGATGTACAGGGGGTAAAGCGTAAGGGCCTAGGAGGTCGGATGTATGTATTGAGAGAGTATAGATGTGCGTACTTTGTAAATCAATGTTACTTAAAAGTATCTTATGGATCTTACCTACATGTACCTAAATATGCAGCTAAGAATGATTGGAGGCTAGAGAATAGTATGGATATATGAATACGAGAAAGTTTGGTTATTGGTACAACACCGTTGAACTACTGTAAGACTAAGTCAGTGCTTCTCGAGGGAACACGTTTGGTTCCAGTCTGCAGGATTCCTTCAAGGTTTGAAACGAATTGGAGTGGATGTCCATATAAATAGGCATGCGATAACGATAACAAAGCAGGTCTCCTTTTAGATTTCCCCATAAGATTTTCCCATAACCTTGCCATGTGTGTATCTACGTAATATTCAATATATTCATAATTTCATGTACATACGAAGAGACGTTGTGGGTACGTGACAACATTACAGCATTAAATAGTTAGATTGAACAGCACGTGTTTCCGCGTTTTAGCAACCTTGAAATCAATTAGGACGCGACTTCTTAATTATACGAATACTACTAGGGTAAATCTATATGCATGCATGTATGAAAGGGAGCCCGGGAAGGTGGATCTGGCCTCTAGAATTACATCACATACATGACTATTATTAGTAAAACTTTACTAAGGAGGGACGAGTTAAATGTAAAGTTTTACTTAATAAAATCGTGTAGTGGAGCCGTGCCTATGAGTGAAAATTTCAAGCTCGGACTCTGTTTCCCGCAGAAACTGATAAGATAAGGAGCTGAGCCTCCACAGCCTTAAATCAGCCACTTTCCATTCAATTCCATCCATTCAGTTCCATTCTTAATAATCAAAGCTGACTAATCCAATCCATCTTTTTAATCCAATCCATCTTTTTAATCCAATCCATCTTTTTAATCCAATCCATCTTTTTAATCCAATCCATCTTTTCTAATACTTCCATTCCAACTTCTTTTTTTCAACTTTTTTCCATTTGATCCATTTGATCCATTTGATCCATTTAATCCATCTTATTAATCATCTTCAACACCACCACCTAAATCAAATATTTCAAGAAATATTTGAAATAATTGATTTACATGGTGGTGTTGAAGGTGGTGTGGAAGGTGGTTTGCTGGATTTGGGGGCTGAAAAGCGATGCACCCAATCAATCAATCAACAGCTTGAAAAGTTGGCTCCAAACGTTTCACTTTTTACTAGCGGCTCAATAGGTCCAGATTTGAGCCAATAGGATGGCTTCAATTTCAATAGGCTTACTAGCGCTTAGTTTGCCTAACTGTTTGCCTTGGATGGTTGGGGTACGTACTGATGGAGCGTGCTCTAGACCGGTCTATATAAGGGCTCTCAACCCCCAAGCTGTTGTAATTCTTTTCTTCCTCCTTTCAACCACTTTTCAGGTTTCAAGGGCTTTCAAGAGTTTTCAAGAGTTTTCAAGAGTTTTCAAGAGCTTTTCAAGAGCCACACAGCCCCAAACCAGTTGATCCATTGAATTAATGGCTGATACACCCATTCCGAGGCGGGTCGGCCGGCCCCGGAATGCTGCGCTGCCGCCGCTGCTGCCGTGACCTGCTCAAGGAGAGCTTTCAGAGCTTCCGGGAGGGATTATCCCCAACGCTAACATGTGCCATCAGCCGTAAATAACCTCTGGGGCGGTCCCATCGCCGCAAGCGGTGCCCAAATACAGCCGGCCTCCGACAGCCGGCCTCCGACAACCGGCTTTTCTCCGAACCTCCCTCCTATACCCATAAATCCCCCCAATCCGACAATTACTCCCCATCCGGCCAAGCCGATTCCAGCCCTAACACCTGTAAGTCCCGGCGCATGGGTTGATCTAGGCTTAGCAGATGGGCCACTCGATATTCAACAATATCACGTGGCCTGGAGGTAAGTATAATTTACTCTTTTACGTGTGAGTCCGGTTCGTCCATTACGCCGGTATTCCGACCGTCACGTGAGTACCACGTAATCCATGCCAAAGGAATCCGTCGTCACTCGCGTGAGTATTATATAATCGGTGTCTGATGTGAAAGGAACCTACCGTCACGTGATTGTTATGTAACTATTGCCTTGGGTGAAAGAAAGTGCCCACTCAAACTGGCCAATGGCTGGCTTTTAATTGGGTTAAACCGTTGGGTGATTTAAACCTGTTTTTCTTCTTTTCGAGCGGAGCGAGCAGCACTCCGCAGGAGCCGCCGGAGGCATGATTAAATGTTTAGTATTTAAAAAAAATAAAAAAATTTAATAAATGAATAGTACTTAAAATCAAAATTGTTGCGGAGCGACGATTTTCCAGATATCAAATTAGTAAAGTTTTACTAATTTAAATTGCTTGCAATTTGCCGGGTATTTTATGCATTCAGCTCTCGAGGAAGGAATACTTGACGAGAAGGCCTTTTTTGTCAGCTACCTACCCTAGGTAGGGTGATTGGGTCTAGTACCTACATAACTAGTACCTGCAACTAACAACCTAAAGTTGACGCGCTCCATAAACTGAGTCATCCACGATCTTTCCAAAGTTTCGACTTCAAGAGTTTCAAAAGAAAAAGAAGAAAAGAAAGAAATAAAAAAGGTAGTAATACAGTACCAGGCTTGATGGTTTGACATAATCACTTGGCTATATCACGATGCAGGCCATACATAGTTCCGCGTCCGCTCCCGCCTCCTCATCAGCTCCCAGCACCGCTCTTGTTCTTGAATTTGTCTGCCTATTTACGCGCGACCTTCGCAGGAAGCAAAAGAGGTGGCAGGATGGGAGGCTCAAGTTCCATACATTTAACAAGCGCATTATGGTGTATGATGATCGCGGGAACTTTATAGGAGACACACACTGGCGCGAAGATTACGACTTTGGCGATGGAGAAGAGCTCACGCTTGAGCGAGGAGGTGTCATCGTCCAAGTCGCAGAATGTGTAGGGAGTCGGGAACAGGACCTCTCTGAGTTGGTTGACAAACGAGCCCAGGAAAGAGCTGAACGTCAGTCCGCGGCTATCGCACGTCGCCCCCCTATACCTGAAGCTATCACTTCACAAGTTGCTGCCCCCCATTTTCAGTTGCGACACAAACCTCTTCACCAATTGATTGGCACCCCCACCGGACACCATGGGCGTGCGCTCATTTCCAACGAGTCGCCCTATGAAGCAAGGCAGAAGCCAAATCCACTGCCACAGACTGAGAGCCCACGCCCGCCGAAACGCAGAAGGCGAGAACCCTCGCCTCCGAGCAAGAACGGCTACGCACGAAGCTTATTCGGTGCGGCTCTCACACTATCAGCAACGCCAACAAGTACTCCGACAATGCAGAATGGAGCTGTCTCTTTGGGGCGTGCAGTCGGGATCAGAGAACAGGATTTACAACAAAGGAAGATAGCTGAAGACCTTGTCATGGAAACCGATCATTCACGTCGATTATCAGTTACCGAGTTAAGTGATCCGGAGGTAGATGGACCAAACTCGCTTCTGGCAAGAGAAAGCCGCGGAAGGTTCAATGATAGGTCCTCGGTGGCGCACCTACGGAGCAAAGAGGTTAGCAAGCCCTCTCTAGCTTCTAGGCCCCAAAGCTCGACTCCAGCCACGGGCCCCTTGTCGGAATCTAGACGTCAGAAAAAGGCACAGACACTAGAGATCAATAAAGAGCGCCAAACTATCTCCCATGAATTTCCCAGCGAACCGAGGACGGAACTTCGTATCAAGCCGAGGAAAAAGCGAGGCCTGCTAATGATCACTGAAAGTTTGGGGGGGACGACTAAGAGCCGAATCGACCGTCAAAATTCATCCACTACCTCAGAATACAGATCGGACATGCGCCATTCTAGTGCCGGTCGTAACGAGGATACTCCGGAAACCCTAGATTATCTTGACCAAACTGAGGCCATCGAAACATCTAAACCCAAAGACAGTTCACAAGACGACACTAATAAATCTCGTAAAGGCAGCATGCAACCAACCAGAGAGGATAAGACAGTAAGAGACAGGAGTGTAGATGGCCGCTCAATAGTAAGGTGTGATGAAGTCCAACATATACCTAATAAAGCTCCTGCTCCCCGCCTCGTTCCACTGGGGCGTAAGGGTATCCGTAGCAAGGAGATTATCGGGTTCGTTTTGGATGACGAAGAAGCCGACATCTGCAGTGTGCCTGAGGCACAGTCCAATAAGAAAATAGTGGGCGACGATAGTGTTGCCCCCAAGTTTATTCGAAATCCCGACACAGCTACACCCGATCGGCATCCTTTGGGGGACCAAGGCCGTTCGGAATCGGCATGGATAAGTACGGAAACAGAAGTGCAAGCTGAAGTAGGCGAAGATACTACTACAATAGCACGGCCGCCACCTAAAGGACCTGTGATTAACCCCGCAACGCGAGGTAAGAAGGCTGCCAAGCCATCGGATGCTGCTGGCCAGGTACCGCAATGTCCTTTGCCGCCCGAAGTGGCAGTTAAGCAACTCTTAGGATCTGGGGTTCACGGTGCCAATATGCGGAACAGGCGGGGGACTGGGTTAGAAAGCCGGACTAAAGGAGCCGACATTATACCAATGCCCGAGTTCTCTAGAGCGAGCGGGGGGGCTTGGAGCAGGGAGGCTCACGACCTCTTTGAATTCACTCGGCCGCCATAGATGCAAAATAATTACATTACCCCTATAGGTAGCCGGCCAAGTCCGAGATAAATACAACTGGCAGTTACATCCATATGCTATATCTGGGATGTGTGTGACAATTCAATTATGGCAGTGCTAGGGATAATTTAGGAGTTTGTGTGTCCCAAGGGCCAGCCTCGACGGCTCGACGGCGGTCTGCGATGACAAAGATGGACGACAATTTTCTCTTTCTTTTCGTAACGAGAGGGTGAGCGTTGCTGCTTTTTTCGTTGACCGCCAAAAACTGTATGTATACATTACTGTATGTACTCGTTACAAATATGTATGTTGGGCTTGCTTTGGGTACTTATGTGTAAATGTGTAAAAAGATTTGATGTTGCATTATGCAGGCGACCTACCTGGGTAAGTATACACACGTAAGTATACTACTTTAGTACATCCATGAATACATACGATAACATGTACTACTATACATGTTACTACATACATGTATATGGCATTGCTACTAGGTATATAGGGTAAGTCGTGGATCTAATACATTGATGTACTTAGATGGTATATGTATAAGTAGGAATTGAAGAAAAGAAAAAGCAAAAAATATGGCACTCCAATCCGTTTCGACTATTTCCCCGCTCAAATGTAATAACACACATACACACATACACACATATATCGAATCCATAAATAATACTCATCTGTTAGTATACCATCTCCTTCGAATTTCTTCCAATTCCAACTAGAATAATATTTCACCGAAAGTTCGGGGAAGGGGGGGAAGGGGGAAATAAATATCTTGGTCATGTTACGAACAACTCACGGAAGAGGAGAAAAGACCCAGCCAGAAACAATCCTTTACCAAACTACCAAGGTTAAATGTCACGTACGAACTGCAAGTTGCAAGGTCGTGTCTGCACTAATCTCATGTGATCGTGCCTTGAGAAGACGGAAGAAGAGCGATAGGTAAGTCTGATGGGGGGGGAAGAATCTGCCTCGGCAGCCTCATCAAGGCGCAGTACTTACTATAACATTGAACATACCTACATATATACGTACTATGTATGTACTGTATATCAAGATGTAGTACATCTATCGACCTACCTATTACCTAGTAGGTTAGGAACTTGGAAGAGTATCTAGTAGGTAGTGATACTGCAAGTGTACTGCAAGTAAGAAGTCAATGGACCTCTTGCTAGTCAAGCCTTGACTTGAGCTTTCCATGTCCAATTTCTTACCTTACCAACCTTCCAACCTCTCTGTCTACCTGTACATCTATTTACCAACCTAGTTGCCTATTTATCCGCCTACTATACGGCCATCTCTCTAACGACTAGGATCTGTCACATCCAATGCTGTCTCGCCATCCCTTGTTTTGGTCCTAGTATTTAGCCACTTGCTACCTTATACACTCCGGAGCCCTCCCGCGTTTAACCTTACCATCTCGACAAGCCAGCTCCTCCCTCATTTCACGAGGCTGTCTGCCTCTAATTGCGTGATAGACAAGTTGCTCGCCACACTAAACAGGCCTTTAACATGGCTTCGCCCGCTAGACCTCCTCGGGCCCCGCCCTCTCCATACACCACCCAACCCTCTAGAGGCCTCGATCCGCGAAAGGCCAAAAGAATTCTTGTGCCAGCCACTCCAGAGTACCAAAAAATATACAATGAAATTCGGCAGTCGCTTGAACGCTTGAACCTGCAGACTCATCTTGCCTCGCAACAGGGTTTACCACCCCCTCCCACAGCTCCGTCCACTAGTACTATTCATTCGCCTATAGAGGATCCCGGAACACCCTCAACCCAAAGCATCACAGCACAAGACGCAGATCCGCCGAGACGTCAACGAGGTAGGAGGAGAGGCCCTCTCGACACCGATACGAGATTGAAAACTGCACTCAAGAGGAAGCTCAAACTCACTTGCCGACGCCATCGAGCTAAAAAGATCACTGTAAGACCGTCAACAAATACCGCATAACTTGTCAGTCATGGTAACTAAATGGCCATGTATAGTGTGACTGCCATGATTTTAGCAAGCTAGAGGAGAATTATAAAAACTCCCAGCCCCTACCGTCCTCGAGTCATACCAGGTCGCATGCCCGAAACGATAGCCAGTTACTTCCACCCCTAGAACAAAGACTGAACGGTGAGACGTTTGGTGCTGGCGGTGCCGCGATAGTATCACCCGATCTAGGCGCTCCGGGTGCCTCAGACGCCTCGGACGCCCTGCCCAACGAGCTCACCTTGGGTCCGTCCACCAGTGGCCGCGAGGATGTAGTTCGACGAAGTGTACAGGAGATTCTCAATGGCTTTGATTCCCAAGGAGTTTATTTGAGCCAAAGGATGTTACAGGTCAGAGACCCACCTTATCTCCCAGGTAATCACATGGGTGCACAACCGCAACATGGGCCCATGGAAAGCGAACTCGTCGAGATTGGTAGCCAGATGCACGACTATCCGACCCGTTGGCAATGCGAATATAGAGGTCCTGTGGACTCCTTGTCAGATGTCTCGTCGGAAGCGTGTTGCTGGACTGGGCCGATCGAGCAGCTACCGGGCCATTTTCGAGACGAACACCACCCCTTTCAAGAAGCTTGCCCGAGCATTAGGCTCGTGTGTGCTCATTGTGGTCTCCAAGTATCAAATCACGGTGACCCTAAGTCGCCACCGTCGCCATTTCCGTGTTTAAGAGAAAGTTGTCCGGGCTCGACTTGGCAGAGGTGGTACTACGGATCTATGCGAGATGAGTCTGTGGCTGGATCTGGAATAACGTTAACGTTATCTAGCGAATCTGACACCGGAAATTCTTGGATTTTGCCTCCGGATGGGAGCCAGCCTTGGCAGGGTGCGGGAGGCTCAAACGACGGATATAGCCGGCACTTTAGCGGCGGGAATCCGTATGAGTATTCTTATAACTTGCACGATACCAAGTGGGACACTGGCAGTGATACGTCTAGCCACTCCTCCTCCGAGTCTTCCGAGTCTTCCACAGACTCTTCCACAGACTCTAGTCGCTATTTACCGGATCGACTTCATCCTCCTGCTGACTCCAAGTATTTTTCCAAATGGCACCCGCCGGACCCGACGACGACGAAGACGACGTCGTGCGATGCCGTCGAGCCCATGTGCTTCTCTCACCAGTGCCCCATACGCCTAGTGTCTCGCGCCAGGCTACGCCCCGCCTATCTGTTTGCCATCGTGCTCCTGTCGTTAACCAGAGTGGCCCAAGAAAGCCTCTACACGACCAAACCGAACCTACCCACGTCTCACGCGGCGAATCCCGACACGACCGATAGTTTTTGTTGGCTGGGGCTGCCCCTGCTTCTGTTTGGATTCGTGGTTACATGGACTATCAAGGACCGATTCAAGTCTTGGAATATACACGAGGTTAGTATATTGGAAATTCCCAAATTTACCTATGTATATTCAACAACAACCCATGCTAACATGTGAAAAGCCTAATAATCCTCAAGCTATTAATGGCCGTCCACATCCTAGAAGGCGATTACCATCCATCGGATACGATGAAATCAAATCCTGGCGTCGTTTTGGCACACTGATGACAGCGTGACATTCTCGATACCTGCCTAAGTAGGTGGGATTCGCTAGACTGGATGCGCAATGAGTTATAGGGCGGTTCTAAAATCCGTAAAGGGGCTTCATTTGTTGGGGACTGGATACGCGGGCTTTGTTTGGGTTAGGCCCGCACCCCTCTTGTTAGAACCCAGGCTGACAAGCGATGGTGCTATGTTGAATATTCGGATTTGATACCCCCCCTTGCGTTTTTTTGGACCAATTAATAATTGACGTTCTTAGGATGAGAATTATACGTTGAAGAGATGCTGGCCCATACGATGGGACGGAGGGGATGGGACAGCCTTTGAGCTTTATATACCTGCCTAGCCACTGACGGGTATATACCTACGTTAATATATAGTTGATAATTCTTTATTATGTAAGTCTGAAAATAGACTATAACATTTTATCATGAATCTATCTAACTAGTTATATTGCTACCTACCTGGATAGGAGTCAGTGACTGACAGACTGCTTCCTTTGCTTTTGAGGTGATACTTACTATGAGCAATATGCTACATGCTGGCGTACATACATAGCAATGCCAGTAACGAATCATCCAGAAAGATGACTTACATATTGGTAGTCTGTATGCACCTCTGAGCTTGCGACGTGCAGATAGATACTACTAAGCATATCATATATGCATGGACAGTAGTTAGTGGTAGGTACAAAGCCTAGGTAGTAGTAATACTGTAGTATGGGAAAATGGGAAAATGGGAAATTCAGAGCTGAGTCATATTAGGGGTGGTTGCACCTAGTTACATAGTATCGCACCTGCGATGCATACACTACCTAGGTAATAAAAGCCTTTTATCAAGTTTTATGAAGTTGGCATGTGCTTATGAGGCTAGGTACTAGGTACTTGACTCCGCCCCCTCAATCGTTCAAGATCTGGTGGGGTTCAAGTTGGTAGGGATTCCCGGTTCCGACAAAGGTATTGTACATGCTGTAGTTATATGTACTAAGATATGTACGAAAGCTTAGATGTATTGTACACTTTTTGAAGGGATTCCAACATTCGAATTACCTTAGGTGTTATAGGTAGATATATGAGATAAATATATGAAATAAATACATGAAATAAAATAGACGGGCCAATTGATACTCATCTCACTCAACTCACAAACAGTTGCTGCTTAGTTACAAAATGCATACATACCCTAGGTAGGTATCATATACATGTACATGTAATCACATTGAAAGAATTTTAGTGGTTACTTATAATCCTTCCAAGGTTTTTAGGGATGACTCAAATATCAGACCAACCGTTTTTGTCTGGCCGACTGCTGCCTGAGGTTTTCGTGCATCTGTCCCCGGCCGAGACTTGATCAAGACCCAGTATTGTTACTATTTTCCATATAAAATACCTGTAGAGCACTAACAAGGTTTAGGGCCAGGTACTTAACGATGGAGTCACACGAGAGTAGCTATGATTGGTTGATTGATCAATGCAAGTTCTCGCCGAGTGGATCAATTCACTTTGCTCCGCCATTCTCCAATGTCGATGAATTGAGGCTTTGCGTGCGCAATTACATACCTGCATAGTACGATGTATGGTCAAAAAAAAAAATAAAAAAAAAATAAACCAACTTTGAAGCCTGGAAAATCGGACTGAAATATCACCTTGTGACTCCCTCCCGACTTTGAATCTTTTTCCTCCTTTTTCTTTTTTCTTCTCTGTCTCTCGGATCTGATACTACTGTTTACCCTTCCTACACTTGGAAGACCCTCATTCACTAACCCACATCCTCTTCCCCTACCCTCTTGAGCTAGGCATCACTGTCAGCAGTGGCTCGCGCCTTGACTCAAACGAAATCCTTTTTGTCGTTGACGAGTTGACATCTCCATACTAGTCGGGTTTACCCCATACGACTAAGTACAGGTCAACTTAGAGACAAGGGATATCGTATACAGACAATACTATACCATATTATACCACCTACCCTATAACTATACTTCATCTAATACTTTATACATCAATACTTTTGTGTATATTCTCTTTCGAGTCTCTTGTACTATCTAGTACATACCTACCTTTTAGGTATTCTAGACGGTCCGGCACGTCAGCTCGGAGTTAACGGCATTTACCACCCCTTACCAGGGAATTTGGTGCTTATTGACGATTTCACGTTTACTCGTAACTGTCGAGCCACCTATCTGCCTATCGTGTACTTCAACGACTCTTCTAGCCACGTTACGGAAATTAACGTCGTCAAGATGTCGTATATGTCTCGAAATAACTCTTCCGCTTCGCTCATGGGCTTTTCTATTCTCCAGCCAGCCGTGGGAGGCACTTTACAATTCTTCCCTGCCATGGGTTCTAAGCAATTGGATGAGTTGATCAATGCTTACGTCCCTGGCAATGCTTCCATTTCTGAGAAGCGCGCCACTGTCTCCATGGAATTCTTCCAACACGCCATGCTCACCGGCGAATCGTTCAAATTCTTCACAGTTTATCCATCTCGTAGCTCTACGATTGAATCTCCCGCTGGCTCCACGATCGATTCCGGTTACGTGTCCAACTTCACATCTCCAGTAATATCCGAGAGTCAATGGACGCCAAGCAGCAGTGGATCAGCCGCATCTCCCACATCCAATGTTCAAAAGACGTCTTCTAAGAAGTTGATTCCATCTACTGACTTCTCTCACCTTCCTGGTATGAAAATACTAACCAAGGATGGAATGGACGTTACCAACTCAGCTTCCCGCGGGTGTAAGACTAAGGAGCAACGTGACCATGCCCATCTTATGCGAGTTATCAAGGCGTGCGATGCTTGCAGGAGAAAGAAGGTACGTTGTGACCCGAGCCATAAGAGGTCATCGGGTTCCTCTGGGGCCAGGGTGACTAAGAAGGTAAAGAAGTCAGTTGCTGTATCCGCGCCATCAGCACCGGCACCTGCACCATCACCAGCACCAACATCATCAGCATCTGTATTCGCGTCCTCGTTTGATACACATGCGGCATCGCTATCTTTTAATTCAGTCATGTCAGAGTCGCTAGTCGACCCAAACATGGACTGGAACCAATTTATCCAATTTGACGAGCAGCCAACCGAAGCCATTCCGTATGACTATGACTTCTTCCTAGATCCTGCGGGTTATCTTTCACCCACATCATCGAACTCATTCTCTGCATCACAACCCATCACACCTGCTCAATCATATGGTACCGAGAACAGGCCTCTCGCTATCAACGAAGGCGAAACCCAACTACCACTTCCACCTTATTACAACCCAGGTGGTGAAGCTGGAAATGATTACGCCGACTTCAATCTCTACTCACCAGGTTCTTCGACATCTCTCGACGACGATCCTGCACTAATTAGAGAAGTTGCTGCCATGCCCCATCCGGAGTACTCAGATTATCTGAGCCGTCAGCAACCACTTGATGGCAACTCTAGACAAAAGGGTATCATGTACCAGGACCATAACTTCACCACGCAATCAGGGACATCGGCGGGCGCAGAAAGTCCCACGTCGCTCTTCTGGCATGAACAGACATCGTCACCAGAGCGGTTATACGCCCACCGGAATTACTTCTCTAGCATATCTCCATCAATTCAACCACCCATTACGACACACGGCGATAACGGCCAGACTAGTCAGATACCGGAGTGGCATGTTCCGACTTCCACGGGCGATCCACACCTCATACCACACGTGAGAGCAAACGGAATGTTATCTATACCAGGCGGGACAGATGTATCGCCAACTCAACCGGGAGCATCTCCTAGACTACAAGGCTTGCGGTCTAGATCGCTTGCACCCTCTGGCGGAATAAACATAGACAGCTCGGTCGTAACGAACCGGCAAACTCAGAAGAGTTTGACGACTATGTTGGCAACTAGCCACGACCCTTCAATCTCTCCGTTCACTACTTCTCCATCAACTACTACTTTGGCCACCACTTCTCGCTCCAACAACTCTCTATCCCACATTTCAGGATTGTCTGCAACCAACAGCACCCCTGCAGAAACTCCCCACAGCGTAAGCCTCCGTTCGGTACATACTCTAATCACCGGATATAAGCTAATATATGCACAACAGCCGCTCATTATTCACGGCGGGAAACCAACATCACGCCCTGCCGCCCTAGAAGGGTATATAGCAGGAAGCTTATCCCCTGTGCCCTCTTCATCGAATGTGATGCTTTTCATGAAGTCTACGGTCATTACAGTATTCGATGATCAGAATACAGCCGATCGTTCTTCTCTCATCATGAGCACTGTCAGCCGAACGTTCCAGAGCATTGCTGCATTTAGTTTCCAGGCCAGAATGGTTACCAGAAATATCTTTTGTGGCCTGGAAACTCTATTCACGTCATCGTTCGAGAACCAAGTGCTACGGTCCACCATGATACTCTCAGCCCTAGTTTCTGTTCTACATGGGGCCTTGCCCTTATCACCGTTCAAGCCGGTGCACCAAAAGAACACCACCCTAGGGAACAGTTGGATTGGGACAGCCCTACACCCAAAGACACAACGCCGATCGGAACCACAAGAATGGAACTGGCTCAGAGAAGCTACGGTTGTAGCCTGGTTGCTAGCTATGACTACTTTCGCAGCTGTTATATTAAGCTCGCTTTGTCAATGGCAACAGCTGGATAACAAATCCAGAGAGCTTGGATTCATCCCCGCCCTAATGGGGTGTTTGATCATCACCGTTGCTCATACCAATTCACGACAAAAAGGTGGCCCAGGCGTGGCCATGCTGGATCTGGCCACACGCCATCCTTTTGCCGTGAAACGACTCCCCTCGATGGCCATGAGCCATATGAAGACGACACACAATCGCTTATCCCGAGGCCTTTCTGAACTGCAAAGTTACCTGAGAAAGAGCATCTCTTTTCGACCATCCGATAAGTCCATGACCAAAGGTCTGCTGTCCCGCTTGCCAGCCATGATGACGATCACTTCGTGATTGTTATTTGGATGATGATACAAGGGGGATGCATTTGCATGCATCGACGGGATCAGCGTGCGTGGGATTCGTATTGCCTCGAAAAGATGATATCCTTGATGGGAAGATAGTAGCGAATGGCAATTGGCTAGGAGTAAGCCTCGTAGTAGTACCATATGTGCCTACCTAGCTTGTATGTAGATATACAAGCACCTACCTAGGTACATACCACTGTGTAGTTAAGAAGGAAAAAAACTGATGGTTGAGGGTCGGTCTAGCTGATGATGTCTGCGAGGTGGTGTTTTCCCCGCGCCTACTTAGACTAATACGACCTTTGACTGCTTTTATTAATGTTTCTGATTGTTTATATGAAAAAGTGATGATGTTGATAATCTTGTGATGTGCTTTGATGTGTTGATACAAGTGCACAGTGTATGTAGTCTAATGTACATACATACCTAGGTACACTGAATGCCTAGATATGCAACTTACACAGTACGATTAGACGACGATTTGATAGTTGCATAGTTAAACCTCAAGACGGGCGCTCCCGCTTTCTCAGGCCAATAGGTAATCGATAAACTTTAATAGATGGAACCTGCTTTTCAGGCAGGTACTTTAAAGCTTTACCTACGGTCTACGAAGGTTGTGGCCAAAAGTTTAGACCAAGATATACCTCAGCCCCACAGTGCGCCACTCTTTTTTCGGCCTTTACCAATAATAGGTATACATTCAACGTCAAGTCCCCTACAACCCCTAAAAGTATAGCACCTTATAGCACACTTAAACGCTATAATGTGCTATAAACTTAAAGCCTTTAGTCCTAAACAACCTTAGATTATTATACAAATATTTACATTAATTTAATGAAGAAAAAAATTACAAAAATTTCTATTATTAAATAAACTAAATAAATAACGTAATGATATATTTAATATTTATTAAATAAACTTATAAAGCTTTATAAGTAGGTAAGTATGTTGGCAATGATATTTCCTACAGTGGTAGAAAAGTGGAGGAACTGTGGGGCTGAGGTATATCTTGGTCTAAACTTTTGGCCACAACCTTCGTACCTAGTACCTAGTAGTCTACTACCAGGTACCTAGCTAGCCTGCTAGTCTTGGGATGGCGTGGCATGGTGGGACCTAGGTAGAGTTAAGCATCCTTACCTAAAGTGAGGAAGTAAAAGAAATCAGCTAGCAAGGTTAGCGTCAATCAGCTCAACCCCACGGCAGAAAATTCTCAGCCGCGTCGCCGTCTTTTTTCACCTTGTCGTAAAATATTGAAACATTCTTTTTGTTTCATCCATTTACTGTACTCTTATTAAGAACTCCATTCCGACCATGATCACTCGTCCCCACCATAATCTACGGTCGACTCATGGATGCGCTTCTTATCCATAATTCTCTAATATTCTTTCTCATGATGCTCTGAAAAAAAAAGAAAGGAATTCTGACCATTTGATCCTCATACTTGGATATGCCTTTCGTTTTAAGGTGCCCCCTAATGAATAGCATTACCTAGTATTTTCTCACCTCACCAACCTTATTGTCTCGCCGGTCCACTCAACTCGTCAGCGAGGTTCATAAAACTCATTTTGCCTTATTATTCAGTTATTCATTCACTTGCGGTCAGTGTTGTTTCTATCTAGTAATTGAACGGCTTGTATTATCTATCTAATAGGCAGCCGGGAATAACTACCTGCTGGATTACGATATTCTTGCTATTATTATTCGTCCTCATCGTCGTCGTCCTCCTCCTCCCCTTATTCTCATTTTTATTCTTGTGAGGTGTATAATTATTCCTGGAGCCTAAGGTTTTGGATTTGAATTTAAGGGTGCTAGAAAGAGAAAATTAAAAGATAGACGCCTAAGGCTCACGGAGAGGTAAAAAGAGAAAAAAAAGGGAAAAAAATCAATGTGAAGGAAGGTGCGGGAGTTTGAGAAGAGGAAACAATGGCGGGACACAAAATTTCAGGTTACGCTGCGAGCCTCTGGCAGGCACTGTTTGCGTCTTTCATCCAACTCTTATCCCGCGTCTCCCATTATTTCACCACGACAACGGATTCAACTCAGAAGCCTCCGCCACCTCAACAGTCACCCACTTCCACTTCTCCCACCATTAAAAATTTTGACTCACCACAACCTTCTTTATGTACCCCATCTCCCCAAAACCATCCATCTTCACCACAACAACCCCCGCCCAACTCTTTCATAGACCTCGAACAAGGGTTAGACTCTTCATCTAAGGAACTTAATATGGCGCCGTCTAAGAAGCGCGGTGGTCAGAAGAGAGGTGGTCAAAAAGGCAGCGGTCCTAAACCTGTCGACCCTGCTTCTCCTTCGGTCGGCCCGTCATCAAACGGCACTACCTCGAATTCTACCACTAATAACAACTCCCCTGCGCCGCTCCCGGCTTCCCAAATGTCTGGTCCGGCCGGTGTTACTCCTGTTGCGAATCAAGGTGACACTAAAGCCACCATTCGTCAGACTAACAGTCAAAAGCCAGCCGAGTCTCTACAGCCCTCTTGGAGCCGTGGTTCTTTGCCCTCCAAAAAACCTACTGATGATAGAAAGGAGAACGATACTCCTCGCATCGCTGCTCACAGCACATTTCAGAGCCAGTCGCCAGCCCTGAAGCCCCTCGTGGCGGATAATCAGACTCAGGTTCATCACACGGGTACCCGCAGCCAGTCCGCCACCTCGGCATTCACTTCTTCTGGCAAGATGGAGGTTGCCGAGAACTTGATCACCAATGTGCAGGTCAAAGAGCTCAGTACAAGTGTCGACCGTCTTACTCTTGACGACACCAATGCAACCCAACAGCAAGCCCAATCAGAACTTGACCCTCCTGCCGCTGCTATCAAGTCATCGGCCACACCAACGCTTACCGTTGTCCCTCTTCCCTTCAGCAGCGGACCGGTCGAGCCTAAGCCTGACCCACTTACTCAGAATCTACCTGGGTTGATCGAGCCTACTACCGAAGAAGGACGAGCTGAGCGAGAGTACAATCTTAAGTTCATGCGAGAGGCACTCGCTATGGTAAGATCCCTTTGTGCCTTCTTTCCTCTTTCCTCTCCCCCCTTGCCTACCAGCCTCCCCTCTGAGTGAAAATCAACCACTTCTTCCAAGCTTTTATCGCAAATATTTAGCCGATATAACCCACGCGTCGATGCATTGATTCACCTATTCGTTTTATACTTGTTTCCCTTTTTGGCGTTTATATCTGCCTAGCCCACTAACAAAAGAAACAATAGGGTGATCTAGCTCTAAACACCAATGAGACGCCAGTTGGTTGTGTCCTAGTCTATCATGGCAAAATCGTTGCCAAGGGAATGAATGCGACTAATATCACTCGGAACGGTACTCGCCATGCGGAGCTTATGGCCTTGTCCGCTTTGCTCTCCCAACGAGAGCCCGGAGATGTCGAGGAAGTTAACAACCACTTAGCCCTGGATGATGCCAGTTGGGGAGATGTGGACCCAAAAGATGGTCACATCTATCCTTACGGCCAGAAGCTTCATCCCGCCCCTGTGGTTGCTCGCTCTATCTTGTCGGAGTGCGTCCTTTACGTTACGGTTGAACCTTGTGTCATGTGTGCTTCTCTTCTTCGGCAAATGGGCATCAAGAAGGTTTATTTCGGTGCCGTTAACGATAAATTTGGTGGCACTGGAGGCGTTTTCAAGATTCATATGAACTCCAAACCCGTGCCCAAGCCCGTGGATCGTCCTTATCAGAATGGATACGGTCCCCCGGACGTTGATCGCATCGTCAAGGGTAGATCTACCCCCGTTCCCCGCGATGAAGATGATGGTGATGGTGGTAATGTGGAGCGTGGTTACTTCGTTGAGGGTGGATATCTCCGCGACGAAGCAGTCTCACTCCTTCGTCGATTCTACGTCCAGGAGAATGGCCGAGGTAAGTCTATTAGAATCTATGTATGCTGGTACTTTCAACTGACTCTCTCTTTCACAGCCCCACAGCCTCGAAAGAAGGAAGGAAGAGCTGCTCGTCTATTTGCTATGGAGAACCAGGTTAAGAATGGCGCTAGTGGCACTGAGCTTTCGGACGGTTCTATGCAGCCCGATGTTCCCATGAGCCCCGAAACGCCAGTCGATAAAGAAGTGACCATGGAGCCCGAGGTACAAGTTGACGAAGGCAAGAACCCTGCTATTCGTAACGACACTTCATTCTATTGACCAATGGTTCATCACCATCGATCATCAAATTACGCATGACCATAATGATTACGATGCCGACAATGTAATATTACGACGATAGACTTGCATCAGATTCCCACACACGCATTGCATGGATGGCAAAGCCCACCCCGGAGTTACTGGTTCCTGCTTTCTTCATCCACGGAAGGGAAAAAATTACCACAGGATCGATTAGGCAGCATATTATTAGGGGGGCAGGCAGGCAGGGGAGGTTCATAGCTAATAGCTGACCTTGCCCTGGCACGGGTGTTTTCTAAAAGTTGCTCGGCATATGAGGTACTCCTTATTAGATAGCCATCACGGGCTATCTCCCCTAACCGCGAAACTGTATTACTAGTATTACTACAGAGTCACGAGAATGGGCTACTAGGCTCTCGTTGATGCTCAACTAGAGTAAATAAATCGTGTCACTTTTTAAGTTGTGCGTATAATTGAACAAAGCTACTGTAGTAGGGAGAGCCTTAAAGGGTCCCGTTTCGCGACTAACTAGGTGCTAGCTAGGTGCTAACTAGGTACGTAAGACACTAGCTACTTCCTATTCGTAGTACTCAACACTCTTGTCATGAACAGGAGACTTTTAATTCACCTAACGTATCTAGGTAGATAGGTGGGCTAGTAGGTACCTAAGCAGTGAGTTGTTTCGCGGCACTGATACTGGAGGTAAGGAACGCAGGGAAATATCTATCTGGCATGGTTGGCACTCCCCCCCCCCTTTTTTTTTTGATGCGTGAGCTGAGTTGGTGCTATGTAGGTAGCTTGGTATCTTGATAGCTAGGTACCTGGGTGTAGGTAGGCAGGTGTAGGTAGGGAGGGAGTATCGAGTATCGAGTATTGAGTATCGAGTATTTCTTTCACGTGTGGTTGTCTGTCTGTCTGTCTGTGTGTATGTAAGTATGCAAGTATGCATATCTGAGATATTGAAGGACCTTTTAAGAAGCGTAAAGCTGGGTTTCGGTGTCTCTGGTAGCTTTTAGATGTTGTTATGTATTGTATTGTACATAGTTCATCACAGCTAGCTAACCTAGCTAGCTAGCTCTAAGGGGGGAGGGGGGAGGGGGGGGGGGGTCAGTTTGGTTTGGTTTCTACGCAGATGTGGTCTGGTGATTATTGTTTTTTTTATCGTTCTCGGAAAAGAGAGGGAGAGGGAGAGGGAAAAGGGGGTGCGTGCGTGTCTTGTGTGTGTGTGTGTGTATTATGTATGTGTGTGTGGTTCTCGTCATCGGGTCGGGTTCGGATCGGGTTGGGGCTGGCATGGGTTGTTGGATGGGTCGATAAACTGCTTAGGGGGTGGCTTGACGGAAGGTAGGGTGGTTTGAGGTTTTCTTGTGGCTTTTCCTGTGTGTGTATGGTGTATGGTGTATGGTGTATGGTGTGGTTGCTGTTGTTGTTGTTGTTGTTCCTGTTGGGGGGGGTGTTGGGGGGGGGGGGGGTGATGTTTTGGGGTGGTGTACTGGGTCTGATTGCTGGCTTCTCTGGGGTATGGTGGACTTGCTGAGATGTGTAAGTAAGTAGGCATGTATGTAGGTTGGTAGATGGGGTTTCTCTGGTTATGGATAGATGCTTCGATCTCTAGAAAATGGCCATGCTTGCTGGTTATCATCCCCAGACTATCTCGTACGTCTTGTTAAAAGGGGGAGGCGCATTTCGGGCACGTATCACTGGGAAAATGTATGTGTATAGATAGATGAGCGAAGCGAGATAGGTATATAGCAATATCTTCTTGTTAGTGGTTCTCGCCTTCTTCATCATAGGTCGACAACGGCCAATGCTTTGGATTGGTGCTGTGTCGTGTATGGAGTGGGTATGGGACGTCCACTTTCCTATAAACCATGTCGGATCATGCTATCTACTAGGATAAGGACCCTTAATTGAAAGGGTGCTGGTGATGGTCTGGAGATGTCTCTGCGAGATCGCGTTACATTACTTACATGCGAAAGACCATGGAGGTTTGGTCATGTCGTGCTGATATTTAAGGCGTAGTCTAGGTTGCTATCGGCGCGGACGTATGCTATATTAGGACATAGAGCCTGGGAGTTTGGGTGTCTTCATCATTTGGATGCCCAGTAGATAGTCACTCTTGAAATAAGTCTTCATTCAAGCATTGTTGGTTGTATGTTGGTCGGTTGGGTGGGATATCCGATGCTTTAGCGAGGGGTAACCTTCCTTCATGGTCTCTAGGGGTTATATAACATATAGAGCTATCTTGAGTTTGGTACTCATCGCCAGCAATGTCTGAAGAATGGATGAAGCATGGCGGCATATTTGGTGATATCATGACTGTGCTCATTTGAACCCCCAAGACGAGTTCGTACATACATCGTGTTATAGCGGGCCTCGACCGTGACTGTGTCGCTGCATCAACTTTAAGGCCTATTAACCTAACTCCATTCTAACTATATCGATTGCATCGTTATAATTCAATGCTAAGTGGAACTCTGGGCGTCTTCTGCGATGTTATGGTATGTGAAGGTCAGTAAAAGTTCAAGACCTCTTTTCTTTCTGTCGTAGATCATTGGGCTTCACGGGGTAGGACTCCTATTTAGACGCGATTAAAAGATACAATGGTTCCCAAATAATAAGAACTGATTTTAATAATATTTTCTCATATCCATCCTATAGTATGCGATATCAAACGAAGACTAGGTAACTAGGTAGTAGGAGCCCTGAAAGATGAGGGCAGATATGGTAGGTACACCAGAGGGTGACGATATCTAGCCAGTGTCAATTTCAGCAGGTGGTCCAAATAGCAATTGGAAGTTTAATGCTTAACGTTTAATACATAACATTGGTATACGTTGAGATTCAATCCGAATCCTTATCTAGGCGACCAATTCCCAGTATCGTGATGTCTCAACAGCGTAGTGCCATCTTTTGTGGTTCAGGAGGCCGGTGTCGGTTCGGAAAATTCATGAAGCTGTAGGCAATCCGATTTCCCACCTAGATATACTTATTTCCATCCGAATTCACAGAAACTTCAGTTAAACAGAGCCATTAAACATATGCGACACTTCAACTCTAATCATTTCGATCGCAAACCCTACCAATATCTGCCAGGTACCTACTCACTAGGGAGGCAAGTATACGAAGGCCATGATCCCCTTGAAGTGTTCTTGCTCCGCATTTCTAGCCAGGAGTCCTCTGTTGATGGACTCGGTTTTCTTATCAAACTTATCAAAAAGCTTCCAGGTCTATCATTGTGGCAGAACTCGCATTGTCATGATAGGTGAACACGCCCTCACTGTCAACTTCGGTGTCACGATAACAAGAAATGCTACCTATGGGTGTCTCCAATCACTCACACGCACGCCCCTAGCAGACGAACTCATGACTCTCGCGCCACCAAAAACCAAGGATCTACTTTCCCATAACCAGAGGACGCATTCCCGCAAAATTACCACGACGAGTCCATCTAGAAGATCGTTCAAGACAATCAATTCATTCGCCTACCCCGCTATCTATGGGATTATCGATCTGGTTCTCAGCTGACGCACATGCAATGGGCCCATACGCAACCAGACTTCATGCCCTCGATATCTGTAGAGTCGCTCAAATCAAGGCCAGCAACAAAGAACACATACCTGCCGAGTGATTAATTACTTTAAGTGTATACCAAGTTTGGTCTATCTGAAAGGCCTTTTCAATCCCCTGTTGCAGCAATGTCCAGTGTCATCCCATTAACCTCGATATGTTTTTCCTACAGGTACCCGATCTCTAGAGAAATAAAGAGGTAGACCAATCTACTAGCCAATTCACCGACCTAATTCACCTCGTCGTATAATATTGACGCTATTTCCATCCCGAATTGCGATACAGGATTCAAAAGAAGCACATCGACCGTCTTGATATGGGGCATTCCATATGCAGAGCTGAGTTAGGAGGATCGTAATAATGATAATCAATTCCGGCATATCTAAACGGACTAGATTTAGGAATGATGTTCTCGATTGGTAGCACGTAGATCTAGCGGTCATAGAGACAGGATCGTCCCCATGGACCAAGGATGTCGAGCTATATATGTATGTGAATGCACCTAGGACTCCATCTACCAAGATCTCATAACACTGCTAGGTATATAACACACCGAGTAACGGACATCGTTCTTTTCTATTATTCGCGATGGCACTAAATGAAAATCGTAGACAAGAGAGTTAGGTGGTTGTTACCCCTAATGGCGGCCTTGTTGAGGTCACGTCGGAGGAGCGGCATCATTAGACACAGTCCGGGATCTACGCCCTCAACTAACTAAATCAGCGCAAGGGGTCTCCCTAGTATGACACTCGACCAATACTCGCCATAATCATAATATTTCACCAGCATCAACGTAAATTATGAAAGTTCCGTTTGTGATAGTTGTCTCGGAGCATTGATGGAATCTTCAACCGATCGAGGCGAAGCACCGCTTTCGAGTGACATGTCCGCACCTTATCGAAAGCCATTGCCCATTATCTCGACACCTTAACCTCTCCGCCTCGAGATTGTCTAAGACGATGGTGGACCAGATGCTACTAGTATAACCCCAAAACCATCGAAGCACTTGATATTTCTCGCGATGTAGAGATAAGATGGTTTCTGCGATTGTTCGACCTGGCCCTTTAAGCCAGTCTCGTCGACTAACGTGTCGTGAAAGTGTCGTGAAAATGACTGAAGGGGCTGTGATCATGAAGTGAGATGTCTAGACCCCCCGCCTGGAGGCGACTCGTATATACAATTACCCCTGATCTATATAAATGACAAGAGTCGGAGGACTGGCCGTCCCCGGTTCGAGGATTGAAGATACCTAGTGGCAATAGGAAGGCAGGTAGTGATGTTTGTTGGTTAGTTGGTTGGCTTTCTCGGTAGAGGAGAAGGGGGAGGGGTCATTCCAAATTGAGTTTCTGGTTGGTGTTGATAGCTAGGATGTCGTGGCCAACTAGTTTCAAGGCCAAAAGAGCGAGAGGAGGACGGGGAGTAGTCGGGTATTTAAGTATTTAGTCAGTCAGCCGCAGCAGCACAAGTCGAGATGGCATAATGAAGTCACAGGGGGGGATTAAAATCAAAAAAGAGGCCAACGGAGGTGTCGGACTATGTAATCCGAAAAAGCTGACTGGTCACCCTGATCACTGGTGACTGATCTGGTCTGTATGTTTCTATGTATGTTTGAATGTACATTTGTTTAGTATATGTATGTATATTTTAGGATTTAGGATTGGTGTAGTTGCGCAAGGCAAATAATAAATACCAATACTTACTGTTAGGCTATCCTGTTCTATCCTAACCATTCATCCCCGTTCATCTCCATTCATTCCATTCTATCTACTTTTACCTGGTCGTCTCTATCAGCTCCCTATCTGCTCTACCCTTTTTTTTTTTTTTACCTTACCATAATACTCCATACCTTAACGACCTTTACCTTACCTTACTTTCTTTAACTTAACCACCCACCCCAGCCCAGCCTTCTCGATAAAATAACATTTATTGAACGTGTAATTAGATCGGTGGCACGCTCCTCTCCGCGACTTTTCCCAAAAAAAAATAAACTGACCCATTCCCTTCTCTTTTTACTGTGCACCAGATCTTAAATTTCAATCATCTTTCTTTCTTCCTTCAACCCATCTCGTCTTCCCGTCTCCCCCCTCCTCTCTCCTCGACTTCCAACATTCAACTTTCAACATTCAACTTTCTACCACATCTGCAATCTTGATTGCAAGTACGGCAACTTCTGCAATTACTGCAACTTCCCAAAAATATTACCTGGATATCTGAAGTTATCACCCGCATCGCTATTCTAATAGTAGTCGGCTCGGGAAAACATCATACTTCCATATCCACCCATCAGAAAATACTGGGGTACGTAGGTCGAACAAATACATACCACAACACAACAAACCATACTTGGTACCTTACTTCCTTACCATTATCCTGATACCCGCTACCGACTACCACGACCAGGAAGAACAGAGTTACCTCAGGCACCAGTTATTACTACTAGACCTTGGCCTAGTCAGACCCCTCCCTCTGCTTAATTCTTTTATTCCTTCCCACAACCTTACTTTACCAACCTTCACACACAACTTACAACATTCAACCAACTTTTCGTTTCTTGTTCCACACTCAACCACAGACAACTGTGAATGCAATCGGGATCAATATTGAACGACTACTGATGAACACGAGCTATTATTGCGAGAATAGTAAGTACATTTTTATATCCTACAACCATCATCATCATCATCTTCTTCTTCTTCTTCTTGTTCTTCTTCTTCAACATCATCATTCTCTCCCTCCTCTCCCTCTCCCTCTCCCTATTTTTATATTTCCTTCTGAGCTTGGTATTCCTATCCTATCCTATCCTAGCCCATCCCGTCCTGTTCATTGCCCATCATCATCTTGATCTTGATCTGTCTTTCTATCAACCCATCTATCCCTTCTCGGGGAACATGATCCTGTCTGCTCTATTGAGCTGTGTTTCCTTATTTACCCCCCATTGCATGATCACTACACCATACTGTAACTGCACTGCACTGAACTGCATCGTCGTCCTACATTCTACATTCTTAGTTACTTAGGAAGATATTGTTGCAGTACAGTCACCTACCTAGTACCAATCTACATGTGTGGATAGTGGTACTGGGTATAGTAGTACGGAGGTACCTTGTTCTTGTTGTTCCCCCTTGATCGTTCGTTCCTACTCCAAGCTCCTCCACAAGCACCAAGCACCAAGCACCAAGCACCCAAGCAGAGACGGTATTAAAGTACCCCTACAAGTTCCGGTCACGTTTGTAGGACATACATGTACATACAGTACATAGTGTGGTCCACGAAACGAGCTTAGCTAGCTAGCTATTGGTTGATTGAACTCTCTCTCTTTTTTGAATTTGCATTTTTAAACTTTGAGCTATTCTATTTTCACTCCCCTTCATGTTTCTAAGCTCTCAACTAAACTTCTTACGTCCCCCAACTTTTTACATGAGTACGTACTAACTCCAATTGTTTAACTTCAGGTTACATAATTTCCTTCTCTTACCCCCCCAATCATCCATTCATCTAACCTACATTATCTCTACTACATACACCCTTCTCTCATCCCGCCTATTACATAACCTCCATAACTACATATTACCTTATTATTGTCACCACTCTTTACTTTAAACTCCTCTCTTACATTTACATATTCAACGCGTCGTGTCTATTTTCAACCACTATATTGGATTGAACTGCCACAACGTTGTTGTACCTCACTAGACATGGACTTACCTGCAACCATGTCTTCCCCTCGTGCGTTTTCTTCCGAGTCCAGTGTCGGCGCTGCTGCCGACACTTTCTCTCCTGTCGCGTCTTCCACATCGACCCCCCCTACTACTACTGCCGACACGATGAGTCTGGCTTCCGAGAACTCCAAGCATGAGAATGCCGCGGCCATTGGCCCTATTGACGATACTATTGACGCACTGGACGTTGACGCGTCTTCTGTTATTGCCGACTCCATTGTCGCGTCTGCCCCCACAACCCTCCCAACCCTCCCAACTCTCCCAAACGCTTCCCAACTTCCCTCTCCCAACGCCCTCGATGCCACGCCTAGCATCTCTAGCGGACGTTCGCGCCGACAACGACTCAGCGCACCTATCTACAATATTGCGAAGTTAGCTGGCACTGCGATTCACGGAAAGCGAAGAGCCAAGGGCGACGATGTTGCGGACCGAAAGCGACGCGCCACAACCGGTGGTGACGCGCGAATTGAGTCTGAGGATGAAGAGGAGAGCAACCCGCTCTCGATTACACAGAGTGCAGGGCCAATTGCCACGAAAAACTCCAAGTCATTTAAGGAGACGGATGGAGAGCTCGTGAGACGCATCCGAACGCGTTCCTCGGCCGTGGAGCCCGACTCACTGGCGCAGAAGCTATCTACCTTGGGCAAGAAGGGACGAACAACATTTGAGAAGGGCCTAACCAAGATGTCACGTGAATTGCGACGATTGCAGGACACCGATGAATTTGCATTCATTGATAAGAAGCCTGTTATTGTGTCGACCTGGGCCAACGGAAAGCCCGTCTTACCTGACAACGAACGCACCAACAACACCGCAGGCGCTACCACCACATCCAACTCCAGTCGTCACTCCAACCAGAATGCTACCCCCAGCCGTGGTAGCCTGAAGCGCAGCCGCTCCAATCCCCAATCGGAGTCATCTCGAAAGAAGGCTAAAGGTACAGCCGAGGCTCGTGACGAGGAGGATGAGTCGGAGGACGATATTATCGAGGAACAGGCACCACCTCCCCCCCCACGAGTTACGAAGAAGTACCTCGATCGCGGCCTCTACGCAGGCCAAGAGACCCCTGCCGATGTCTACCAAGGTCTCACTGCGGCAGAGAAGAAGAAGTTGGCAGAGTTACCCGAGTTGATGCCTAGCGGTAGGCCCAATACGACGATGCCGCTGCCCATGTTTAATGGCATGCGCACCTTGATTGAGGGCCGAGACTTCAAGCTGCCCTGGGATGTCTGCAACCCTCTCCCCCCCGGCCAGCCCAAGCCGGACTTCAAGAAGCTTACCAAGAGTAAGTTAATTGTCTTTAATTTATCTAGCTATGTTATCCTTTGGTGGGGCCCTTTTAGCTAATATGTCTCTCAGATCGATTTATTGGTGATGCGGCCGCCTACTGGAAGAAGACTCCACACTTCAAGGACTATCAATCCAAGTGTGTGTGCGCCCCAGAGGACGGATGCGGTGAGAGCTGCCAGAACCGCATCATGCTCTACGAATGCGACGACAACAATTGCAATGTTGGCCCGCAGCTTTGCCAGAACCGTGCCTTTGCGAGACTACAAGAGCGCACGAAGTTAGGAGGCAAGTATCGTGTTGGAGTCGAGGTCCTCAAGACGGAGGATCGAGGTTATGGCATTCGAGCAAACCGACCTTTCGAAGCCAACCAGATTATCATGGAATACATCGGCGAGATTATCACCGAAGAAGAGTGCGATCGCCGCATGAATGAGAAATATCAGAATGCTGAGGTAAGCTAAATAGGAGGGGTTCTGCCTGTGCCTGATTTGGTTGCTAACAAGCATAGTGCTACTATCTCATGTCCTTCGACCAAAACATGATCATCGACGCCACGACCGGTAGTATCGCTCGTTTCGTCAATCACTCATGCTCGCCGAACTGTCGAATGATTAAATGGATCGTTTCCGGTCAGCCACGCATGGCCCTCTTCGCGGGAGACCGCGATATCATGACGGGCGAAGAACTGACATACGACTACAACTTTGACCCATTCTCGGCTAAGAACGTTCAGAAGTGTCTTTGTGGTAGTGCGAACTGTCGTGGCGTCCTAGGACCAAAACCAAAGGAGGTGAAGCAACCGAAGCAGCCGAAGGATGATGCAGCCGCAGCTGGAAAAAAGGGCGCTAGCAAGCGCAAGAGAAATTCGGGAGAAGCCGACGAAGATGACGAGGAAGTAGCCTCGTCCAAGAAGCGCAAGATAATTGCGCCAACGGGAACCAAGGCTAAGCAGGGCAAAACCCTAACTAAGGCCAGCATCGGAGCCATCAAGGGCGCCGTCGCCAGTATCAAGAGTACTGCGTCGACGATCTCGGTGAACACCAAGGCCATCCTTGGTTCCAAGTCCTCGGGCCGCAAGACAGCGGCTATCCAGAAGTCTAAGACTGTGGTTAGAACCTATAGTAAGACTAAGGTATCCAAGCGACCGCTGACGACTCTGCGAACCACCCCTCGACAAGCTACCGCCCGCGCTTCGGGTTCTGCGACGATCGTCGCGGCAAGCTCGGAGAAGGCGTAACCGAACGCAACGAGCTTACGATGAACAGAAATCCGGGAACCGATACCCTAATCTCATCACCTGGAATCTCTCACTGCCGTTTCTAACCCTATAACCTTTAATATTACGACATCGAAACCCCCATCTTCCTCCCCATTTTCAACACACCCTCTTCGGGCTTGACGTTAAGCATATCCTCGCCAAGTCGTCATATGAACGATGTTTTATTCAACAATGATCACACCGGTAGAAAAGGGAACGCAGGGCCTTAGGTGAAATATAATGGAATAATGAGGACTTCATCATGGTGTATATTACTACTAAACCATCATGGCATTAATACGGCGTATGGCGTTGAAGAGGAGTGGCTTGATTTCTGCATGGATGGCAGGCTTTGCTATGGACCTGTACACAAGGGCATGTGTACCAAAGGGGTGGTTCAAGTTCAATACTTTTGTTTTTAGTTTCCCCGGCGTTTAAGGGGGGCCGGGTATCAGCAGACCTTGGCTGAAGATAACTTCCAATTGACACTATTCGTGTTCATATGTTTTTGCACTTTTGCTCATTAGGTACCTCCCTACTCTGTAATCAACTTCGTAGACTGAAGTGACATCGTCCTGGAATTTAATCAAACTTTATGGTCAACATCATCAAGCCTTTAAAACGGAAAATCCCTGACAAGATGGTATTTCTCGTAACAATTTAATCATAATGAAGCATAAAGAAGTGGCAAAATAAAAGAGTAGAATATCGTTAATTTCTATATAGGTATCTAAGTAGATAACGAGGTGCACGTGGGGTGGATAGGAGTTACATAGGACACGATGCTTTGTCAGCATATAGGTTAGGAATCTTAGGATAGTATGACGGGCTGCCTCCGCACCAGCTACCTATATAGTGCCTATTATTGAGATATATGGATGTCGGAAACTATTAGATCCATTTTGAACAAGTAATAACGGGTCAGTTGACGAACAAGACTGCGTAGTATAGTGCGTAAAGGATGGAGTTGTCAGCGATGATGCCGCGCGTTCTGATATGTATAGGTATACCAGCGCGGCCAACGGAACAGGGTGTCGATGACTATGTAATGTAGATCGTTGGGCCACGGACAACGAAGAGAAGAAGAGAAATAAGGGGAAATTTTGAGAATAAGGAAAAGAAAATTTAGCAACAGGTGATGCATCCATCATGTGGGAATGGAGAGAGGTTTGTGGTCGCGGAAGTAGGCGATAGGGGGGTAGAGAGGAGGCGGTCTAGGCCAGGCTGGGCAAGGCAAGGCAATTGAATGTATTGTATGGTATGGTATTATGTATGCATTTAGTTAACTGTATAATACATATAACTAATACATAGTAACTACAATACAATACCTACCTGCATGTTAACTACAAGTTGCCTTATTTGCGCGTACTGCTACGTAGGGTAGCTTGCATATTTGACAAGCTTGAAGATGCACAAAGGGACTGCTTGCGTGTAGTTTTGAGGCTGTGCACATCAACTGGGCTGCAGGACAATCCCTGATTAGCCTCTTTGGCTCTGGGGTTGTCTGGGCGCATAACTATTCACAGACAGACAGACAGAACAGACTTACATCATGCATCATACTAAACTCCATACTACGTAAGTATGTATGTTAATGAATTGTTATATCAGAAAAAAAGAAGAAAAAAAGAGAGAAAAAAAGGGCCGATGATTTACCGCGCACGTATGATTCTCCAACTCCAACCAGTAGTTATTTTCAAGGTACTTATTAAAGTCTAGGCAGTCACGGCTGAGATAAAAGGTTACATGAGATATAGTGGGCCGCCGCCTTATATCAATATCCTTGGAGTCAACAATTTTAGGTAGGTAGCTTCCCGTCTTGGTTTTAACACGCTTCAACGGGCAACAGCAACAACAACGGTCAACGGTGAACAGTCAACAGCCAATTAGTAACCAATATCCAGTCTTGGAAGTATTCATCCTTCCAATTACCCCCAATCCCCTTCCCCCCTTTATTATTTTATTTTTCTATTTTTTTATTTTTTTACTTTTAATGTTTTTCTTCCCAATCATCTCATACCAAGACTGAAACGCGACGACTACATAATTATACCTATTACTCAGTTGTCTGCCTGCCTATCTACATTATTAGACTGCATACATAGTACCTAATCGTTAGCTTATTAGACCCCCCTTCATCTGTCTAACCACTTTCTTCATTCGTCCGTCCCCATACGACCCAGACGACCCAGACGACCCATATATGCCAGATAATTCCCTTCTCCGTCATCCTGCAGCCCCCCAAACCATCAAAACTCAGCCCACCAGCATTGCGCCTCAAGCTTTAAATTTGCCTTTGCATTTGCATCCCGCAGCTAAATAACAAAGCAAACACCCACTGTCAAGTTCAAGAAGCGCCATCACCGTCACACACAGATCCATTTTGTAACGGTTCCTGTATTGATTGTACCTTTATCATCCAACTTTTAATTAGTTACAAAATACATTGATTCAAGGTTGCAACCTACACCAAAGAAAGAAAGATCAAATATCGAGACGCTTGACATAGTTCACGACAATCCAGCCCAGTTCCATCTGAATTTCAGGCCACGAGTGCATGTGCTGTTAAGGAGAAACAGTGTCGCAAGTGACCAACCATGAAGTCACTTAAGATGAGCAGGGTGCTAGGCACCATAAGGAAAAAGACTTCCAACAATAATGGTATGCCAAATCAATGAAAAAGATAGATTTATTCAGTCTACTTTGAAGTCGGCTGATTACACACCTTTTTACTAACTAATACTCCTGAAGGCTCTGGTCCTTCTAGCGCCCCAGTCGCCACCAACGGCGAGAGCCCTGAGGACACTGTCCACCGCTGTGTGGTGAGTCTTCATCTATCAAATTCTAATACTGCGTGATTCCGAATCCCGAAATCCTGACTACCTACCCTCCAGAAAGCGTTCTGCATATCAGGCTCCACCAACGCCGGAGACGAGGTCCTCTTCCTGCCTCCCATAGTCGACGCTGCCGAGTCATCTCCAGTTGCTGCCGCCGAATGCGCACGCCTCATCCGAAAGTATCTGAAGAAGGACTATTGGACGAAACCCTCATACCAATACAATGCCATCATGCTTATCCGCATTCTCGCCGACAATCCGGGCGAGACATTCACGAGAAATCTTGATCAAAAGTTTGCCGATACATCCAAAGAACTGCTGAGGTCTGTTCGTGACCACAGTGTGCGACAGATGATGATGGAAACGTTGGATTCTTTCGAGAAAACCAAGTCATACGATGAGGGTTTGGCGCTCATCATAGACATGTGGAAAACCGAAAAAGAGAGAGCTCAGCAACTACATGGAGTATGCGAGAAACCCTATTTATGTATCCGTTGGAGCGATGCTAACATACGAACCTACTTTTTAGGCATCTCAACCTCCCGCAGTGCGCCCTTACAACGCGCCTCCGATTAATCCTCATTCCCAGAACTACTTTGCGCGAAGTCATTCGAATCGTAAACTCCCAGACCCTGTCGAATTAGCGAGCAGATTGGAAGAAGCGCGAACATCCGCAAAACTACTGCACCAAGTAGTCACCAATACCCCGCCTGTTGAAGTGCTCAGCAATGACCTCATCAAGGAGTTTGCCGATCGCTGCACGAGCGCTAGTCGAAGTATACAAATGTATATGACTGCTGAGGACCCAGCCCCTGACAATGACACCATGGAACACCTCATCGACACGAACGAACAACTCCAGGCATCGCTGAGCCTTCATCAAAGAGCCATGCTGAACGCGAAGAAACTCGTTGCTACCATGGAGCCGCCGCCTCGGGAACAATCCGTGAGTCCGATAGAATCGGAGCCAAACGATTATAGCTTAGAGCCCCCACCTGTGCCACGAAAAGCGAATGGCAAGGGCAAGGAAAGGGAACATGAACCTAGCATAGCAGGGCCATCAAGAACGCACACGCCCTCTATCGAGCAAGATAATCCATTTAGAGATCCCGAAACGGACCACGATTATTTAGGGTCGAAATCTCACGCGGCTGGTGGCTCTGGGTCTGGTAAGGGAGCATCTTCCAATTTTATCGAGGAACCCCGGTTGGCGTTTGAGCCCTTCCATCCAGGTTTTGAGTCTACACCAAGCTACCTAGACAGACAGGAGAGTGCGCTGGAAAATGAGACAATGCACGGCGGCGCCGGAGGGGGTTCAGGTTCGGGCCCACGAGGGTCACGAGGGTCACGGGGTGACGATGAGGGTAGTGATATCTACGATGTCACGCCTTCGTCGAAGCAAAAGGAGCCAATCTACCGATATTAATCAGTGATTTCAAAACTACAGCGTGCGACTTGGCCCCCTCATCGAGTTGAGAAGCTGGGAGGAATGTGCGATGAACCTAATTTGGACGAAGTTGTGGAAATGCGATGGTAGCAAGCAAGGACAAAAAGGCATTTCGTGGTTTTCTTCTTCTCGCTTCTATATTTGTTGATGTTAGCTTTGTCCCTTTTTTCTTCGAAATGAGATTCCCCCCGATGTCAATAATGCAGAATACCATTGTTGTTTTTTGCATCACACTGATGGCCTATACTGACGCATGCTCATACTGAGTGATGCTTTATGCATGTTATTATTCACGGCATCGGCCTCTGGCGGTGGGTTGGCGTAACAATCTTACTCGGCACGATTATTATAGGATCTCTTTCGTATACCAGGGTAGGGTAGATATGAAGATGGAGTTGCTGGTAGGCAACATGGAAATGAAGAATCGACCATGGAGGTCAGCATATCGCGGTGCGCTACCTTTTTTCTCAACGAAATGTAATACCGAGAAGCCCGATCAAGATCAAGTTTATATCAAGACTGACCCTGCGTAAATACCTGATTTACTTGATTATGCATACATATATGTATGCGAGAAGCTCGGGTGAGCCGGACGTGCTATGACGCACTTGTCACCGGGCTTGTATCACAGACTCCAAGCCATTCAACGATGCAGGTGTTTCTCGTATCCGGGGATTATTTAACGACTATGCGTGATAGGCTGTCTGAGGATATGCGAGTTGAGTTGAGGAGGATGAGTTGTTTCTGCTTAGGTGCTTTGTCACTACGTGGGTATGGTACATATATATATATATATATGTAGGTACTTGTGAGGTTGTGTGGTGTTCTTTCTCTATGGCAGGTAGATAAGTACGACATAGAGATTCTTAAAATTAGATCTTTTATCTAGGTATGTCAAAAATCCGTTTCATGTGAAAATTAACCCTTGTTAGTTATATCCATCTAAAATCCTTCCTCGTTAGGTAGCTAGAACCTGTTATAAAATAGAGTGTCATGTGTGTAGTAAGTAAGCAAACGGAGTTTTGATATCTCAGCAGGCAGTGTTCCTTACGTAACTAACTAACTAGTTACGCCGTACATGTAGTTAGCCCCACCAAAAATGGAAAAAAAAAAAAAGAGAAGTCGACCCGAGCCTCAAACGCGGCCCTAGCCGCGCGAACCCTTCCGGTGGGTTTCTTTTTTCTTTCTCTTTTTTTTCTTTTTTAGTATGTAGCAGGGGAGGAGTGGAGAGTGGAGAGTGGAGAGCAAAACCCCATCAATCAAACAATCGATAATAGTTAATCCCAGCAGGCTACGGAGGTAGATTAGATTAGACAGGGTCCCACTTGATAGTTTTGCAGGGTTGGTTGGTTAGATCTAAGTTATCTCATTTAATCTTTTTTAAATCTAGTTAATATCTTTCATCTTCCTTTTTGTTTCTTTTGAAAAATTTTCGATTTCTCCGAATGGATGTGCTCCCAGATGCCATTTCTTAGAGGCGTAGACAGAAAATGGAGAATGGGAGAAGAGATGGAGACCCCAAAGATGGAGAAATTTTTTACCCCTCGATTTGCTTCGCTTACGTGCAGGTAACATACATTAGATTAATCAGATACAACAGTCAAAATGGAGACCACCACACCAAATCAAACCCCAGAACCCGCCTATCGATGGCCCACTTGACTTTCCTAATCGGGTAATTTAATAGGGCGACGAACTGCGCTAGTGCGCGCGTGTTGTTCGATTTGTGTGTTAATTTTCTGTTATTCTGTTAATTAGGTAGTTATGTATTTGCATACGTGGTAAATTGTAGGTAGTATGTTTGCTACCTACATAGTATACTGCGGCGCGGGTAGGGTTGAAGAATTGGGTAACGTCGGAGATTGATTAGGTGTGTATGTAACTATGCGATGATGATTAGTTATTTCCAAAGACAAAATTGATGAGCGTTCTTGCAAAGACCTAGGCAATCCTTATTTCATGGCTAGATCAGTAACATGTATGTATGTATTGTACATAACTAGTAGTTACGTAACCAAAAAAAGAGAAGAAAAGAAAAGAAAATGCGTATGTATGTAAGATCGGCCTAGAACTTCTCCCCCGATGATCCATGTCTTCCACGTGCAAAGCCAAAAAAGAAAAATAGAAAAAAGAAACGCTCAAGTTCAGCGGGGAAAGCGTTCGGATCAAGCCCAAAGGATCCGTGGCTTTTCCTTTCTTTTCTTTTCCTTTTCTCTCTCTCAGCGCGCGTGGCGGCGAACGTCTGGTCCGGGCCTACTAGGTACATAGGTATGATGTAGGTATGTACGTATTTGTACATATGCCAATTTAGGGTGCTAGCGCCGTGTGGGGGAGATTTTCACGTGGTTTAATCGAAGTTGATTGTCGACGCGTGTCTCTAAGTACCTAGGTACATTAGGTAAGTGAAGTACATCAATAATAGGTACCTAGTAGTAAGACATTGTCCTTCTGACAGCAAAATGGTCTATGTAGTGTATAATAACTTGCTTGCTTAGTGCTACGTTTCACTTCTCAAGGATCTTTCTTGTCTCATGTTCTTGTAATCCCGATCTGACAGATCTGTTTCTTCTTTGTCAGGCTGTGACGGCATTCAGGGGTATGTATTGGGGTGGAAATCGAATCTAGTGTCTCCTTTTCACGCCTGCCTAGGTAGCTTTGGTAGGTATTATCGACCAGAATATAGGTACTAATTATCCGGCTTTAGTCAATTTCATGGCGACAGCGGTAACTAACATAGTACTAAGCCATCGAACTATGAAGATGCTGACTCTGGTATTGAGGAAAATGCCGTTCATAACTATTGGATCGCTCCAAACTGTTCATCAGCGAAGCTGAACACCTGTATCTCTCTCTATTTTTAGGGACTACGATATGTTACCTCCACTGTACTTGCTAGTACCAGGGAGCTATCAACGAGACGCAAAGCACCACCACCACGTGTAAGTACGGCTCTTTATATCCAAATATATCATTCTCATATCATAGTCAACTCAATATTACAGGTTGAGAAGTAGTGCCATTTTTAGTCTTCGAGTCTCAAAGTCTCTTGATGTCCCAAATCCAAGATAACCCCAGATGTCAACAAGACCGAGCTGCATATCGAGCTGCTGCAACGGCGGCAGCAGCAGCCTCTACGATGACTCGATAAATACCCACACAATGTTGATCTATTGGGAACACCAATGAGAAACCCCCTTTTCCCCCTCAGAGACGACAGGCCCTGTGTCGCTATCACCCAAAAACACGATTTCTTTCTTTGGTACGCCTGAAAGGGCAATTCCCGAAACACCGCAACCTCTAATGATCTGCCCACTAGTTTAGGGCGGCCGAAATCCGCGGACGCAACTTCTTATTCGCACGCTTGCCACATTTCAAATCCATTAACCCTCCAAGTAATTCCAGCTGTAGTGTGCTACCTACCGGGCTCGTGACATCGATGAGACCTGGAAGAATCCACTGCCGATATCTTGCCACGTCAGACATATGTAGTCATCTGAGCTCGAGCTGGCTGACAATGCGGGGGAGGGAGCCAGGGGCTACGTAAAGAGACTTCGTTTCAAGAGTTACTCTTCACTTCATGTGTGGATTGGCTGGTTTCTCTTCGCTGGGGGTTAGGCTCTTGCTCGGACACCCACCCACCCATAAGCATACAATCAGCGTTATAGGCCTTTAACGTGTCGTATAGAGAATGAGAGAGCTTTATGGGTTCGGTCTCGGCAATGAAGTGCGGGGAGGGAGGGCTATGACAGCGCGTTATGATCGATAACTATCGGCGAGTCCGGTCGGCTGTAGTCCGTTAAAGGAGTAAGTAAGGCTTGGTCAGTATTAAACAGGATATGATGTTTATGCTTGGAGGTGGTTCGAAATCAAGAGAGGTGTGAGCTCTAGCGGGGGCATACATGGGAGCGCTATATAAGCATCGTTCGTTGATAATAGTTTCGGGGAGGGGGGGGGTATAGCAAGTCAATGTCTACCCATAGTGACTGCTCTCAGAAAGGGGTCTCTGGCGTTGACGGATCCATCTGACATCGAACGCAAGTTCATCTTCTTGATAATCAGGTATCTTGGGTGTTCTTGCATTAGGTACGTAAGGGGACTAGGTGTTAATCAACAATCTTGTAGCTAGGGGGACCATACCGAACTGATATCTAATATATTCATGATTTGCTGGTCTCGTCACTTCCCTTCCCTCATAGGTACCCAGGGCCTATTGAAGTTCTTGTACCTTGCCTCCTGGCCTTCCGATGGTGATGGTCCCCTCATTTAACTGCCCTGTGGCCCCACAAGCTTTCCTGTAAAGGGGAAACTTGGATGTGTAGTAGCTCTAATATGTTTCTAGACCTTCTTTACCTACCTAGGTATCTAGATTCCTGGCTACCCACTCCAGTAAGTTACCCAGTTCCAACACGTAGGAGCAGCTGCCACTTACGAGCATCTCAATCGCCTCTTTTGTCCATATTTCTGAGGCTGGTGAAAGATGGGTTTAGTTCATATAGTATCAGGGCCTGTCCCGTGGTTGGAGGTCTTGTACCGGACGATAGTATACAGCAATAGCTCAATAGCTACTAGGTAGACAGAAGCTACCTAGTAGGGTTATAATAGGAATTATAACTACATTGACGCTTCACTCATATATACGCGTCGTGTGCTCCACTGCGCAACAGCTGGGCAGAGGCCAAGGCTAGCTCTCCCCATGGCCCCTGGCGTGTATCAACTAAAGTCGGTCCAGCAGCGAAACCACCACCATCGCCATAATTCTGATCTACACGAGCAAGTTTCCTTAAATACGAATGAGATCGCTGCAGGCATATGAGGCCTGAAAAGGATCTAAGATAGCGGCCCCCGGTCTTACTTAGCTAAGGGTACATTCCGCTCATCTAACTGCCGATGGCTTGGTATGGGGAGTAGGCTATCAGAATGTCGATCGTGTTTCCCCTGGGTATCGATAGGGCGATAGCTAGCCGTTAGAGTCTCTCACACGGCATTCTCTGCACGATAAGAAGACCGATAGCAAGATGTGAGTACCTTTATCTACAACCATATGTTCTCCCTGGTTTGGTAGCCATCCATCTATTGTGCCTATAGTCTCCTTACTGGGGGGCAAGTAGAGAAGCATGGAAAATAAATCTTACCCAGGATTACAACTTCCTACGAGGGTACTTGATGGCCAAGTAATATCAAGTTTTATCTATGTAGATGAATTCTTGCCTTGGACTTCCAGATAAGTGTATAAAACACTTTAACTATTACGAGGTGGAACCTAGAAGACACAGACAAGCATCGTTGTTGTTCGAAAAGCTCTAGCCAAACCCCCAGAGACTACAGAGGCTACTAGGTATACATACTGGATAACCTCTTTGTTCCAGCTAACCCCCTGGTAGACCCTTGACAGTCGCCACCAGCATCCGGGACAGGATATCGCGTCTGTTCTAGCCGCACTTATTCATCGACGCCTAACTATGTATATAGCAAGAACGGGCTTCATCCTACTTGGTCACACGTTCCGACACGTCACCTTCTAGCTAAGCACCCCGACATAGCAGTCTCCTAGGTTAACCCCCACCGAGCAACAAGCAATCCGCCTCGTAGCGCAAGTAGAGCGATATATGTATCATAGGTTAATCGCAGATGTGCATATCAATATGTGTATGAATCTACGAGACACCCGTCTACCTAACCAGCGAAGCACAACAAATCCCAATATCTGCCTACCTAGCTTAATACCTACACACGGAAGACGATGACAATGCCCGAACATCTCGCCCATATCAAAGAACCGGAAAGCCTAGACTTCACCCTACATCTCTACCCACCAACCTATCTACCTGGCCTGCTGCTTGCCCATATCCCCACAGCCCTCCTCTATACCTCGAGCCACCTTCCCCAAATCCAGAGCCAGGGTAAAGCTAGAAACGTGTCCGAGAAGAAGCTAGGTCGTTGCTATGTCTCTAGCCGCCCAGGCTGCCCCTCTAACAGTCCCAAAGCAGTCCAAAAAAAAAAGCAAACCACAACTAACTAACCAACAACCCAGCAACAGAACCCCTCGACCCAGCCCGCCTTGTAAACGACAACCGCGGCTGGGAACACCATTCACGGTCTAGGTTACTCGGACGCGCCGGAGCTTAGCCATGGTAGACGTGCGCGGCGTTCGGGAAAGCAATAGAGAAGCGAGGTAAACTGATCTGGTTAGGTGGTAATAAGACGAGAGATCATCTAGGATGTTCCATGATTCCCAGGGGCGAGATATACCCCCCACCCCCCCTCTACCAACAAACGGCCTTTCGCATCACACAGTAGGTACCATAAGTACGATCTGAAGAAAAACACCGCGCATTGCTTCTCCCCTCCCGCCCAACCAAAAGCCGACCCAAGATCGGGGTTGGTCTTGGCCAAAGAGAGAGAGAGTGAGTGAGTGAGTGAGTGTGTCAGGGTCTTCCCTTAGACCCCAGCGTAGACCAACAACATATCCACGTAGAGTGTCCAAAGCACGGGGAAGCTGATGGATACCGATAGTTAGTACCCAGAGGTAGGTAGTAAGGTTAGACAATGGGGTTCTGGGAAAATAAAAAGGAGATCCTGGTTCCCAGCGTAATGGCATCCATTCATCCCATCACCAATGCCAAAATAAAACAAAATAAATAAAATATACCTAGGGTAATAAATAGGCAAGTTTCAAGAATCTAGAGTCAGGATCTCAGGAGTACGCTTTGAGTAAGTGGAGAGGAAGCTATCAATCAAGTTTAATTACAAAAAAAATTGATGGAAATGTTCTCGAAGCTAGTTAGCTCTCTTTCTTTCTTTCTTCCTTCCTTCCTTGCCTACCTATCTCGTAATTTGCAGGGCCGCTGCAAGGTTTACGCGCTCTAACCCGACTACCTAGCTAACTCAATATTTCTCCCCCCTAGCCAAGAACAGCTGTCTCCTCACCAACACCTCCTCTTCCCCATCGCCATTCTCCTCATTATCATCACCACCATCACCATGTCCATCTCCATGTCCACCGTGATCATGGTGATGGCCATGTTTACAGCGCCGCCCACGAGTAACCCCGGACCCCACAACCACCAAATCAAACCCCTTGCCGGCGCCGGCGTGCTCGAACAAGGCTCGGACCCTGTCCTCGGCGAGGCCGTGGTGCAGGACCCCGTGATCTCGGTCTCGGTCTCGGTCGCCGAGGGGCCCGTGCAGCAGGAAGTCCCAGACGAGCAGGACGCCACCCGGCCGCAGGCGTTGGACCAGGCGGTCGGAGGCCAGCTCCGGGTCCGCGAGGTGGTGGAGCCCGCCCCCCACGGCCGCCACGTCGAAGCCGAAGAGGCGAGGGGAGGGGGCCCCTTCCACCACCCTCAGGGATGGGGAGTGGGATTCGGCTGATGAGCCTAGCTCTCCCGTCGTCGCAAGCAGATCGCCCACTATAGCGTGCATCTCGTCATGAGATAGACCCTTTAAAAAAAGAAAATCGATTCCGAAAGTCAGATTTAAAGCCCCCTGGGGATGTGACCACGACCCACTTATAAGCGCCAGGCGCGCGTATTTGGAGGGTTATGATTCAAGTTGAGAGTAGGTATAATTATGAGCCGAACGAGCTCAGTTGTCGGTTCGGGTTCTAATTATGTAATACATGTATGTGTATATGCATATATATTTGTAGGAAAGCAAGCCACGGTCAACACGTACCTGGTTCTCGGCACGAGAGTTATACACCTCGACCATCTTTTCTGATATGTCGATGCCGATACATTGTGTCGTATAAGGAGCAAGAGCCTGGCACGTATTAGAGAATAATTTACAGCACTACGTCCTAAGCAATATGATAAAGGGGAGAAATGAGAGCTGTAGAATATAAAGGTCCTCCTCCGACAAGGCCAAGAACTTACTCTCGACATCCCACCAGTGCCGCAAGCGTAGTCTAGTAGTCTCACCTCCTTCTTGGGTCGAGAAGGATCGCGGTTGCTCTTATCGTTTTCACCATCACCATAATCGTCATCATCATCGTCGTCGTCGTCGTCATCCGAGACCCAATCGACGCCTATCCAGTCCAAGCGGGCCCGAATCTCCTTCGCAACACGTTCATTGAACTTGTCGTGCTTGGAATCATAGACTGACGCCTCTTCACTACAGATACATCTCGTTTAGCTTAAATTTGACCCTGCTGTATTACTATCTAGGTAGCTCTGAAAAAAAGAAAAAAGAAAAACAAAATGCTGCGCTGCGCAGCGCCTCCCCAAATCGATCCACAAGATCGACGATGCATACAAATACGTGTTCAAGATCAAAAAGAGCACGAGGGGGGCGCACTGGGCCGAAGGAGTGATGATACTAGGTGACTATCTATTCAGGTGACATGAAAATGGAGCTATGGGGGGATGGGGGGATGGGACAAAAGAATGCGCATTCTATGCACAACTATTCTCGGTATTCTTGTTCGGCTGCCTTGGATGGGATGGAAAGGAGGAGTGTAGATGCAGATCTCAAGATACGGGCGGAAAGTTACATGGCATAGATGCCAGAAAAGGAAAAGGGGGTCCTCAATAAGCAGCGATTTACCAATCAAGCAGAACGGAGGAACGGAAGAACGGGGTCCAACTTACTTAAAGTGTAACCTATTAAGCTCAGCCATGTTACCGTCCTGTCCTGTCCTGTCCTGTCCTGTCCTGTCCTGTCTCGTCCCTGGTCTGATGCGTTCGTTGTATGCTTCGTGGGTTTGTCGTTTAAGAACATCGCGGGTAACTTTTGCCTAACCTAGGGATTTCCTTGCAGCCATTGGATTGCACTTCGATCCGGTGGAGCCCTCGGAGCCACGCCGGGGCGTCTAACCGAATCCATATTTACCTACCTGTAACTTCAGTCTTGTACTTTACTCGCTAACTAGTTAATACCAGTTCCAAGTACGTATATTACGTTCCCGTATGTACCATATCATACTAACCTAGGTAATTAACCCATAATATATGTATGTATGCACCTCGTCTATTCCCCGTCGGGTTATCTGATCTAGGCCCAGACTCGACGCAACGAACACTCACCGCCTTACAATATGTATGTAGGTACATATGTACTGTAAGTAGGTAGGTCCTGGTAGGATGCAGGATGTAGGTAGGTAGGTACATAGCATACCGTACCTATATCATATCGTCCAAGGTAATAATTCAAACAACTACATATATACCTTGTACGGGCAGCCAGCCGCCGCAGTAGTACGCACGGAACCGAGCAAATCGGGGGAATTTTTGCGGGAAGCCTACCTCGGGAACGCAACGACAGGCTCGATCATTCATTGCAACCACGAAGAAGCGATGAAGCAATTAAAACTGGAGCTTGGATGGGCCATTTGCATCGTGGAGAGCAAGGCCCCTTGTTAGTCATACTACGCCTTGCATGGTTCAATTGGATCTCCCCTATTAACCCTCCCGTAGGTGCGCTTCGGACAGTGCCTCCCGCAGGTGCATCTTTAGGGGGGAGGGGGGAAAGACGGGGTTTCACGGGTAAGGGTGTCTTGGATGCGTGCCACCACATCATCCGTTCCAACAGCATGGTTCCAAATCTGACAACTCATGGAACTATCATCTATCATCTACATAGTATACTGCATACCTACCAGTCAGATAGTGTGACAGTAGTGGTTTCTTGGTATTGTACTTTGTGCTTGGGTCCCCAAATCTACCTAAACAGACTTGGAATGTTGTAGGCGGATCTGCAAGCTTCGCAGCAAGTCGCAGTCACAAGAGGAAGTGCATATGTACTATGTAGGGCTTACTGCTGCAATGTGGCCCTCAGACCTCCTAAGGTGGTGTGCTGTAGCAATGCACAGCACCCAAAGCAGGAACAAGTTTGGGCGAGCCCTAGCCTTGGCCTTTTAGCTTTTGGCTTTTAGGTACATATTACCTTGCTACCTGGTTTGACCGCAAGGGAGGGGTGCGCTGTATATGTACCTTGGTAGGATATGTATGCAGTATGCAGTAAATATGTACCGCGTCACAGGCGTCACAGGCGTCTGCAAGGTGAAGAAAGCGGAAGTGCGTTTGAAAATAATAGTGGAGTGAAGGAAGGAGAGAAAAAAAAGGGGAACACGGGAACTCACCTGGCATTAAGCCCACCGTCCACCGTGTCTGATGACTCATCGTGGCGGTGCGCGGGCCTATCTACCTTTCCAGGCTCGTTGCATACATGTAGTAACGTTGGCGACTTCGTAAGTAGCGCATATCCACCAACTGCGAGAAGCACGATTGTGAGAGCGCCATGGCTAATTCAAATCCCTCTCCCAGCCAAGACCCAACCCCAGAACTCAATCACGATTGCTCGCCATGGATACTAAGCAGTCAGTGCGCTTCGGATCTGTATGAAGCAGGAGTTAAGCTCTGGAGAACGGAAGATTTAGTAGATATTGAGGCACAACTGGCACGGTCCTTCGAGATCGAATATTTCACAGCACGCCGTATTGATGGCGTCGTAGCCCGCATAAAGAATCCAATGTATAGGGTTCAAAATCCCATTTGGTAAGACCTCCTTTCGCCCACCTCTAATACTTAGACGCCCCTAGTCTGACTTACCCTTTAGGGCTCCACGTCTCAAAACTCAAGGATATTGGAAGCTTGTAGCAATCAAACCAGATGGTCCTCCAGAGACATATCTATGCTCCTATCTACTGGGTTGGAGAAACCAAACTCCCCTAAGGTATGAAGGGGTGATAGAGCATAGCAAATCGCTTTTCGAGACAAGGCGACAATCATGGAACAACAGCATCACTTGCGACTTGTTCAGAGCACAGCTCCAACGGCTACTGAGTACCGGTAAGCGAAGGATAACAAAGGTTGTATGCTTTGGCCTTGGTGATATAGTCACCAAAACTAGTGAATGGGAATTGAGCCGTGGGCGCGACACGGAACAACCAGTCTCGGAAACAAGAGTCGTCGAAAAAGGTTTGATGCAACATGCTATGGCTTTAACAATGGCAGAAGTAATTCGTCACCACACGGGGGTCTCCGTCGAACTGAAAGCTCAGGATCCGAGGTATCGCGAGCAGACAAATGATATTCTAAGCGAAAATAGCTTCCAAATTATAGGCAAGTATGGGGCAGGTGGCTTCGCAGAAATCGATGAGGATACCCTTGTATTCACTGCCTTCCCGGCGGTCGCCATTAGTGAAGTTATTGCCGATATTGCGCGTCCAGCATTGGTTATTACGTCCGGTGGCGTCCAGACGTTCAGTGGTCATTTGTAAGTCGAGGTATTACATTATATCTCAAGGTAAAAAGGAGACTAAAATATCAGCTTTAGCGAGGTGTTTTCGGACGCAGAGACTCCCCGTACAAGGCAGATGTGGAGTGAGTATAGTGTCTCGCATTTTACTGTACCATCGACCGAGATGAAGGCTTTCAGCTATTTGACCCAAATGAGTATACGCACTAGAATGCCGGCGGTTGAAGGAGCGCGATAAAGAGCAAGGAGCCAAGTATTTACTCCTATCTAGCTCTAACGTTATGATTGAAAAGCCAGCAGTTAGCTGTGTGTGTGAGTAGTTTGTGTTCTACTACCCTTCCAGATCGCCTTTGCTCAGTGTCACGCAAATGAATGCCCGAACTCCTTGAATAGTTCTAAAGGTCATGAGGTAGTCATGGCGATGACTACTAGCTTTAGTGAATCCAAGTACCATGCTCACTCAACCTTCACGCACCTGTTGGAAACGTCCGTTAATGGGGTTGATCAAGTCAGGTGGTGCGATATTTGGTTTGGGCATCGACAAAGTACCAAGCACCAAGCATCAAACACCAAGCGCTTGGATGGGGCTGGGCTTCTGGGCCTTGGGGCCTCTGGACTCCTGGGATTTTGGGATTCTCTCTGCAGGTGGTCAGCATGCATGTCGGGTAAAAATGCACGAGGAATATTTGAAAGGGTTATAAGAATCATCCTAAGTGTAGTATTGGTGCTGACATGAATCCGCTTGGGACCACCTCGGTATGTACGCCTGGTAGTTGTAGCAGTTCCCACCGGGTGGACAGCAAAGAGATCGAAGATACGGAAACACTACATCTTATGTAGTAATACACCTACCAGGTCCTACCTACCTAGTAACGTACCTACCCTGTTAGGTAAATGCCAACCTAGATATAGCCAAATGAAGGAAATGACGACGAAACCTTAAAAAGGAAAGGAAACAAAAGAAAAAACTTAATTCCATAACTATACTGAATGTGATAAATGACGTGACCGATCTTGGATTTGAGGCTTACCGTGGAAGGTACTACTTAAGTACATAGGTGCATACCACATTGTAAACTGTAAATGCAATGATGTGTGCCTCTTTCTCTTCTTCAATGTTCCTAGGTACATATTAGTACTTCTCTGCAGTTGCTTATGTATGTACTATGTAGGTACTGCATTGCATGTATTGCACATATAAAATCAATGATATTGATATAATATACCAATAGTTATTCCCAAGACCGTATCACGCAAAACGCCGCAATTCGACAGCGAAAGGAGGTTAATATCGGGTCAAGACTATTGTACGGTATGATATAACAGGTAGGGAGGGCCTGGCAGGTAGGTAGGCTGGCAGACAGGTACGGCAAGTACACGTATTACCTCCAGCTAGTACACAATTTGACAACCAGACGACGAGCAAGGCAGGTTCAATGCCTACATAGTTCACTAACCTACATCTAGTAAGATCCAACAGGTGGATCCGGAGATAATAAAGTTATGGAATCTACTATGTATATTCTACTACCCCGTGGTTGCCAGCAAGACCCTGTACAAAGGTAGATAGGTAGGCTAGGTATGTACATGTGTATGATCTATTTGCCCAACTTAGTTAGTTAGCTTATTCACCCAATTCACCCATCGGATGACATACTTTCCTTTTCCTGCCCTATGAAGATTCTAAGTAGTTAGGATTCGCGACTGTTCGGAAGGGGGATCGGTATGTAGGTACGGATGGAATAAATTCGGTTGCAATTCTCACCGCTGCTTCACCGCGCAACCGTTGCGCAGGATTCGGTTGAGCGTGTTTCTGTTGTTACTGTTATCTTTGTTGCCGTTACATCCATGTTGTTTTGTACAACCGTCGTATACGTACGTGGCAGCGTGGGCACGAGAAGATGGGTGTAAAGGTCTTATACCGCCGTGGAGCTACTTTGTCTTTACTAAGCTATCATTTACTGTTTCTAGCAAATCAATGTTGACATATGTAAGTGTGTGTGCAAGTACCTAACCTAGCTATGTATGCTATGTAGAGTCGTGTCGGTTATTAGAGGGAAGAAGCGCGGTCAATGGCGGCCGCTACATCTTCGCGTGACCAGCATACATAGCCAGCCAACCAACAGCTTTGAAGACAGGCCGTACAACGCGCTTGTAATCGGCTTCGCCTCGTAGATCGCAGATTTCAAACCACCACGAGCCCAACAAACTATTGAATTATAAGCCTCAAATGTCTATTTAGGGCAGGGAAAAAACCCCCAATTCTTGAATAGGAGTATCTTGTACAAACTTGAAACCTGCTTATCATTTACTTTCCAATTCCGTACATACCAATCGAGAAAAAAGGGGAGGGGGGAAACAGGACCAGGCCATATTCAGCTCCCTTTGTCATACGGTGATAGGCATTCTGTCGGCGGCTTCCTCTTGGAATAGTTGCGCAGTCCGAGAGCTTGTTGCGAAAGGACGGGTTAGGGCTCCCTTCTTAGCGCTACCAGCCCTTCGCCAAGTCGCCCGGATATTTTCAGGTATCCAATCCGCCAATTGCGTATACATTTCCATCTAGAACGGACCTACCGTGGACATTTTGTATTGGGATAGGCATAGTGCAGCACTTATTCTTAACTATCGCTGCCTTGTCGTGATGCAGATATGTACGTCTCGGAGCCTTTTTTTGCTCTGCCGCTCCCCACGACACCATGGTTTCGAGGTCTCGGACCCCTCCTCCCCTCCGTCACGATATAGGCTGTTCCTGGTTCCGTCCGCCTGTGCAGATCGAGATCAGGTTGGGTGCTAGAAAAAGTTTGGTCTGTAACGGCATTGGATGGCAACAGCTCAATTACAGTTCGTATACCCTGTATGGCTGACACTTCAGGATGCCAACGATGCAACATTAGTCTAGGCTAAGGTTTCATGAGGTTCTGTCGATCAGTGAGTCTAGAACTATGGCCCTGAAGATGAACGCCATAGCAATGACATGCATCCCCGCTCTCCAGGCTGTAAACTACTACGTACGGCCTTGTCCATTTCGCATACTTTAAGGTTGATAATAGTAGTTATGTGGTAAGGACAATCTTGGCCTGTTGGGTTGGTCCTGTACGCGGATGTGGGCCGAAGTCCAATACATAAGCTGTGTGGCGTAGCGCGAAGCCGCGCCGAAGCGTTAATTTCCCCAGCTTCGATACCTGTACGAAGGCTGGCTGGCTGACATAAAGTTGAAATGTGCTGGTGTCTTAAAATAAAACTTTGGCATAGAAGACGCCGAGTATTTCGGCTATATCCGGGGCAGCCAATGAAACGAATAGATGGCATTTCGGGGTGAAATGGGTATTGATAGGTAAGCGAGGGATTGTCAACTGACCCATCTTTATGTACGGATTGTTACTAGGTATCATAATAGCAATGTTGTACATACATAGTTAGTAGGTATAGTACTATATGACAATATGTAGGTTAGTAGCCCGTAGGCCGTTAGGGAAACGCGTATGTAGGCTTGTGACGATGGTGATCACACACATCCACAATGTCGGTTTCGACTGAAGGGGTTTCCTGGCTTAAGCCTCCGGAACAATAGGCCATTCTGAGCATTGATCTCCCTTGCTTCTCTTATCCTAGAAGAGAAGATGAGGGGCATAACTAACCAGTATACCCTTTTCTTCTCATTGTTGGGCGTGACGACATGCCAAAACAAGAGATCGGCAAATGGAAGACGAATTATTATTCGTACAGCAATCGAAATGATCTCATGCTGATCCATCTTGATTGGTTTCGTACCATAAGTTCATAACTGTAGCTCAGATGAGAATACTTGATACTTACCCACCTAGGATGTACCCAGAATTCTCGTACGACTTGTGCATTGTCCACAGTTATTCATCTGGGGATACCCTAGAGTGTCGTCGGTTGGATACGCCCGATATTGGTGAGAGAGGTTTTGTAGTGGGGGGAGGATCTAAGGAAGAGAAATGGTTGAAGTTTTTCTAAAAAAGATCCGCCATAAAGTTTAGCGGTGATTCAATGGATGGAGGCCAGCAAACACCAGGTACCTCTACCAGGTACCTCTACCTACCCTAGGTAAGTAGCCCTGGAAGGACCAGTGGAGGTAGGGAACAATGGGACATTGAAGAATGGTAACCTTGGTAGTACCACTAAATAACTAACTTTAACAGCTCTAGAGCTAAGTTTAGTACTACTAGTACTATGTAGCTAACTCAATAGGTCAACTAGAGATTAGTAAAAAACGGGGGTAATTTGCGGGAGCGGCTCGCTGCATGCATATTCAGTCACGTGAACAAGACATCAAGGTCCCTTGATTGGTCGGTCGTTCTAGCTATCCAATCATTTTTGCCCGACTTGTTAACTTAGAATGGCTTAAGTATATTTAAATATCGCCTAAATATCGCTTAAGTGCAGCTCCCGAAGATTTGGATCCATATAGGTAGTAATTAGTCCTAGATACTACTAGTAGTACATACCTACGGTCTACCATGGAGGTATGTAGTTAACCTAGTAGGTACTACGTACTACGTAGTTAGTCGGTAGTCTATCTTTTTTTGTCTTTCCAAATTGTCGGTGTGATTTTCTTCTTTCCCTTTTTTTTATGATTCCATCGTTGGTCGAGAACGGTTAGTCGGTTTAGAGTGAATTTCTCGTCCTCTTCTTGGCCCTCCCCCCTCCCCCGCCTAATTGCATCCTACCAGAATTGCGGTCTGGACTCTGGAGTTCATATCTTTACTATGGTAGGTAGGTAGGTAGGTAGGTAGGTAGGTAGGTATCTTATATGTACATACATACTTACCTACTTACCACTAGATTCTATCCATAGGTGCTTGGATAGTAATTCATAGAAATCGAAAATAGGAAAAGTAAGGCAAGGCGAGGCGAGGCGAGGAGAAGAGAAGAAGGCTTTTGATACCCGACCTGCCTGCCTGCCTGCCTGTCTGCCTACCTACGTGGCAGTCAACATGCGGTCATCCTGCTGGTTTTGGTTTAAGCAGACCCCTCTCATATGCACCTGGTTAAGAGAATGAAACCCAATAAAAGTGGGAAAGCTGAAAGTTGAAATGCTCAACGGAGGCTTCCGATACGCTGCTATGAGAGCATAACCGATCGATCGAGAGATTCTATCGGCTCACAAGGTAGCCGAGCATCTAGATCGGGCGCCGATATGGGTCCCTGGCCTCTGTTACATGGCGTCCTGCCACTCTTCTTTTGTCGTCGCGATTCTCACTTGAAAAATCA